GCCCGTGATTTTCGAGGCACTCGAACTTACGAGCACGTCGGACTGGTATGCGGTACCGAACTGGAATTCGACCAAGAGTGATTCGAAGGATCTATTCTTACCAAGTAAGTCGGGAACGTTCTTCCTTTCAGCCGATTCGAACAATGACTTCCTGTTCAACAAGGTCACACCAAGAAGTCTTTTCCATGAAGCTCTAGGAATCGGATCTGATGGGCAGAGAATCGTCACCTACTGGAACGATAGAGCCTATGGTCTACCATTGCCAACCACGGCAGGCTATGCGACATTCAAGGTCGAGAGTAGCAATGAGAGTCCTGCTCTTGCCAATCTCACGCCTGAGATCGTCTACAAAGACATCCTCGGGTGTACTAGCAATGAAAAGTGTCTCGTGTACAACAACGGGACCAACGTGTCCAAGCTAACAATCCCATCCACTGCTGGCAAGTACGTCATGGAAGTCAAAGAAAACGGCACAGTCTCGTTATCACCCACATCGGCTAAATTGAGTAAGACATTCGAGTACACCTCCTGGACAAGTGGACACCAGGTTGTTAGCGAGGCACTCACGTCGGAAGGTTCAGACCTTTCTGCACCCATCAAATTGGAACCCAATAAGACGTACATGATCACCATCGATGCCGTACTTCGTTGTGACAACTATGAACAGGCACTTGTAGGATTCACGAGCGTGCCAACTCTCGTAATGGTTGTCGAGACAGCTACAATCATTAAAGCAAGCTTGAATAATCCAGTGCCAACAACGACATTGAGTAGCACGAACATATTCACATCAGTACGTCCTGTAGATATGAAAATTCAAGTCATACGTTCTGGAGACACCACGATCGAACATTACTTCACTCGACTGAAGGTAAGCATCATGGAACTCTAAAGCCAAAGTGAAAAGGAAGCCCCCATTTTACTTTGGAGGCAACCGTACATGAAACTTGTTAGCCTTGTTAGCCTTGGCAACCTCCATGTTCCACTTGGTCAACTCGTTCTGGTCATAGGCAACACCATCGATATAAATATCAATCGTGCCACTAATTACACACACACGATGACCATCGATATCATAGATCTCATTGTGAGGATCGTGCAATACATCAAACTGGGGATGACATACGGAGTACTTGTCATCATGGCATGCTTTCTCGAGAAGTCGTTCAATGTCAGGTGAGTAGAACGACACATAAGGGGGATCATAGTTCTCATAGTAATTTCCACTGTTAGGATCTTCGACGAATGAGTTGATCATGTCATGCACGTATCGCCGCGCGATCTGCTTTCGAACCGATGTCATCCATAAATTCATTTCTATTTATGAATACATTATTTCACTTTAATCTCTGTTGGACTGATCGATATGTCGCTCCCACTATCATCATTTGATTCATTCTTCTCGTTGTACACACACAGACAGCTACATCTGTCCTTGCATTTCGAGTCAATAACCAGTTTGTGGTTCTTCCTCTTATTCATCCATTTCCATATCCCTTTCAACCATTGAATAAAGCGGTTCATTTATGAACGAGATCAAGGAACTACGCAAGCCAGCAAAACGAAGAGGCGCCACTCGAGTGATCATCAGTGGATTCAAGAGAAACATATACTTCATCGATCTCATCGATTTCCCTTCAAAACAAGACAAATGGATACAGGAAGTGTTGGGCAGTCAGAAGTCCACAGGATTCCACAAGAATCGTGGATACAAATATGTCCTTGTATGTATTGATGGATATTCGAAATACCTGATGGCTCGGCGATTGAAAAGCAAGAGTGCTACAGAAGTCATTCATGCAATGAAGGATATCATTCAAACATATGGTAAATCACCAAAGCATATTTGCTCGGATCGAGGCACCGAGTTCACCAATGCCATCTTTCGTACCAACATCTTGGACAAGTATGATATCACCATATATCACATGGATTCAGCGAATAAAGCAGTACTAGCCGAACGAGCAATTCGAGATATCAAGGAACACATCATGGTTCCATTCAATCAATCGAAAGGTGTATGGTTCGACTTGATCGATGGTGCCGTTCGTAGACATAATGCAAGGAAGAACAGAGACATCGGATATACACCCAATGACATTTGGCTTAACAACAACAACGATATCTTGTACACGGAGAAAACAGAACCATCCAACATGACAGCAAAGGACACAACACCTCAATTCGATGTTGGTGATTATGTTGGAGTGACACGAAGACCTCGCATTCTGGAAAAGCAATTATTGACGAGCAAATGGTCTCAGGACTTGGTTGAAGTTGTTGACATTGACGATCACATTATGCCATTGATGTACGAAGTGAAGAATGTGGAAAGCGATAGCACACAGAAGTGTTATGATTGGGAACTGCTGGCTAGCAAATGCAAACCACAACCAGCACCACTTATCACTCGATCCAAGAGTGGTAAAGAACCCAATGCATTGAGAGAGGCAGCAAGATCACATCGACCCATTACGAGCACCCAGAAGAAGAAGCAGCAACAACCTCGCCCAAGTGTTGGAAAACGATCGTGATGCTTTTCACACCTCCCAGACATACAAGAGAAGGGATATTCGTGAATGCAGAGATCGTATGACTCTCACTTGTCCATTCTATTCCATTTATCAGTTTGATATGGGAAAGGGTCACAAAATTGTTGAGTGTATCGATGAATGGCACATCGAGCAATGACACACCATCCATTGAAACACTCACCTTGTATCCCTTATCCACAACCGATTCGATGGAATCACAATGTTTGAATAGGGCATCATTCTCATTGTAACATGGAATCGATGTGATCGCCAGATATAAAGCAGAAGATAATTGGAATTGGCATTGATTATTGAATGGTTGAGTGGATATGGGTGGATGTTCAAACAATGTGACATTATTGACTTTCACAAAACATCCAAAAGGTATCGTCCATGAATATTGAGGAACGCCATCCACTGTCTCACGAATGAAGACATGTTTGCCATCGTTCTCTGGCATATTGATGAGCATGTTATCGAGCTTCTTGAAAGTGTAGTTGTTTGGATTGCTGCTGAATATGTACGACATTTATTCATTCAATTTACTTTGGTTGATTTCGTTCATAGGGTTAAACATATACACCCTTCAAACAAACTCCATTCATATTCGAATATGTGAACATGTTGAGTGAGAAACGAGCGAAGTCCAAGACCATTGTGGAGAAGAACCTATACAAGCTGTTGGCAAACTCGACATATGGCAAGTACGTGGAGACAGTACTGAATCGAATGAAAGTGAAGTTCGCCACCACTTGGAATGAACGCGAGGCCATCATTCAGAAGCATTGGTACGACATGATCGCAGAAACCACCATGTATTTCGAGAATCTTATAGGCATCAAGTTGAATACACCAGTGTACAGGGCGAAACCATTCTTCACTGGATTTGCCATTTTGGACATGTCCAAACACATCATATACGATTTCTACTTCAATGTCATCAAGAACACATTCGACACGGTGGAGTTATTGGGACAGGACACAGACTCACATATCGTTCACGTGAGTGGCAAGGGCAATATCGTTCACAAAATGTATGAGATGTACAAGTCGTTTGACTTCTCTGAGTTGGATTATACTAATTACTCCTATGAACAACTCGTGAACTACAACGATCAGGAAGTGGACAAGAGCAAATTCCCTTCGTTGTCATCGTTCCTCAACTTCAACAAGAAGTTACCTGGTCCTATCTTCAACGACGAGCACAACGGACATGGCATCACCGAGGTCGTGGGTCTCAGACAGCAGATGTACGCCTCGTGGATGAGAAGCATGTGATACACAACGCCGCGAAGGGAGTACCTCGCAACGAGGTAATCGGTGGTGAGAAAATGAGCGAGAAAAATATCGAGTTATACATGTGTGTCCTTGAGGTAGAAAGGAAGGGAGATGCAGTAATCGTAGGCAGCTTCAAACGCATCAATAACCAAGGATTCGATATCACCTCCAAGGAACAAAACAAGACTCTCATGACTTGCACGGACAACAAGAGATGGATCTAGGAAGGTAAGGTACATACACTCGCGTTCAGTCATTACCGATTGAAGGACATGTAAAGAAGATATTGTTTTTTACTTTGGGCAGTTTGGTCCAGGAATCTCTGATTCCCGGTAGTGATGTGGGGGTACCAATACTTGTATGGGCTGATCCAGGAGAACGTACCGTTGGTAGGTGAGCCTTGGATAAGTATGGAGTAGTACATGGCCTATTTTACTATAGTCAGCGGGGAGACGGCCATAAGTATTCACGCAATACAGGTTATCAATGTTCAGCTAAGGTAAGTTTTGCACTCTTATTCTTTGTGAAGACCGAAAAATTCAAGTTGTCCAGAGGCAGCAACTGTGGGGGACGGAAGATAAAGATTGAGGGTCGACTTCGAGCGGTTGGCATGCAGTTGACGGGATTTGAAGGGCGTCTTAGGTCGAAAAGGGCCCAAAAAGGGAGCCAAACATTTTCGCGCAATACACGCCAATACATAACTACTGACAACCTCACAAAACCAGACAAAGAGATAGTATGCGAATAGTATTAAATATATTTAGTATGTACAATCCTCTACATAGGCATAGCCAATATCCATATCGCAAATAGGATAAGGGGACAAATTATTATCTTTTCTCATACAATAGATACTGTATATTCACGAAAAGTTACCACGATATTCTATTTACTATACTATAGGCTATTATCCATCGAAAAGCACATATACTGTAATCAAGAATCACTTACCAAATACCGTGAAAAACGTTTCTGTGAGTTATTGCTGATAGGATATCTTCAAACATGTCATTTCCTTTTGTGCGGATAACACAGCAAGCAATTTCGAATACTTTTGCATTATCTCCCTTTATAATAAAGTATTTCAAAAATACAACCAACAATTCTTATTTATAAAACCAACGTCTTTCTTGTAATTGTGTTTCGCCATTAATAGTTTTATTTGTTGGATATTATATATTGATAATAATGCCAATTGATGTTGAGAGAGGATTTCACAAGGGAACGCTCTTCACGTGCGTTTTGGCAATAACGGCGCAAGGCATAATGAACAATATTATTATCTCCTCGTTGCCGTTTATGATTCAAGTCTACTATCCTGATGTAGTATTGCGTATTTTGGTTAATTTCAGGCTGATATTAGTGAAGTTGGCTATTACTCTGGATTTATCATCTCTCTTTACTATCTAGGACAAATACCTGGGTGCATTTTCTGGGGTTGGTACGCAGACCAGCATGGTCGAAAGAAAGCGCTTCTTATTATCACTTTATGTATGAATTGGAATGTGTAAGTCATTTCTAGTCAACGTAGTTTGCACATCGGGACTTGGAATTAGTTCAAACTATATACTCACTTTAATAATCCGCCTAATTCACGGATTCATAGATGGAATATTAAACGTTACGAAAACAATGATTGCTGAAATATCAAACGAACGAAACCTTCCTCTGGGAACCAGCTTTGTCTTTTTAGGCGCAGCACTCGGACAGCTGACTGGCCCCTTATTGGGCGGCTATCTTTCTCATCCAGAGAACTTTTCGACTCTCACCTCACACTTCCCCATTCTCCTTTCTGTAATCCGCTCTTTTCACACTTCTAATGCTATTAGCATCCTTTCCTCCTTCCATTCGGTATTTCTGCGTTCATGTTTGTGCTTGTCGCTGTGTCGCTGCTTCTATTCTCGGAAGAAACGATTTCCGAAGAAGAAATGACGACTTCTCGAGAATGCAAGGCGGAAATGAAGCGCGAAATCAGCGGAATTCTGCGAAAAGGATCGAAGGACTACATCAATTCGCACGAACAATTGCTTCTCCAATACCACAAATACTCAAAGTATTCGTCAATCCTCAAAGAACGAGATGTGTTACTCTCTCTCCTTATTTATCTCTTTGTTTCCTTTGTTCAGGTCACAGTCGACTCCTTGTTTTCTCCTGTGTTGGCGAACAAGAAGATTTATGGTGGATTCGAAATGTCGAGTGTGCAGATTAGTTTGATTCTCATGGTCGCCAGCCCCATCGCGCTTGTGACAAGCACGCATTCATTCAATTGCGATTATTTGTAGCATTATATTCTCCGTCTCTTCGAAAGCTTTTCACCTATCGAAGGAATTTGATGATAAGTGCTCTGTGTCTGGCATTCTGTATGTTCATCTATCCAATCGAGTCTCTCTTCAATCAGTATAACGATTCTGTTATGTTTGCAGCTGTGACTGTAATGTATTCTCTTCATTTTGCAATTCGATCGATTGCTCTCAAGTTGGGTTTTCTTTCTTACTTTGATGTCTAGCTTCTGTATTGTGATTTTCTCCAACGTGTCGTACAAAGAATTCCGAGGAACCATCATGGGTTTGTCGCAGACAGTCGGCAGTTTGGGTCGTTTCCTTGTAGCCTTCGCTTTGTTTTGCTCATGTAGGGTCCTTCGTTGCTTCCCATTCTCTACGGATGGAGCTGCCACAAGAACTATTTCCCTATTCATCATGGTTTGGCTTTCTATGTGCGATTGGAAGCGAGGATTGAGTCGTAGATTCTCGGATTGCTGTGTATTCTAGCCGCTTATCTGGTTAGGTTTTTAACAAGTGTGTGTGACAAGGGAAGAGGTTCAATCACTTCTACGATTGTCCATAGTCATTGAGATTTTATAGTGTCTTTTATGCTTTGTTTGTTGAATGCGTTATGGCTTTTCTGTTCATCTTCTTTGTTGTGCTTTACAAACGAAACTTGTCCTTTGGAGCTGCCCATGTCTTTAACAATGCTGTTGTTGTTGTTGTTGTTGTTGTTGTTGTTGTTGTTGTTGTTGTTGTTGTTGTTGTTGTTTCGATCATCCACCAAGTTACTCAGCTCTATTCCTCTTCTTCGATCCCTCATCCAACCATCTAGCCAATCGATCTCCCTTCCTGTCTCAAACAAACACTCCACAACTCAATCTCCATATCAGACATATCCTCCGGATCCTTGTATTCCAGTTCAGGCACCTTCGGCTCCTCATATTCCTCTCCAGGCTCCACCGGCGTCATATGTTCCTTCGCGAAGTTCAGAATCGAGTCCACATTGGTCGTGATCTCCGCATTTACATATTCCTATCCTTATCGCTCTCCCCCATCCCTACAGTCACGTCTTTTCCCTTCTGGAACCACGCCGTCGCTAAATCCGGATCGATATTATAATCCCCCTTTCACTCATTCATTCATTCAATGCGTCCTACGATAAATCCAGGATACTTATCTCCGTTAATTCGCGCAAAGATCACACCGTCCAATCCCTTCTTTGCTGCATTTATCTACTCATCACCCTCGACCGCAACGCTCACATAAATCAGCCGCAAGAATTTGCATTTGAAGCACTCATTGGAATCGAACATCACCATCACATTGTAGTCTCCGTTTACGATATAATCGAAGTTCCACGGCGTCAATTCCACCTTCGTTTCATCCCCTTCGCGCTGCTTACAAGCTTCTTTCGCGTGTGGATCACATCGAACTGCTGAATGATATTCTCCTGCACGATCAAGCTCTCGTATTCCGGACTTTCCGGATTCCCAACGCGATGCCGTTCTTCCCGAATTCGCTTTTTCTCTTCCAGCAACGCCGCATTTCCATGTTCCAACACCTATTTCTCACGATCCCTCCGCTCTTCCACCATCTTCATAATCTTGTAATACTTCCCCGTGTTTCGGAACTTCTTTCGAAGCCTCGCCGTGTCTTTTATGATTCCCTTCCTCAGCGTCTCGTCGTTCTACGCCCCATCGTACCGTCTCTCTTTCCATACCGTATTCATAAACCGATGCGCCAGCTTATCCAACGTCTTCGAACGACCGTATCGCTGGTTCATTCCCGCCATTCCGTTGATGTTTGTGTGCAGATGGCGGTTCAGATACGACGTCATGCCTTCTCCGTGGATCGATTTCAGTTGCTCGCCGTCGAAGTCGTTGTCCTTCGCGGGGTAGAAGCGATATTCCAGAACGCTTTCGATGCCCAGGCTGTTGCAGAACGTCACGCTGTTCTGGCAGTTGAAGCGAGCGAACACGACGCCGTATTCGGACTGCAGAGGAGAGAAGGGAGCGATCAAGTACGTGGAAGGCGTAGGCATTGCGGTAGAAGGGAGAAACCGCGTAATGGGAATGCTCATAGATCGGGCTGTAGAACATCACGAATAGGTTGTAATTGGGGTGCTTCTGACGGTAGTTGTGGAATGTGTTGCGATCCAACTCGATGACATAGTCTTTGTACGCTTTCTTCCCGGTAACCTCGGAAATCCAAGTGGCCTAAGGGTAAAACGATAAGCAGTGCAAGATAAACAAGATTCTTGGCGTTATTACTCTTGTAGCATTTGCGATCACCGTTAAGGAACAAAAAGTACTGAGGATCTTCACTGTCGTCCCGCACGCCGAATTCATTATCAAACTCAGGAACGTCGCCCAAATAGGTCTCAAAAATGGTAAACTACGATGAACACCCATCCAATCGGGTACGGTTCGGTCTTTCATAAAATTGAAAAACACTTTTCCTGTCCACCAACGATCTTCATCATTGTTGTTGCTTTCCGGGTTCTTAGCGTACACTAAAACCATTGCTTTGTCTCTCATCTTTTTCTCAAAAGCGTTCATTTCCAGTTTCATCATGACTCTACAAAATCACACTAACGAGCTAGAGCCACCCCGGAATGAACTGTCCGTTCACTAAGCATGCGAAAAGCAAAATACAAGTTAACAACGGGTACATGCTAAATAACATTAAGCTGAACACCGTATACTTTGTTAGTACAAACTCGTTTTCTACACTTGTATATTGAAGGATGTGACTATTGGAGAGTGGATTCCATGTTATAAACCAAGTATATTCGGATTCTTTATGTTCTCTAAGAATCAAAGAAAGGGGAATTATGCGTGAAAACGGGAATTTGGCACTTTTGGCGGCTCCTTCCTTCTTTTTCCATTTCATCAATATCTCCCAATATGCTGAGTGCTTTGCGATGTGTGAAGAATCTCGCCACTCCTGCCGTCAATAAGCTGAGTACCAAAGGTTTAAGTTTCTTTAGTTCCATAGTTGTCGGTAGCCGTGTCCTCCCCGCTTTTACATCTGTCCGCAGTGTCTCCTACGAGAGAAAGAAGCCCCACTGCAATATCGGAACGATTGGACACGTCGATCACGGAAAGACGACTCTGACCGCTGCTATCACGAAGGTTCTTGCCGAGAAGAATTTAGCCGAGTTTTCTGCATACGATCAAATCGATAAAGCTCCTGAAGAGCGTGCTCGTGGAATCACCATCAACTCGACGCATGTGGAGTACGAAACGGAGAACCGTCACTACGCCCACGTCGATTGCCCCGGCCACGCCGATTATGTGAAGAACATGATCACCGGTGCCGCTCAGATGGATGGAGCCATTCTGGTGGTGTCTGCCGTCGATGGTCCGATGCCTCAGACCCGTGAGCACATCCTGCTCGCCCATCAGGTGGGAGTTCCGAACATCGCGGTGTTCATGAACAAAATCGATCTGGTCGACGATCCCGAGCTGGTCGAGCTGGTCGAAATGGAAGTACGGCGTCCCAGCGTCCTGCCATGTAGATTCGTGAGTTGCTGTCCTTCTACAAATACCCCGGCGACGAAATCCCCATCATCAAAGGCTCTGCGCTCTGCGCGTTGGAAGGCCGCGACGACAAGATCGGCAAGGACAAAGTGCTGGAGCTGATGAAGACGGTCGACGAATACTTCCCTCTGGTAGTTTCCCCGTTTCCCCTTGATCGTAGCCGACGCGGCAGCTGGACAAGGACTTCCTGATGGCGATCGAGGACGTGTATTCGATCCAGGGCCGCGGCACGGTGGTGACGGGCCGCGTGGAGCAGGGCCGCGTGAAGGTGGGCGACGCGGTGGAGATCTGCGGGCTGAAGCCGACGCTTTCGACCGTCGTGACGGGCGTGGAGATGTTCCACAAGTCGATGAACGAGGGCCAGGCGGGAGACAACGTGGGTCTGCTTCTGCGCGGCGTGAAGCGCGAGGAAGTGCTGCGCGGCCAGCTGGTGGCGAAGCCGAAGTCGGTGAAGGTGCACCACAAGTTCGAAGCGAACGTCTACGCGCTCACCAAGGACGAGGGCGGCCGCCACACCCCGTTCACCACCAACTACTCCCCGCAGTTCTTCGTGCGGACGGCGGACGTGTCCGGGAAGATCACGCTGCCGAAGGAGAAGGAGATGGTGATGCCCGGCGACAACAGCGCGATGACCGTCGAGCTGCAGAAGCCCGTGGGGCTCCACGAGGGACTGCGCTTCGCGCTGCGCGATGGCGGAAAGACCATCGGCGCCGGCGTGGTGAGCAAGATTTTGGATTGCAGTGTTTGTTGCAGGAAACAAGCAACGGTAAACGAATCACTTCGACATGAACATGCTGTACGTCTTCTGCTGCTTCAGCTTCTTCATCACCATCAGGATCGCGTAGAGAAGACCGTCGGCCGTCGGAGGACAGCCGGGAACGTAGTAATCCACGGGGAACAGACGATCCACGCTAGGAGTGAGGCGGATACACGCCACGCGTACCCTCGGACCACGTTGTAGCTGTATGCATAATAACCTCCCGAGTTCGCGCAACTTCCCATCGAAATCACGTAGCGAGGCTCGGACATCTGGTCATAAAGCTAGAATCGACGGAAAATCGAGAAACTACTCGGCGGATGGCAGGAGCCATCTTGTTTGTCACAGTACCAGAAACAATCATGAGATCAGCCTGACGAGGACTAAACAATCAGGCAGGGAATTGTCGCACTCACGTTGCTCGAGGAATCATACCTAAACGCTCGAAATCGAAACGAGCAGAGGAAGCCTAGAGTCTCACCCAATTTCATTCCAAAACAAACATCAATCATTTCCATGGCACAGCAAGCCAGACCGAACGTCTGAGGGAACACAGAACCAGCACGGCAGTATCCAATGACTTTGTCCACGGTAGTAACGGCCGCTTCGATCGCGTTATCCAGTTTCTCTCCCTTGCTCACAGGAATCTGGTCAGGATGAGTGAAATAGTTCGCCATTTGCTTGGAAGTGGGATCTGACGGGTCCCACACACTTAACACTTGTCCGGGGAGAATCAGGCCCGATTTGGTGTAACTACGCACATAAGCCACAGACACGAGTTGATTACGACTGGACAGCACTCTTCGAAGCAACTCGTGCGGCTGATGTAATAATACGCTGCATTGATCAACTATCTATCGAGATTAGATACAATAAGGGAATAGGAGTTTCATCATTGAGGATAATTGGAATTCCAAATAGAGGGAGGCTTCAAAGATTTCAGTATTTCCGTTAATAGAGGAAGAGTTACCTCTTACGAATCATTGATCGGTTTTATAGGAATTGAATTTGAGGACGGAATGTCGCTTTTCTGAACAATAGGGAAAACACGGGTACATTAAAACGTGTGGATGTTATACCGATATATAGAATTCAGATTGGGGAGCCGAGTCGAAATGAAATTGAGATAGAGATAGCAACATGCTGAGTAACTCTGGTAGTAGACAAGTAATCGTCCAATAATATGACAAATCGAATAAATTAGTATGTAATACAATAAAAGAGTGCAACACATGCTTCAGCAGAATGTATTATACTGACTTCCGAACCCATACACATTTCCAACAAATTAATACAAGAAAAATGTTTCCAAAAACAAACCATTATAAAATAATTCATTTGATTAAACTTTGTTTTCCTTGTCAAAGATGTGTTTGGCTTCCTTCTCCAAATTGACCAACTGCTCCCTTTGTCCATCATTCATTGCTTCCTTGTCTTCCTCCGACAAATCCTTTCCAACCTACTCCTAAATCCATATAGCAGTACCAACATGGAGATCCTTGGCCAAATCGTCGTAGTAAGCTTCCCATTCATTGATAAAACGTGGCCAATACATGGGCTTGGCCTTCAAAGTCTTTTTGAATTCCTCCCTACACTTCACAAGGCTCATACAAACCAAACTTGACGAACAAATTACCCAGTACTCTCATCTCAAAGGGTAGTTTCTTTTCATGCACTCTTAGAATTCTCCGATAGAGAGAGAAGAAATGGCGTTGCATATCCGTGAGATGTGGAGGAGGCATATTCAGTTTTGATTGTTTGTCATCTGTGAAGAAGTGATTTCTTGTAAGAAATATTTTTGTGTGAAGTGTGCTCGAATAGCTCAGCTGGTTAGAGCGTCGTGCTAATAACGCGAAGGTCTTGGGTTCGATCCCCAGTTTGAGCATTTTTTTGCTTTTTTAACGACTTTACACAACCCCTCTTTTCTTTCCTGCAGAATACTCTTCACATTATTTTTCACAAACACTCCAAACAAAGTCATCATCACTAACCTCTAAAGAATCCAAAGCTCCCATTGGACTCGTTGTCCCCTCTTCCTTCTTTTCAGAATCTACCTTTACTGTCTCCGCTGTCTCCGCTACTTCTTCCTCAGCGATCTTTTCGGTAGCCACATACCCAAACAGATCGGGATCTACCCTTCATCCCCCATCGCGTCTCTACGCTCCGCCACGATTTCCCGCAGCAACCCATCCTCCTCGATCGACTCCACACCGTGATACGCGCGCCACACTGGATCCTTCTCCTCCTCTTCTTCCTCTTCCATCACGACTCTCTTCCTCTTTCCGCCCTCTCTCGTCCTTCCATTCATCAGCAAATACGTCTGGCACGGCACTTCCTTCAACCGGAACACCTCCCTCATCTCCTCTCTGTCCAGCTTCCCTTCGCCCATCGCCGTGTGATCCACCGCCACGTCCGCGATCGCCTTCTTCAGCAGCTGGCGCTGCAGCATCACTTCCTCGATCGACCCCGCCACGAACAGGCGATACACGAACACCCTCCGCGTCTGTCCGAACCGCCACGCGCGCGCGATGGACTGCAGATCGATCGCGGGGTTCCACGCGGGCTCCAGCATCACCACACGCGACGCTCCCGTGATGTTGAGCCCCACGCCGCCCGCGCGAGCCGAGAGGATGAAGAGACGCTTCGACGTGTAGCGGTGGTTGAAGGAGTTCACGAGGGATTGCCGCTGCGCGACGTCCGTTTGGCCGTCGAGTCGGAAATAGCCCCACTTTTTGGAATCGCAGAAGGAGCCGAGATAGTCGAGGATTTGCGTGTAGGAGGAAATCACGAGGATTTGCTCGTCGGTGTGGGAGAGAATGGAGGCGAGCAGCAGCTCGACGGCTTCCATTTTGACGCTCTGCGATGTGAAATCGCGTTGGTTTTGATCGTCGGCGTCCAGAATGGGGAGAAGCGACGACAGCGCCGATGTGGATTGAACCGACTCTCGAATCAGCGATGGATGGACGCAGAGAAGACGCAGAGCGTGGAGGAAGGTGAGAGTTAGCTGGCCTGCATCGCCGCCGTGCTCTGCAAGCGATCCTCGCTGCAGTTCGATGAGCTTTTCGTAGAGCTGGCGCTGCTTGGATGCCAGCGGAGTGAATAAATAATGCGTGATTTTGGGCGGCAGCGAAGCGCGGAGAATCGACGCCGTGGTTCGACGCAGAATAAACTGGTCGGTGATGCGAGAGAGCTGGGAATGAGCGTGCGACCGGGGCGTACTTCAGCAGATCGCATCGCTGCTAAGTCGCGATCTGCGTCGCTGCAGCCTTTGCGCCGCCCCGCTTCGATGGGCCTCACGAAGAGCTGGCGGAAGGAGGCGAGCGAGGAAAACACGCCGGGATTGACAAACTCCGACAGCGCGAAAAGCTCCTGCTGGTTAGGAGGACGGTCCACACCGACTTCCAAATCGTTCTGGATGGGCGTTCCGGAGAGAAGCACGCGGCGACGCGAGGGGAATTGGAGGAGACTGTCGATGGTGGCGTTGCCGGTGGAGCTTTTGAGGCGGTGGCCTTCGTCGCAGACGAGGAGCCCGGCTTTGCTTCCGTTGATGGCATCGGCGTATTTGCGATACATCTTGAATGAGGGAGAAAAAAGCAATCGAACCTCATAGGAAACCACCAGCACCACGCGATTCAATCCCGACTGCATCACGAAATCGCGGATTTTCTCTTCCGCCTTCGACCCCTTTTCCTTCAGCACGATGCACCGAATCCGATCGCGTCCAATCCACTTTCTACTCTTCACTCCTCTCTCTCTGCGTCTACATAAACTCGGCGCCCCAGTTGTCCACCAGCGACGAAGGACACGTCACCACCGCGCTCGAAATCAGCGGCTTCGACCAGGGCGATTGCGTGAGCGATGTGAAGATCAAACTGATCGCTGTGAGCGTCTTTCCGAGCCCCATTTCATCGGCGAGAATGCAGCCCGTTCCGTTGTTCGAAGTCAGCCCGTTGATGCAGTTGTAGAGGAAGAGAAGGCCTTCTTTTTGGTGAGGCTTGAGCTTGGAGGCGAGCGAAGGGTCGAGAATTACCGGGGCTGTGGTGTTGCCTTTCGAATCGATGAAGCTGTCTTGGATCACGAAAGAGTCGGGAGTTTTGGTGTAGAGACCGGTCTGGGTGTGAAGGGAAAAAAGGAGAGGAAGCTACGAAGGTTTTGGGACCGGAGGGCTGTGCCGAAGCCCCGGATTTGCTGTGGAGAGTGAATTGTTTGTGAATGCTGGGAGTTTGGAGGAGAGAAGGTTTTGGCTCGGGAAGCGGCGAATTTTGGAGAAAGACGCGGCCAGATGTGTAGCTATCGATGGGGAGCGGAGAGGATATTTCGGCGACCCACATGCCCAGATCGATCGTACAACCGACGACGAAGTCACTGGGGTCGTAGGTTTCCAGCGATTTACGAACTTGTTTTCCCGATGAGTCCTACAAGTCGGGAAATTAGCACAATTTGTACAAAGAGAGAAAACATTTTTTTGTCAATAAATAATATACCGTCAAGATAGGTCTTTTTCTTCTTTGGACCTGCTTTGTAGTACATCACACTATTTGAGATTGGAAACAATAGAGAATACCTATAGCAGTACTGGGTGGGCTTTTCCTCTTGGACAATCGGATTTGATTTTGGCGGGACAGCTGAAACACTCGTCAGCAGTGTCTTAGACTGCTTCTCAGTCGTTGGGGATGCTCCGGTTGCCGGGGCATTCATACTTCGAGGAGCAACAAAATCCTTTTTTATTGCAGGTTGACCTGCTGACGGATGGAGTGGCTGCAGTCGCTTCAGCCGCGATCGGAACATTGGAAAGAAAGAAAAACAGTTTTTGACATTTTCTCAGTGTTTTTCGTTTGGTGATTTTTTAGGTATATTTATGTTTTTGGAGATAGGTAGTTTTATATATGATTGATTCGAATGCCCTATGTGTTTCTATTCAGGGAAAACGATGTTTTCGAAGTATTTTCTCGTTATTTGCATCCAATCGATTTGGGATGCATAAAGAGCGCAATTTCAGAGTTAGCAACAGAGTTCCTACCCATTTTTTGTAACCCTTACTCTATATTTTTTGATCAAATCCACTCACGAATTACCTTTACAAATCCATATTTACTCACACCCGTATTCCTTTCTCCTCTCACAGAATCGCCTCAAATAGTAAACCATCCAATCTCCTTTCCAACAAACACCCCACAAAAACTCCTTTAACTCCTCCGGGTCTTCCGATGTGTACGAATCATCGTTGTTCTCCAAACTTCCCAGCATGGAGCTCTTCCCCTTCTCCTCCAATTCCTTCCGAATGCTCTCCACCGCCTCCGCCGAGATCTCGTTCTTGTCCAAGTCCAGCACCTCCATCTTCTCCTTCCTCACTTCCGTTAAGTCCCATCGCCTCCCAGCGTCATTCATTCAAGGATATGGCACACTTTCACCACCATTCCCGCGGCCACCGGCCCGATCTCATTCCCCTTCAATCGCAGCTCGCGCAGCAGAGGGCAGTGCGCGTCCAGCGTCTTCATCAACCCCTACCGATCAGCGCAGCGACTCGTTTCTACGCAGACACACCGCGATCCCAGGAAATTCTCGTCCAGTCCGAGCACTTCCAGCTTCGCCAGCGGCTCGTCCTTCTCCATCAGCTCGCGGATCGCCTGCACCGACTCCTCCGTGAGGTCGTTGTACCCCACATCCAGCACCTATCCCTGATTCCACGTTTCCACGATCCACCCGCAGACTCGCCTCGCGTTCTCCCAGCACGCGCAGCACCGGCAGCAATCCTTCATCGCCGAGGCCTACACAGAACCAGCCGCACGCGCTGCGTACTCAAATCGACCAGAACCAGTTCTTCTAAATGCGGCATTTGCTCGATCGCGCGGCTCAGCGCCTCGCCACAGTCCTCCCCGAAGTAGTTGTCCTTGATCTCTAGGCGGCGGAGGGCGGGGCAGTGGCTGAGCGACTCGCAGAGAGCGAGGGCGCCTTCTTCGTTCGTTCGCGTCGAGGACCAGCGGAAGGATTCGATGTGGGGGAGCAGGGTGAGCAGTTCGCTGATGTGCTTCGCGCCAGCGTCGCCACTCATGTTGTTGTAGAACTCGATGCGTTTAATGTTCATGGGAGACGTCTCGCTGACAATGTCCAGAAGGTTCTTGCAGGAGTCCACGGACATTCCGTCGTTGTTGAACAGAACCACCTCCAAATTCTTCTTGCCCTACGAATGAGAAGTTCCATCCGATCCAAACGGAGATCAACTGCTTGCACGACAAAACACCCTTCGGTCCGAGAGCATTGTCGCTGAGGTCCAGATACTTCAGCTCCAAGTCTTTCAAACATTCGGCAAACACCTCGCAAGTAAGCTGAGCATCATCGAAGGAAAGTCCGGAAAGCACGTCAGAAAGATCCAGATACTCAAGTGCCTTCGCCTCCGCCAGGGCCGCTGAGAGATGAACGAAAATGCTCAATTCCTACTTGCGATGATTCTGGCAACGTCCGCGTTGTACGTCTTCGTCTTCAGAATCGCCTTCTTCAGAGTCTTGGCATTTTCACGAATCAACGCAGCAATCTCCTGCGCCTTCTCCACCGTGTACATCTCTCTCTCTCCAGTAAGGTCCAGTACTTCCATCGCTGATCAAACTTCGAAAAGGAATTTTTCTTGTCCATTCACCGCACTAACAGGGAAGCACCTGTTTGCGCCTATCACGATTGGAGCTACCACTGTGTTGAACAAACAGTCTACACGCTAATTCTACAGTTCTAAATATTCTTGAATTCAGTTATCCACTTCTCCAACAATCCCTGAATCTCCTTCTTGCACGCCTGAACAGCCGATTTGGCCTTTGTATGGTTTGCATCCGAAGCGTCCGCTCGGAACGACCACTCGTAATCACCACCCGCAGTATCCGAGAACTACCCATCAGCCCTTTCCCCCAAAAAAAGAAAAAATACATCATTAATCGTGATCGTTCCCTTCGCCTCCTCCGAACTTTCGTCGCACGTAGCGCACCACTTCAACTTCAAGGTGATGTCGAAACCAGGTCGCTTCTTTCCCTAGTCTATGATTCCTTGCCTCCCGGAATATACCTTGACAAACACATAGGTAGCCTGACCATCGCACTTTTCAACATCGGCAATCCGAATAGAATACTACCATTAATCATTTCTAGAGGGTGCTACTCCTTTTTGCTCGAATTCTGCAGCCTTCAAGATCTCGGGAATACGCTTCATAGCCCATTTTGAAAGATCCATCTCCTCCCTACATTACTATCTCGCAACGGATTCTACCATGTTCCCGCCTTGTTCCAAGCAGAACTCGTCACTCCTGTGGAGGGGCTGGGCATCTGTTCGGCAACCTCCCCCTGAATTCGCGTGGGGGAAATATCGACACCGAGTCTCTCTAACTCCTGTTTGTGATTTGAAAGAAAAACAAAAACCTTTTTCGATTCATTAATTTGCTTACTCCACTTGTAGTACTCTGAATCAAAGGGTTTAGTTTCGGTCTTTTCTGCAGAATCAGACATCTAAGAAAACTGTTCAACCTTTCTATGGTATGTGCCCTATTTCTAGAATATTCTTATTGGAGCTTGGTTTTTTATTCACGAAACTGCCTCCGGTTTATCGGTGATCCGTCCTCCGTACCCTCGGCACTGTTCCTGCTCCATCGACATGATATTTCAACAGAACCTGCTGATTCCTCGATATGATCCAAATGGACCCGATTTTATAAATGGGTATTAGGGCACACAATACTGTTTTACCTAGAAAATCTCAAGAATGGCTGCTAAACGTGGTATGATGCCGATTGAGTAGCGAGCTCATTTTGTAGGACGTGGAGGTGCTGCTGGTAACAAATTCAAAATGTCTCTTGGACTTCCTGCTGGTGCTATTATGAACTGTGCTGATAACACCGGAGCTAAGAACCTGTACGTTATTTCCGTCTACGGCATCGGAGCTCGTCTGAACAGACTTCCCGCTGCCTGTAGGGAAAACTGCGAAGTGGGTCTTATTTCTTAGCTGCCGGAGACATGTTCATTGCTTCCGTGAAGAAGGGAAAGCCCGAGCTTCGTAAGAAGGGTAATGTGCGTTCTTGCTTGCTTCATTCGTCTAGTCATGCCCGCCGTGGTCGTGAGACAGCGAAAGGCCTGGAGAAGAAAGAACGGCATGTTCTTGTACTTCGAAGGTAGCGTTTGGTAGCATGACCGAGCTCTAGATAACGCTGGTGTGATCGTCAACCCCAAGGGAGAGATGAAGGGATCTGGTATCACCGGACCTGTTGCGAAGGAGGCTGCTGACCTTTGGCCCAAGATTGCCTCTTCTGCCAGCTCCATCTGGTAAACCCGGAATGAGGAGTCATTTGAATGAGGTTTTGTGTTGTTTGTTTCCTTAAACACGCGATGATAGTAGCGGCTTCTTCACCTTCGGAATGAATGGAATCAGCACATGGGTGCGCTCTCGATAGCTTTCATATTCCGGGAAAAAGTCGAGCAGCAGACGCTCCTCGTAGGGGATCCGGTCATAAAAGAAGTACCACGACGCTCCGGCATAGAGAACCGTACAGACAGGATTGTTGAGGAGAATTTGCGTGCCGATCGAGAAGTAAAACCAGCCAGTATAGGCGGGATGGCGGAAAAACCTGCAAGAGAGCGGTTGCAGCGAATAACGTACGAATAAAGACCCGTCGTGACCAGTTGATGAGAAGCCTGCTTCGTTGTCTGGATGTGGTGGTTGAAATTCCCCTGCATTTGGATCTCTGCGAAGGCCCGAAGAAGTCCTCCACCCAGACAAAGCGTAAAGCCCAGCCAGAAGGTAATCCAGTGATAGCGCAGAACGGGCAAGAAAAAATACTCGATCCAGTACTCTGCCATTCCGGTTATCATGGCGATCTCATACTCAGGGCTCTGGTTCACCAGATAAGCTACAATAAAAAAGCTTTTGCAAAGCAAACAGTCAAACTTCAGCTCGTCCTTCCGATAGACTGCTGTGATAAAAAACTCACTCAGGTGAAAGGCTGTGACAAAAACGACATACCAAGACCAATTTATCTATCTGTCATTTCCAATGATTGAAGCGTACTCTCCAGATGATATGCACACCAAAAAGTTGTAATAGAGCGCTCACGAGAAAGAAGATAAGCAAAAGTCCTAGGATGATACCGCAGCTTATGATCTTGGCTCTCTCTTTGGACGAAAAACGCTTATTTGTTTCTTCCATACTTATTATAAAAAAAGAATCTGAACTCTCCGACTCCGACTCTGAGACTCTGCCATTTTTGTCTAGAAAGCATACACCAAATCAATATTTTGAAATGGAAGTAGCAAATTGAACAAAAAACACAGAAATCCTTAGTCGCCCATTGTTTCGATTTTCAAATGGTTGGAAAGGATATTCGAAAGCTCACAATGGCAAAGAATGCCGCCAAGAGAAGAAAGCAGCAACGAAAGGAGAAACATCGAGGACGCCCTCGGTACAAGGCCTGCGATCCTTTTTCTGGACGTAGTTACCAAGAAGAGGACCCAGATACGATGAACTTAGAACCCGATGCGAATGAGCTCGATTCGGGTTCGGATCATGTGGTTGAAGAGATTGATACATATAAAACCTATAAAGAGAAGCCAAAATACCGTCGAGATAGTAGAGTGCAATTGCAGGTGCTTATGCATAGTTATTTTCGCAGACGAATTGGAAGACATGAAGAAGCAGAGGAGAGCCGAAAAGACAAAGCAAGGCCAGGACTCACAGGAAGTAGGGCAAACGCTCGTTTTTTTTAATTTAGAATCCGTTTCTGCGCAAACGCGGTGAAACCATGAAGGATTATAATGTGCGTATGAACAAAGAGCACGCCCAGATCGTGACGGAGGAGCTGCGCAAAGCGCGCAAAGGTCCGGATCACCGCCAGCGTTACTTTGCTCGCCGCAAAGAGCAGCGCGAGGCGCGACTGAAGGAGAAGGAGCAGAAGACCAGCGAGCAGGAGAAGGAAGCCCGCTCCACGCGCCACACATCGGTGGGAATGGTGGAGCAGGCGGAGCGACCGCCTCAGCTGGACCAGATCATTAGCAAGATGATCGCGAACAACAAAACGTTCGCTCGGGAAGAAGCCAAGCTGAAGCTGAAGCCGAAGATCGACCGCGCTGCGGCGCTGCGCCAGTGTCGCCAGCACATGGAACGGTTTGATTCTGCTGTTTGCTTACACAAACACGAGAACAAAAAACACTGCTAAAACGTGCGAGAATCAATCGGCATGACGACGGGCGCGACGGCAGGTCCCGCCGTCTCAATTTCCAGCATGTTCGAGTTCATGACCCCCTCCACCGCCTCCGGCTTCATTGGCTTCTGGGCAAACCTCGGGTCGAGCGTGATGCTCGGGATCTTCGACACTCCATCCTCCACGTACGGCACCGAAACCTCGACCGGCCTGGGCCGCTTCGAAGACATCGTGATATATCGCTTGTGGGACCGCTTGCTGAGCGATCTCTCCGGCTTCAAATACGACTCCAGTTGCTCCACCTGCTCTTTGCTGTAGTTGTTCTTCAAGAAGTCGAGCGCCACTAGCTGATAGTGCGACTGCGCCATTTCGGGCGGCAGAGTGCCCTCGTTCTCGTGATTTCTCTGTCGTTTAGGCCATCCTTTAACCAAACACTCATCTCTTCTCGCATCTTCTCCTCCAGCGCGTGCTGGATCTCCGCCGACGGCGGCAGCTGCTCGTTCAGACTGTCCACGCGCCGCTTCGTCACCTGCGCCGCCTTCTGCGTCTCCAGCAAGCGGCGAAGATACGGGAAAATCACGCGGTTGCGCGTGGTGAGGCGCGAGTTCATCGGGTTGCTCGCGTACAACGTGATCGACTTGTTCCCGAGCGCGTCCGTGGTGCATTGCGCCGAGCCGCTCGTGAGCAGCTGGTGGATCTCGCGCAGCTCCGGATCGTCTTCGAAGAGGAAGCCGCGATCATAGAGGCGGAGAATGGTGTCGTAGTAGAGATGCAAGAACTGGGTGGAAGAGGCCTCGAACCTGTATTTATTCGTTTGTGACGTCAGAGATTGAAGGTATTTCATATGGTTTTCATTTCGAGCAATTACCTCGATGGCAGTGCTCTACAGTCAATTTGACGCCAAAAATCCACTTTTATAATCGAGCCAATATAGCTGGTATGCTTGGGAATCTGGAACTTGTACAACCCATCACTCCGCTTGGTCGTTTCATCCATAACATACCTAAGGACGTCCTTCAGGGACGAATACAGACTATCCGCAACCTTCGAAATCTTTAGTTGCTGATTCTTTCCAAAGTAGTGCAATTCACAGGTTGTTGTATTTACAACTACACTTAAGGATCTAACGAACACATTACCATCGTCATCTCCGTCCTTGCTAGTACGTTCACAAATGATTTCAAGCATTTCTCTACAGACATCCATAGCTCTCTTCGCAAGCTCATCTGTGCTCACTTTTTCTACCTTGTATGATTTTGGAGTAGGCATTTCGAATTGAATTCAAAAAGGGAGAAAAAAGCTAGAAATCTGACCAAACGTTTCATCAAGGAATAGCCACAAATTCGGCCATTCTAAAAATCCCCTAATTTTCCACCTCCATTTTACCGAAATAGGGCCTATTTACGTATTAAGTGCATGTTTATCATTTTTCTTCACTACACTCGATCGTTTTTTTGAGTGCTTGAAGGGAATGAACCACGCCCATCGAGCGCCTTCCATAGAACATGTGTTGTTCAACTAGGTCATTTCACTACTTTTGCTTGTGGAGAATCAAAAGCCATTTTGCTCCGGGGTGTATATCACAGATCTCATACCAATTTCGTAGATTCTTGTCTTGACTTTTTCACTTAATGTCTAATTCGGAACAGCTAAATCAAAATTTGATGGAGGAAGAAGTTCAGTACGTCCTCTCCAATAATAACCAATATAGAACAATACCTACAAGACACAGTGCTGTTTCTGTACAGGAGATCGGTGGATCCTACTTCATTCAGTACGAAGACAACATGGTCAGTCTTGCAGATCTGGCTCGCTATCGAAAAGTGTACATTGCGAATAATCGGTATATGTACGTGGTGAACATTGTATCTTGATGATGTGCTTGTAATTCTAGGTTTTGGGAGCCATTCTGTTGTTCACTTCTTTTTTCTCAAAGGCATGGTTCACCATTTGCATGTGTCTGATCTATTTCCTGAGTTCCCTGTTGTTTTACTATTCTTTTACAATGATTTCTAAGAGGTACACGTTGGTGGTACGATTTTGGTTCGTTCCTTTTATGAAGGCGATGACTGCGTTTATTTCGGGCATAGCGAGCTTTGTTCTCAGTCTCTTTTCGCTGAATAAGTCATCTTACGGAGCGCGTGGCTTTCTGGCTGTGGAGTTTGTAATCATCTTCTTCGTCTTCGTACTCCCAACTTCGTTTCCTCATTCCTAGTCCTGCCTCATCTACTGTGTGACGCGCATTCAGACCATTCTTCGAATCGTTCCAGAAAAATGTACATGTTCACTCAATGCCTCTCTCTCTCTAGTGTACCCTAATCTTCTTTAACAAACAGTTTGTTAACACACATAATGTTGAAAGAACGATATTATTTCAGGATCGATATTACTATTACTTATGAAATTATTCAATGACTTTAAAATGCGATCATTCTCCTGCGTCTTCTTATGCGCTATATTCTTTAACTTGAACAAATCTACACGTCGCTCCCTCTCTCTACTCCCACTCTCGACCTTCAGATCGATGCACCCATTCAAGCAGCTTCCGTACAGCTCCAATTTGCACAGTTTCGTCAGATCAATCAACGAGAACGCCGTGCAGAAGTCCACGCTCGCATCGCCGAACACCAGCTCCGTCAGCATCGGGAGAGTGTGCAGCTCCACTCGTTTCGCAAAGCGGAACGCGCCATTGCCGAGCACGATTCGGTTTAGCTGGGCGAACCCTTTTTATTATCATTCCACTCAACTCCTCGCCCTACATCCGTTGACTCCATTCATTTGGAGTTCCTCACTGCCATAGAAATTGCAGCCCGTCAATCCGCTCTCTCCCACGGTGTGGGGCGAGAGAAGGAACTCCTGGAGCTCCGGAACCGCTACATTTTGAGAAGGGGAGTCGAGAAGACGCACCGTCCAGAACGAAGGATTTATATTCGAAGAAAGAGAAGGGGGCGATTTCGATCGAAGTGACGCAAGGGCAGAACGAAACCTCGAAGGTGCGACGTACCTGCTCGACGAGATCCCGGGAGTTCTCGGGAATCGTGGGCTTTTCTAGACTTGTGAACGAGAAACTACCGATCTCGATGGTTTGCAACTCGCGCAGGCGCGAAATGCGGAAGGAGCAAACGTTTTTGCAGCAGTTGGAGCCGATTTTCAGGGTTTGGAGCTTTCGACACTCCGAAAGATCCATGTGCGCGAGCTCGTTTAGGGTATTGTCACTCACGACGAGCGTCTCAGTCAGCGTGCTGAGGCTGTCAATGTCCGAAAACGTGCGAATCACCACATTGACCTCCACAAAATTGTCTTCCAAGAACAGACCTTTTACAACCATATTTCCTTGACGGTCATAGGAAGTGCCTTCTCCGTGGCGCATGTCACGACACCAAAGACCTTCATACGCAAGATTCCCGGTTCCTTCATAATAACTCTTACCGTAACCTTCACGGCCGCCATCAATGTAGAAGCCTTCATAAATTAGCTCGTTCATCGAGTTGTAGATGCGGCCTACCCCGCAAGCTTCTCCATCAATGATCTCTCCCTCCCAACGAGTTCCGTCAGAGGAATCGATAATACCGTGCATTATCCTCTGTTCCGGTACGATTTCATCATTTATGGGCTCATCAGCTCTAAATTCCACTCTCCGTATGACTCGCTTCGTATCTTTATCGTAAATCAATCCCATGCCATTCTTCTTCCCATCACGCCACTGCGCAACGAGAATTTGATTCTTATGTACACCCTCGTAAAGGGCTCGTCCCATCCCTTCTTTTTTTAAATTAACAAGTCTAACTTGGTATTCTTCCACGTATTGTTGTACTGGATATCTCACAGTTTGACTTTGGTATACACTTCCATCTAAAGATTATTGTTCCCGTCGTGGATACTACTGATGAATATGGACATATTTACTAGTGGTGATTACAAAAACAAGAAAAACAAAAAGAAAATGGAGCAACTTTTAACAAACAGTAACAAAAGAGATCCTCGAATACCTGGATTACGATCTCAACTCATATCAAATTCCTCACCGACAAAGGTAAAAGACGGGAAATTACTCTCCTTCTCGTCATTCTTTATAAAGACCAAGTTATCGATACTAAACTCCGTAAATTGCTTCTTAAAATAGCGTAAGTCCAACTCGTCTGTCAATTCAAGGCGGATAGGCGGTTCAACCTCACCTCTCTCCATAGCGTACCAATCCAGTCCCTAATCGTCATATTCCTTCGTTTAACACCACCTTAAACCACGGATGCTGCTTCAGCTTCGCTACTCCACCCACTTGGGTAAAGGTGGATGGCTCAGCTCCCAACCTTTTGGTAACGTTCTTTTGCAGCAGTCCTCGCAGCAAAGACTGCAACTCTGGAGACAAAAACGACGGAATCCGAGGCTTGTTATGCAAGATCACATCGAGCATTTTGTTCTTGTTTCGAGACGTATACGGAGGATTTCCCGTCGTCATCTCGCAGAGCAGACAGCCAACCGACCACCAATCGACCGCCTTTCCGTAGGGCGTCGATGTGCAGAGAACCTCCGGCGCCATATAGTCATAGGTTCCGCAGACGCGGTTGTCACACATGGTGTCGTCGTCGATCGGGACGTCGGGAGAGTGTGGGTAGGGAGTTTCCTGCTGGCGATCGTAGCAAACGCCAAAGTCGCAGAGAACGATGTGGCCTTGACTGTTCAAAAGAATGTTTTCCGGCTTGATATCGCGGTGGATAATGCCGCACGAGTGAAGGTTTTCGACCGCAAGAATGACTTCGGCGATGTAATAACGAGCGACGCTCTAGGGATGGAAAAGAGATGATGTGTGCTACTTCATCGAAAAAACCTTTGTCGATTATATGCTTAAAGAGCTCTCCACCCTGACAAAAAGTAGTGATGAGGTAAAGCTGAAATTCACATTCAACAGCAAATGTACATTATCGTGTGTTTGAAAGGAACAAAACAAGGAAATTAAAAACGGGTGGCGGAGTCGGGACAGCACGCGGCGCTCGTGAAGTGCATAACTGGCCGCTTTCTCCGACTTCATCGACTTTTTGTTGATCATCTACGGAGAAAGAGAGTCTCTGCTCCTACTTTCATTGCGTACAACTTGTTGTTTAAAATACAGCGAACTAAAAGAACTTTTCCCATAGCTCCTTCTCCCAGAAGGTTTAGCAACACGAAATGCTGCGGACCAATCTGCTTTGGAATATCAGCAACACTGGAAATCTCCGTTTTTATATCTGGAAACATCTCCACTGTTATTGGCACGCCCTCTCCTTCAACTTGCTCAATGAGCTCATCCAAAGTCTGTCCTATACGTAACAATTTAAATTAATAATCGTACGCTTCTTTTTCTGAGGTCGAGGATTTTTCCCCTTCTTTTTCTAAACGTTATATAGATAGATAGATGGGCGGACATTGGATTTCTGTGAAGCCTGCTTTTTGGCTTGTTCTTTCAATTGCACTAATTCGAACGAATAGAACATTAATACTAGCGAATTTAGCAAGGTCAAACTTTTCTTCAGGCTTTGGGGAACTCATTGGCTCGGTAATACAAAAAACTGGTTTTCAAGTTTGTAGTGAAGATAATAGTAGTCAAATCTATTTATCTCATGAACGTGGTGTAATACAATAATTGAATGCAAGTACTAAAAATCAATACGAAGGCATAGAACCCAGAAAAATTGGCATATAGCCATCCTTATTTGATTTTTTACTCATGAAATCTTATTCATCCTATGGATCAAATAATACGGGAACTTGGAAGCCCTTCAGCCCATCTTTTGTAAGAGTCTGAAATTGATATTCATGTAGTACACAAAGGACAACAAAAAGATATTTAATTATATTATAACCCAAATGGATGAGTATAAAGGGAAATCCTTGTTTCAGCTTCGTTTAGAAGACTATAAGCGCGGAGTTGTTTCTGTATGCATAGTTATTCACATATTTTACTTTAGACCATGGGAAATAAGGCGCAAAGCGGAAATTCATTTAGTTCCTCGTATTCCTATGGAAACTCGAACAGCTTTGGGATAGGAAGTTCTGGAAATAATGCAAATAAGGGTTTCGGAGTAAATACTGGAGGTTCAACTGGAGGTGGCTTTGGCTTAGGAGGAAGCAATAATGGAGGAGGGTTTGGATTTGGAGGAAATAGCAATAATGGAGGAAACAAATCAGGTTTTGGGTTTGGAACGAATAACACCAGTGGAGGTAATACTGGAGGAGGATTTGGTTTTGGAGCAAATAATAATGGTGGAAACAAGGGAGGATTTGGCTTCGGAACGAATAATAGTAGTAGTGGAGGAGGCTTTGGATTTGGAGGAAACAATAATAATAATAATAATAATGGAGGTAATAGTGGAGGAGGATTCGGATTTGGAACGAACAATAATAGTGGAGGAGGATTTGGATTTAGTGGAAATAATAATAGTAATAGTGGAGGATTCGGATTTGGAGGAAACAACAGTGGTGGAAACAAGGGAGGATTTGGCTTTGGAGGAAGCAATAATAATGGAGGTAATACTGGAGGAGGATTCGGTTTTGGAACCAATAACAATAACGGTGGAGGAGGATTTGGATTTGGGACTGCTAACAATAGCAATGGAGGAGGATTTGGCTTCGGAGGAAACAAGGGTGGATTTGGATTTGGATCGAGTAACAATGGAGGAAACAGCAATAATGGAGGAGGATTTGGCTTTGGAGGAAACAATAATGGAGGTAATAGTGGAGGAGGTTTTGGCTTTGGAGGAAATAACACTGGTGGAAACAAAGGTGGATTTGGATTTGGAGGAAGCAATAATGGTAATGGAGGATTTGGATTTGGAGGAAACAATAATGGAGGAGGAGGCTTTGGCTTCGGAGGAAACAATAATGGTGGAAACAAGGGAGGATTCGGATTTGGAGGAAGCAATAATAATAGTGGAGGAGGATTTGGATTTGGGACTAATAGCAATAATGGAGGAGGAGGATTTGGATTTGGATCGAATAACAATGGTGGAAACAAAGGAGGATTTGGTTTTGGGACGAACAATACAAGTGGTGGAGGAGGATTCAGTTTCGGATCCAATAGCAATAATAACGGAGGAGGCTTTGGTTTCGGAGGAAACAACAATAGTAACGGAGGAGGATTTGGTTTCGGAACAAATAACAATAATAATGGAGGAGGCTTTGGCTTCGGAGGAAACAACAATAATAATGGAGGAGGATTTGGCTTCGGAGCGAATACCAATCCTAATGGAGGAGGCAATAGCTTTGGCTTCAATTTCACTCCGATGTCTGGAAACAATGGTAATGCCGGCATGGTTGCTGGGGGCGATAACTGGAGCGCGCATTTGAACCAACAGCCCTACCAACATGTCCGCTCCTACTTCTCAAAACCCGAACACGAGGCCATTCTCCAACAAGCAGCTTCGGCCACGCAACTGGACCACGAAAGAAAGGAATCTGCACGATCCTTCACCCCTTGGAAGGTTCCTCAAGAAAAACCGAAGGAAGAAAAGCCGGAAATTCCGGAGATCCAAAATCCATATCCCCAAAATCCGAGTGATCTTAAATCAGTGAATAAAACCATCAATTTCGTTGTTCGATATCATGATAATTGCCGCGTGTTGCATGTGAAAAGTCCTATAACGATGAAAGATCTAACCTCTGAAATCAAAAAGGAGTTCGGAATCGATTCCCCAATTATGTGCTATCAAGACACTCGCAAACTCAGAGATCCTTTGGTTCTGGATAGTTCGATGATTGTTATGGTTCTGGATGCTACTCATGATGAACAAGAGCAAGAGACCTATACAATCTATAAGCCAGAAATCCCCACTTTGACGCTTCCCAATTATTCCATCTCTCCTCCTCTCAGAGAATTGAAAACCTTCATCAATAGCGAATTGGAAGCCGTGCCCAACGTGGTCATCGAGCTTCCTGGAGTTGGAAAGATCGAGTGGGAGGAGCCCGTGAATCTTCGAGGAGTCAACCTCGACGAGATCATCAATATGGAGCGAACGAAAGACGGATTCTCCACCATCACTGTAATATTATCCTCATTTTCCTTTCTAATGAATAGGTGTATTGCAATATGGACCCAGACGATCCGAACTATCCCGCAGTCGGACAGGGTCTGAACCATCCCGCCAAGCTCACGTTCTACAACACTCACCACCCCGACGATATCTCAGCAGAGCAGTTCGAGGCCTTCCTGAAGGACCAGTCGCAAAAGCAAGGCGCGACCTTCGTGCGTTACGACAAGGCGTCCGGCACCTGGGTGATTCGCGTGCCGCATTTCACTCGCTACGGACTGGAGAGCTGGGACCTCGCTCGCGACTCCAGCCGAAAGCTGAGCCGTGAGACCAGTCGCGAGCAAATCGACGAAGCCCGCGCCAAGACCCCGCACCTCTCGCAACCCGCGGTGAAATCAGCGAGCGAAACCGACCAGGAAGAAATCCAGCGCATTCTGAGCGAAGTCCTCGCCACTCCCTTGCCGTTTCCCGAGGATTCCCGCGGGTTCTCCGCGGTTCTCGGGAAGAACTCGCTGCTATCCTCGGGTTTCTCGTGCATCCAAACCCGATCCCTGCCTCCGCCGCGTTCCACGTTTCTCCAGCGGCCGCTCCGCGCGCTCATCGACGCCTGCGCCTCCGTCGAGGGCTCGGAATTGCCCACCTCGGTCCCGCAGCTCTGCTGCCCGATGGGGAAAGAGCTCTGCGAGTTCCTCCCTCGCCTCCAGGCCTCCTTCCAGTCCGCCGACCCCGCTCCTCCGATTCCCGCGGGTTCAGCGAGCTCCGCAACAGCGGAGGTGGTGCGTCTCCCCGAAACCCCGTCGAATTCGATGGAATCGGAGTCGTCCTCGACGGACTGGGCTCTGGGCTCTCTCTACTACTCTCTGTTCTGGGAGCTCTTCGCCCTGCTTTTCTTCTCCCCTTCTCCTGCCCAGCGATCCCGCTTCGACCGCTGGCTCGAGCGTCTACTCCGCAGTCCTCTCGGCTCCAGCGACGCGCCGCTGTTTGAGTCGCACGACGCCTTCGCGGTCGCTGCGCAGAACCTGCTTCGGCACGACGTTTGGGCCGCTTGCGAGGCGCTGCGAGCCGACCAATTGGAACGGCTCGCCGTGCAGGTCGCTCAGATCAGTTCGCTCTCTCGGATCGGCGTGACCTGTAGATTGCTCGGATGACTTTCGAACCACCATGTTGTATCAGTTTCTGGATTGGCAGAAAAACGGACTTTTTTCGTCGATGACCGACTCGCAGATTTTTCTCATGTCGCTCTTGGCGGGGGACTGGAAGACCGCGAAGAGTTACGCGCTGACGTGGCCGCAGATCTTGGGAGTGTTTTACTGGTACGTGGAATCGCGGGAATGTCCGCTGGAGAAAGTTCTGGGAAATTTCCTGGAAGTGGTGGAAAATTCAAGGAAAATCGAGAGTGTTGCAGGGAGTGAAAATGGGAAAGAAGGAATAATTGAGCTGATGAAGCTGTTTGTGGCGATGAGGGAAGGGAAAGAGACATCGTTCATGTCGGTTTTGAATGAGCAGAGTAAATGATGGTTCATGGTGGAGATCGCATGTAGATTATTCGAAGAATTCGATGGAATACTTTAATCCGCTGTTACTCACTCAGTTCCTGTCTGCCTGTCCGATGCTCTTCGTTCCTCCAGACCTGCTTCCAAAACTCGTTTCACTACTCTCCGATCAGCTTGAATCGAGCGGAGAGTGGCAGCTCGCTTGCGCAGTGTGCATGTTTCATCCGTACGAACCGGTGCGCACGGAATTAGTTCGCTTGATCATTTCCCGCCATGTACACGAACCGTTCAACACCTTTGACTTTCAAAATTTATCCGATTTCACGTCTTTTATCCAGAGCAGCCCTTCCTTCCAATTCTTATTCCACACGTTACACATCTCCTCCAATCTCGTGTTTACCGAACTTGTTCAATTTGCTCGCGCAAGCGACAACGTCAAACTCGAAATCATGTGTCAATTTGCTTTATCGAACTATTCACGAGCTTTCGATCTGCTCTTCCGTTACTACATCCAGCCAGAACTTATGGGTGAACGTCCTGACGACGTTGCAGCGAATCTGCAGCTATTTGAAGGGAACGAAGAGAAAGTGCAGCGATGGGCGACATTAGGTTTGGTGGTAACGCAATATTTGGAATTCATGGGGGAGTCGGAAATTGTGACGTGTGACCGAGCGCTGGAGTTGCTCCAGCAAATCGAAGACATGAAAAAAGAGGAGGATTTGTTTTCTGGAAATGAGATGATTCGATTGACGCAGGAAATGAGCTATCAAGTACTAAATAAAACAATAGAGAATCTTGGAAAGACAAAGCGAGATATTTCCGTTCTGGAAAAGGTTGGCATGAGAGTTAATGCTCTGGGAAACTATTACATGAAGAAGTCTCGTTTGCAAGCGTCTCTAGAGGAAATTTTAAGGTCTTGTTGCATTGTTTGTGCAAAAACCTCTTGTGTTTGAGAAAAAAAATGTATCCATACAACCGCGGTTGTGGAAGGGCGTTTCGTTCAAAAGGTGGCAGATGAAGAATCGTAATCGTTGGCATATACATTCTATTTAATATTAAATGATTCTCACTTTCCAGACAAGCTTCCCTTCTGTCGATGAGGAAGACAGATATACGGATATTGATGTTCCTAAGACCCGTACCGTTGATGATGTACCTATATGCGCTTTTATCTTAACGGTAGCTGTTTAAAGTGGTATGTGCCGAAACTGGAGTGTCCTTGACTTCTCCCATGGAACTTAAGATTAATGATGTTTTGTATAATCGTAACGATAAGCGAACCATTGAAGAGGCTGGTATTAGTTTGGCGTACCTTTGATCCTAGGTATTAACGAGTACGATATGGTTGAGGTTAAAATCTTAAAGAACGGCGGCAAGCAGATTCCTGGAAACGGTACGAATTTCCTCCTCATCTTATCAATAGTCACTGTAATGGATCTTTACAAGGCCCTTGGAACCCGTCTTGCGAATACGAATCTGGGCACTCTGGGTTTCCTCTCATCAATTTCTTCACTTGTAGAGCCTTCTTCCAAGCCCGTCGAGGAACCCAAGGCTCCCGAACCAGTTTCTGCTCCTGCTCCTGCTCCTGCTCCTGCTCCTGCTCCTGTTTCGACTCCCGCTGTTGCTCCTGCCCCTGTATCTGCTCCCGTTGCTCCCGTTGCTCCCGTTGCTCCCGTTGCTCCCACGGCCCCCGCGGCTCCCATTGCTCCGATCTCCGTCCCCAAGCCGAATGCATTCTCCATTAAGGCTCCGGCTGCCAAGGTCAACGCCTTCGCTGTGAAGGCGGGAGCTAATAAGTTTACGATTAAGAAACCTTAAGTGAGGTTGTTTGTTGGAAAGGCACGGAGAAGTATGGGTACAAGTGCTCTGCTTGCTACTATGACGCTGAGCGTCCTGTGCAAGGCATGTCGTGGAACCTTGTACGCGGTAATTTAATGACAGAACTGTGAGTCGATAGCTCTCCAGAAATGCAGATCATAGTTATTCGTTCAATCCGGGCGTAATTAGTTTGTCTTCGGAAGTATGTGTTTTCCCGAGTTTTCGCTGATTTGCAGCTGATCAAGCTTTTGTTTTCTTTCACAATTTTCAAATGGAGAGTGGCCAAAGGATTATCAACTCGCTGTGATCTTAGTTTCCGTGAAATTCTGCTTCTACTAATCCCATCTACGCTCTTGGTTGCATCCGGTTCGATCTACTACTCTCTGCAAAGAACGTTTGAGGATGAGCTCGTAATTCAAGTGCTTTTGTGTCTTCTGTTTCACGTGCAGTCGCTATTTTCCTATGAAGTCGTCGTCACTGCGATCATCTCCTATCTCTGGCTGAAGCGCCGGTATTCTCTCCGTTTCGATCTGATTTAGTCATTCAGCTGCGCATTGGATGGCTCTGCTGCTGTTAAGCACATCCCTCACTGCCATCGAAATGCAATCGAATCCTTCATGGACGCTCTACGATATCCCGCTCTACGGAACGTTTCTTAGTCTCTTTTCCGTGCTGCTGACCTCCGTTGCGAACGTTCTCAAGGAACGTCTTTTGAAGTTTCGACACTCCGATGCTTTGTTCCAACAGATTTCGTGGCTCGCTTTGTAGCTTCACTCATTGCTCTCTTTACATAGCTGGAAGTCTATTGTGAGTGTAGTGGTCACCTGGATACGAAATGGAGCTTCCACGCCACAGAAAATCTCATTTCGCAATTTCAACGGATTTGCATTTCTTCTGATCATAACGTAGCGAAAGGGAGGGAATTCGATGCAAGAGAAGCCATTAGCGACCTATCGACAACATTGATCCAGAAACGCTCGAACGCCGTCGTAGAATCCATCTTAGCGTGCTCTTCGCTCGTTCTTGCGTCGTTCTTCGTGTCTTTCTTACTTGAAAGGGAAATCCCATATCCTTCTTGGAACCGCGTCGTTGCCTTGACTCCACTTTGAGCTTTTACTTGTCTGTTGCGAACGTGGGCATAGCGCTGTACATTTACAAAACCACACCAAGACCTCCCGCACCTATCGATGACGCGCCGCAGCAGGCGAAAGCGGTCTCGGAATCGATCGAAATTGAATCGGATTGAAAGAAAAGATCGTTTGTGCGCTCGTTCGTTCGTTTGTTTGTTGGAAAGCAAAATTTGGAGGGAAAACTGGCGGCAGAATTTTCTTTCTTCTCACACGATACAATGGATTTCCAAGGTATTCTGAGCGAATTTGCTGTGATAATGAATAGATACGAATAATTATGGATATGGAAATAATGCTTTCGGAGGAGAAGGGTATGGCCAGAATGGAGGCAACGGAATGTATGGAGGGGGAGCATACAATCCAAACCCAACATCTTATACTGGTACCGGTGGACCTATTTCTCCAAGTCATGTAATGAATCATCGAGTCGTGTAATCTAGCCTGCCGCGTCGCGACCCATCATTCCTATCGTTGTTTCCATGATCGGTCGTCTCATTTCCCATTCCGAGGGAAACTTCCAGTATTTTGATTCTTCTATATCCACAGTGAGTTTAACGTGAAGCTGTGAGTCTAGATTTCCGTTTGCGGAATTATCTGCAATATAAAGCAAGGATCTTCGGAGCGGAAGTCCTTCACAATCCACGACGGCACAGGAGCAATCCAAGCGACCTTCTACGTGCAGAACGACAATCAGCAGTTTGCGTACAAGTTATCGTGTGTTTGTGAGTAGAACGGACGGCTACGTGCGAGTTATTGGAACGCTGCGCCAATTCCAGGACAAGGTGGAGATCAGCGGATATCATTGCGATCCGATAAGCAGTTTCAATGAAATAACGATCCACTATTTAAGTTGCATTCAGAGCTATTTATATTTCAAAAAACGATCGAATCCCGCATTGACCTCGACATCAAATGCAATGAACACATCAGACAGCGACGACTTGGAGACGAAAGTAGATCGATTGCTTTTGTTTTGATCGTGTTCAGATCTTGAAATACATTCGAATGAACCAACAGCAGAACGGATCGTCGACGTCCCAATTTGATTTGATGCAACGGTTCGAATCGGAGGGATACGACCGAAGCGCTGTGGAGTGGGAACTGTGCATGGAATCGAGTGTAGATTTGCATTGAAAACGCTGACGGAGGAAATGAAGGTGTACATGCCTGAGCCTGATTCATATACTTGTGATTTTTATGTTTGTTTGACAAGGGAGATGGATGAAAAAAGGATACTTGATCCGAATGTTTCAATCTTGCAAAGGATTGGCAATGAGACCAACAGTTGGTTTAATTCTAGTAATTGTCATGTCAATAATTCATAGTCCTTACTGTACTATTGACATGCTACAAACACACCGTGTTGCCTCCTTTGCAACCACAACTCCCTCCAACTCCTGTTTCAAACAAACAAAATCCTAAATGAAGAAGCATAGAGTTTACAATCCAGGGAGAGGAAACCTTCCAACAGGTGTAGGTGATGTTTGGGTAGAGTTACTCTGTGTAGGCGAAATATTGAAACGCTGCGGATACGCTGTTCCTTGAGAAGGGATCGGAACCAAGTAATATCCATTTGGAGAAACCATCGTTGGACCCATGTAGTAGGTGGGAACTTGGGACATGTACTGATTGTGAGAAACTGTGATTTCTTCAGCTGCTGTTGATTCCAGGCCTTGCTCAACCCCGGAAGGCTGACCATCGACATTCAGACCAACATCATCGTGGTTCAAGGGAGAATGGTCAGCTGGATGATTACTAAGAAACGCCTGCTGTGACTGAACGCGTTTCATCTCGCGCGAGGCAACCTCCAGTAATGCTTGAAAAGAACTGTTCCTCTACCATTGAATTGGAGCGACAATTGGTACATCTGAGTCGTACAAACTGCTTAACCCACTATCTACCGAGATGCTCTTTCCATTCTCGCGAGCGCTATCTGAACGCTTTCGGGACATTGACAAACGCTCTCGAGAGACAGACCTAGATAAGAAGCCGGAAGGAAGGCAACTTCGACAAATTCTTCTTTGTTCCGTCATCTTTCAGTTTGTTCTTTTCGCAGGGATTGCAAACTAATCTGCGTTTATATCTAATCATTACGTACACACACAAAACCACCACCTTTGCCGCATACACTGCTCACCAGGTCTGTGGTCGCATTTTGGGTAACCTAGACATTGACAGTGCGAGCACTGGACCTCATTACACCAGATACACTTATTTGGTCTAGGACCAGGCTTTTTCTATCAAGATAAGAATACTCCGTAAAGCATAATCCGAAATAGCACATCATCAAACAATACCAAAGAGCACCTTCCAATCAACCTGCTCTTTGTTTATCAAAATCACTGTATCATGTTAAGCAATCCCTACTCTAGCATTCATTTATCCTCAAAATGTATTAAAACAAATAGAAAAATGGCATATTTCTCATATTACAAAAAACGGTCCGAATTTTGCTAACTTATCGTTTATACTGCAAAAGCAGGGGTTTCCCATTTAGAACAAAACCATGGAGTTTCCTCTTCACTTTCTCCGCGGTTTCCAGGTCTGCTATGCATAAATCAGGAATAGTAATCATTTACGAAATGTGATGAACGCCTGGCCTTTCATCCTCCCCGTCAGAAGTGTGTAGACGAATTCCCCTGGCGATCTCTCAAACCGTCCAAACAAATCCACCAACTCTTCTTTTGAGATGTTCGGAGAAAGATTCCGAACATACAGTGTGTTATTTGGGCATCCTTCTTTCGTCTATACGTCAAAATGGAGGATTATGCGCAACTGGTTTCAGAGATGCTAGTTCCTCCTCGCTAAGTCTATTCCTATCGATTTCCTCATCTGTAATATGCCTAAAATTCACGGCTTTATCATCTATTTGCTGTTTTGGTTCAACTATCTCCTTTTCATGATTCTTCTTTATCTTCGTCTTTCTCTTCACCTCCCTATCTTTTTCGGCTACATGAACACGTTTATTCAATTTCTGTTCCTTTGAAAAATCGGCCTTTGCGGGTGTGTGTAACACATCTCTGATAATGGGGTGTTGCTTTGCATATTCCTCGTCCATGTGCTGCAAAACTGCATTCAAATCCGGGCGAGGGATGTGTGTTTCATAGATGCCCTCCTTCGCCATTTGTAGGAGCTTGTTCGAGGAAGTGTCTAAAAAAGGGTTGTGGATTCTCTAGATTCGATCAGCGAGGAGAAGGCTACTTGAAACGAAATGAAATCGTTTGCTTGCATATCCACACTTTCTGAATACCGCTTCTGTGCTGCCGAAGCGGAAGCTGCAGACGATTCTAAATATTGCTTTTTCAGTTCGATTCGGTCATAAATGTTGCGAATATTGGCAGGAAGCGAATCGTAGTCAATGGAGGAATTACACCCTGGAGTGTCTCCTTCATCCGGTAAAGAGCGCTCAAATTGAATAATCGCCTCGATGTCTTCCTTAAAGTCAAGAAAAAAGCATATAGCAAACATCCTTCAATTGGTATCTAGAGAGCTCCTCTCGTCTGTTTTCTTCCTTCTTTAGATTCTTGTACTCTTCCAGCGATTTCACTCCAGCCAGTTCAGGGTTGTTTGATTGGATTGTTTCTCCCGACACAAATTCTAGCTTCTTATCCTTTCCAGAAACAAATTCTGATTCATTCTTCACCATGTCGGACACTTGTTTCTCGAAGTGTGATTGTTGTCTGTGTCCTGGCTCTCCCGGCGTTAGAGTAGCGTCAATTTCGACTCGCTCCCCTCCTATTCGAATTACATCTCGACTGTAGTATCTTCGCGAATCTCCCTGATCAACTCCTGTCGTAAACACATTAATTCTTGGAGCAAATGGGTTGAATCCAAAATTTGGCATTTCCCTTACAAAACTCCAATAGAATACAGAAAGAAGACAACAAAGAATGAATCAAAGAAAATAACTATTTCTATTATTATTATTGTAATGAGTATCGGATTATCGCAAGAAGATATTGATCTGGTTCGTTCCTACGTAACAGCCAGAGATGGTCATGAGTATGACTATGTTGAAGATGGCGTGGTCTGCTTCGATATCACTCATAATTACCTCAAAGTGCGCATGCACAGTGTACACATGCCGATCACATCCACAGTATGTTTTCGGGACGAGTGGACGAATTCACCAAGTAGGTGTTCGAATTGAAAAGAAAGATTACCACGCATTCCGGAACCCCTCCAGAGTTCCAGCGCTTAGAACTTCAGTCTTCTTCTGGAATGAAAGTCGGAGTGGTTGACTGCTGCTGACAAGTAGATAGTGGATCTGCTAAACAACGATGCAACTTTACAATCATATGGTTTTCAAAACGGAATGGTCGTTCATTGCACAGATTTTGTCAGCATTGCCTATTTTTGTTAACTGTAGAATCCAAATTCTCTAGCCAAGGATGGAGGACTGGATGACGTGTCAAAAGTAAAGAAATATACTATGAGCGACGAGGAATACAACAAACTCCAAAACACCTATCGAGCCTACAAAAAGCGCGTGGGCGAAAATGTACTTTTTCCTCCTCATCGATTCACTCTAGTTCGATGCAAATAAGCAATATGGAGCCGATTCCGTTGCCCATGTCAAAGTGGACAGTCGATGTGAAGTGTCTCCAGGAGGTCGTCGAGGCACGGTGCGTTGGATTGGAGTCTTAGAAGAGGGCAGTACGACACGCGGCGGATACTGGGTCGGAGTTGCGTTGGATGAGCCAACAGGAAGGAATGACGGCAGTTTTAATGGAACCAGATTGTTTGAGTGTGGAGCGAATTATGGAGTGTTTGTAAGGGGAGAAAATGTACAAATCGGTGATTTTCCGGAGGAAGAACTTGACTTGGATGAGGAGTTTTGTACTTTTTGTTTCACACACTATGTTCCTGTTGGATCTGTATGATAGCTATCTCCAAGTTCCTTTTTGCAGAGTATTTGATTGTAGAGCTATCCAATTCCTACGAAATGCATCACTTCCATGATTCTTGTCAGCATAAGCGATATCATTTCTCAAGTCATTACAAAGAGTTGATTTCAATTGTAAAATTTGAAATAGATAAGAAAAACCGAATTGCGCGAAATATCCGCTTTATGATCTGGGGTTTATTCTTCGGGGTTGTCGCTCATGGATATCTGGTGTTGATGAATACCCTATTCCCTTCGCGCGCATTTTTCTACATTATCGTGAAGGTTGTTATCGATCAAGTTCGACCATTTAGCACTTTATTTACTGTAGTGTATATGGGCTCCTTTTTCCAATGTCTTGTTTTTCTTCTTCATTTCAGCTTTGGAAGTAATGTTTCTTGGAATCGGAATGAGTTGCAGGACCCGTGGAATCAGCCGCATGCAGGAATACTGAGTATTCGACAAAACCTTGTACCAACAATGAAAATGAACTACATTGTTTGGTTACCCGTCCAGGCGATTAATTTTCTTTTGGTTCCGTTGAACGTCTGAGTTGCTTTGGAATTTCATGCATAGTATCAATTAATCGTGATGAACGTGGTTTCTCTCTTCTGGAACACATACTTGTCGACTGTGGCCAATCGTTCTGTGCGTTATAGTGTCATCAATGAGGTGTTAAGTGATTGTTCAAAAAACAATGAAACATGGAGAGAGATTATTTTCTTAGAAACAAGAGATACAATGAGAAGTGTTGTTTTTTTCCTGTATGCTATTGTAATATTCGTGTCTTGCTTCATTATTGTATCGCTGAATAGGCTACCCAATGATTTTGGAAAGGTAGCTCTACCGGTCGGGTTTGTTGATTACAGTGATTCTGCTACTCAGAAAGCGTCATTTCCGCAGACAAAAACGCTAAGGCGAGATTCTCCCAGTGCTCCCTTCCTTGGGGATCAGACAGAGCAGATTCCTAGAATACCTAAATCAGAAGAAGCGAAAATCATACCGCCGGCTTTTACACAAGTGAAGGAGGAGAAAAAGGTTGTTCCTACACAGAAAGTTCAAAAGAGTATACCAGTAGTTCGTAATGGGGAGAAGGATTCATATGTCATAAATCCACAGAGCTTATTGCATAAGGTCATTCATTATGAACCCTTTGTAATTCCGCCCCCAATTCGTACACGGAGTATGAAGTTTAGTCCTCTGCAAGATTTCTCGGAGTATTACAAGTTTCTGAAAGCTGCTTCCAACCGTTGTGACTTGGATATCTGCAAAAGACCTTTAAAGTACTTGAATCAGTTTTCTTCGTGGGATTGCCGCAAGTTCCCTTCTCTCTGTTCTGACCCCTCTGCCTTTTTGATAATGCAAGAGCCGAAGTATTTGGAGGGAAGAGTCGATATCATTGAAAACGGAGTAGTATCGCATAACTTGGATTGTGGCTGGCCGGCAGACCACACGAAGAGCGAGAATCAATTCGATAGTCGATTGGTGGGCCATTTCCAAGGAACGTTGGTCCCTATGGTGGTTCCTGAAGGATTAAGTTTCCAACACTTTGTAGACGGCGTTCTTCCAAAGCTTGTCATCCTAGTGGATATTCTACGGAAAGAGCCATCCTATACGATGGCCATGGATATGAGAATCGTCAAGGGCATGCCGAAGCAGTTGTTGGAACGAATGGGATTGCTCAGTGGTACGATTACTTCCTGGGATTCCCTTCCTTGGAAGAACGGGCAGCTCTACGCAGATAAGCTGATTATGGGATGCAAGGTTCCTCCACTGCATCCCGAATTGTGGCAGAAGGCGCAAGATCTGTTCGATCTGCCGTGGAAGAAAGAGGGCTGGAAACAGAAACGACACATTATGCTGTATTTGTCGAGAAAGCAAGGAACGAGTAATCCAGGACGAGATGTCGTTAACGAGAACGCATTGCTGAAAGAACTCGAGCAATGGGCGAGTGAAAAGGGATTCGAGTTGGTGGTGTTTACGGCATCGGACTACAAAACACTCGACGATCTGTTCATGTTGTTGGCAGATGTGGATGTGGTGCTTGGGCCGCATGGAGGCGCGTTTTATAACATGCTGTTCATGAGGAGAGGGATTACAGTGATCGAGTTTGTGCCAGACTCGCGCATGTTTTTAAGTACGGCTCAGGCTGTGCATCTGATCATCTATCTTCAGGCTTCGCTTTTGGGGAATAATTACTTTAATATTCGCGCAGCTGACAAGGGGCATTCGAACATGTACATCAACCCTTCCCTGGTCCTCGAGATATTGAATTCTGCTTTCTAAGAATCGATTTCCACCGTTCGCTCTTCGAAAGATATCTCCCGCAACTGTAGCTCTTTCATTTCAAACTTTATATCCTTTTTGTTCAACAAACACACCGAGCGAGAAGTGAGTAGAAACAGCTCCCAGTCGAAACTGGTAGTAACTCCATTTCTTAGAAGTAGATCTGCTGGACAGGTCCCATGGTGGACTTGATGTACACCACCTTAATGTTCTGCCACTTCTTCTTCAGCAGAGACACCAGGAAGTTGATGGAGAGCACGATGTTGCTCTTCAGCTGGTCCTTGGTGAGCTCCACATGGCCCACAGGCACGGACAGGCACAGCACCTTCTTCATCTGGAACTTCACAGTGTGAAGGATGCCCTTCACCTTCTCAGCGGGATCCTCGCTGTTGGTGATCACAGAGGGGAACTTTCCAGCTCTGTTCAGACCAGGTCCTATCAGTCTGGGAAGCTTCTTGATCAGAGTATCCGAAGCGAGGAAGGCGTCGTACTTCTTGCAGAGCTTGCGGATCACCTTCTTGTTCTTGTTGATGGCGGTGATCTCATCCACGTTCATGCAGGGGATGTTCTCCTTCTTGCACAGCTGCTCGTGCTTATCGTTCACGAACACGCACACGTTGATCTTGGCACGAGTGGGGTTCGGGAGCTGGAAGGAACCAGCGAAACGCTTGTCCTTGGCAGGGTCAATCTGCTTCAGAGTGACCTGAAGCTCCACGGTCTCCACGAAACCTCTCTTCTTTCCCTTCAGAGTCTCACCGTCCATCTCAATCTCCTTTCCGGCAGAGTAGTCCAGAATGTTATCAAGAGCCTTGCTCAGAGTTTCGCTGTTAACCTTACTAGCACAACGTTAGAGAATTCGACTTCACCCAACACCTACCTCATTTCTTTACGAAATATATGGAAGGGAAGAAAGGGAGGAATGAAACCGCCCCTCTTTCGTTTGGCATCATTTGATTGGACAATCCAGACAACCAGGCGGTTAGCGATTTCTTTGAGAAGGTGTGTTATTGGCACAAAATACACTATGATAGGAGCGAATATGACATAAGAAAGGAAGGGAATGATTATTCAACAGTTTCTGTGCACTATTAGCAAACTAACCAATTTGTTTGGCATTCGTAAATAGACAATGTTGACTTCAGCTCCATTTTGTAAAGATGAAAATTATCCACTCGATCGATTTGAAAATTACTGTGTATCACATTTCCATGTCTTCTATTATCAATGATCCCATAGAATCGAAGATATTGTAAATGGTACCCTCCGGTGAGGATGTGCAAAATCTTGGGGAAAATGGGCTCACAAGAGGGTTTCCCATTCTTGCTATGTACATATATCTTAGGATCTAGAATAAATATGTCTGAACAAGGTAGTATCTATGCTTAGTTTTGTGTTGTCAAGTTTTTCTGTGTAAATTCCATTGTTCTTGGTGTTTACCCTTGATGTAGAACAAACCGTTCCGCCCGCTGAGGTTCCTGCTCCTGTTGAGGCCGCTGCCCCTGCTGCTGAGCCTAGTGACCCCGTTGCTGAGCCTGCGCCTGTTGCTGAAGTGGCTGCCCCCGTTGCCGCTCCCGCTCCCGCCCCTGCGAAGCCGATGGTAGCTATTCCCGAAGCGGCTCCTATGCCTACGGAGAAGGTAGGTTTGGTGATGTGTTTCTGATGGATGTAGCCTGAGTTTGATATCAAAGTGACGAACCCTACCCGTGTGGCTGATGGAATGTCTTCTCATGTGAATTATACTGTAAACACGAACACGACCAACGAGAAGTACAGCTACAGCCAGAGCGTCGTGGTGCGTCGTTACAACGACTTTTTGTGGCTGCATGATATTCTCACCGACGAGTACCCCTACGCGGTGATTCCTCCGATGCCCGAGAAGAACACGATGAACCGTTTCGAGATCGAGTTCGTGGAGACTCGTCGTGCCTCTCTGCAGTCGTTCCTGCGCGAGATCGCCGCGGATCCGCTGCTGAAGGAGAGCAAGCGTCTGCGCACGTTCCTGACGGCGGACGACGAGAAGTTCGCTGAGGAGAAGGCGGAGACGAAGTCGTCTCTGAAGGATAGTTTGAAGGGCAACCCGATGGAGGCGGGTATGAAGCTGCTGAAGCTGATGGGCAACGGCCTGAACAAGGTGGGCACGCAGGTGCAGAAGAGCGTGCAGCAGCAGATGGGCGGCGAGGCGCCGATGAGCAAGGAGGACGAGAAGCTGGCGAAGTACGTGCAGTACATCAACGATCTGTCGGAGCAAGTGAACGCTCTGGCGACGCGCGCTTCGGAGTTCGTGGAGCACCAGAGCGATTTCACGGCGAACCTGATCGACCTGGGTCTGGCCATGAATCTGATGGGCCAGCTGCAGCAGGACGTCGTGGGCGATGCGATGCGCAGTCTGAACGACGCCATCAGCGTCATCCAGCAGATCTGGACGGAGAAGGGTCTGCGCGAGGACCGCGCCTTCGTGCAGCCCATGAAGCGCCTGGTGCTGCTGCTGAACGAGGTCAAGATGACCGTGGGTCGCCGCACGCTGATCCTCTCCAACTACCAGAGCGCCTGCCAGAGCCTGAAGAAGGCCAAGGCCACGTACAAGAAGCTGGCGTCGACGCCCGGAAAGAGCTCGAAGCTGCCCGGCGCCGAGGAGGAGATCGAGCGCTACAAGAAGCGCGCTGGCAAGCTGAAGAAGAAGCTGCACACGGTGACGGAGAAGATCAACGGCGTGCTGGACGACTTCCGCGACCGCAAGATGGCGCTGATCCGCAACATGGTGCTGGATCTGCTGCTGATCCAGATGCAGTACCACAAGCAGGTGGCCAACGTGTGGAGAAACTATCTCCCCGAGCTGCAGAAGATCAACCTGGAGGACGCGGTCAAGTCCGCGGAGGAGTTCGGTCTGGCGAGCGTCGACGAGAACCGTCCTCGCAATGCTGTGGCTGACTCGGACGATGACGATGACGATGACGACGACGAGGACGATGAGAGCAAGGAGAGCGGAAGCGATAGCGATAGCGATAGCGACGAGAAGCCCAAGAAGAAGGCGAAGAAGCCGGCGAAGAAGAGCAAGAAGGATTCTAGCGAGAGTGAGAGCGAGAGTGATTCCGATGATGATGATTCCGATGATGATGACTCTGATGATTCGGATGACTCCGATGATTCTGATGATTCCGATTCCGATGATGATGACTCCGATTCGGACGAAAAGCCCAAGAAGAAGGCAAAGAAATCGGCCAAGGGAAAGAAGGCGTCCAAGAAGAGTAAGAAGGACTCGAGTGATGACTCGGACTCTGACTAAAAGCTTGATTTTGTATGGTAATTGCGTTCTTGTTGTTTTTTAAAATAACCTCGTTGTGTTTCTGATCACCCAAACACACATTCTTTTTTGTTTCTTCTGCATTCTTTCATCGATCTTTGTAACCTATCCCGCCTATACCCTGATTCATAGAAAATCCATGATTAAGGCTCTCTTTATTGTTAGCGTCTCGGGACAGCCTCGCTTTTCTAAATTCTATGAGTACATCGTATTTGTACTGACCAAGTGATGATCAAGTAGAAGATGGAAGACAGAAAGGAGATTATTCGAAAAATCTATGAAGCTGTTGTAAAACGATCGAGCAAGCTGTGTAATTTCGTTGAAGACAAAGCGTAAGGGATTAGAGGCTGGCTTTGATATAGGCTCCAATTCTGGAAGGATCCGACCAAAATTGTGTACAGAAAGGTCTCCTCCATTATTGTGATTCTCGTAGCAGATGAGTCGGAGAGTGAACTCGGTTTGCTTGATCTCATCCAAGTCCTCATGGATATTCTCGAGGAATCGTTCGATGACCTCCGTGAGTATGATTTAATTTATAATATTGATCGTGTTCACTCCATGTTCGATGAAGTGATCATGGGAGGAATGGTGCTGGAGACAAACGTGGACAAGATCATGGCAACGATCAATGCAAAGAACAGCGTTGAATACAAGGGTGAAGAGAGTACTGGACGCCTTCCAACTATCAAGTAACGTGTTTTTGTTTGTTTCAGGAAACATGCCATGCAACAACAACAACAACTAAGACATGTCCACGATGTCCACGATGTCCAAAATGTCCACGATTACTCAGAATCCTCACTAGCGACGGCCTCAGATTCGTTCGCTTCTCCAGAGTTGCTTGTCTCTTCAGCTTCGGATTCTTCCGACTCAGTGGTCGCTTTGGACTTGTCCGACTCAGTGGACTGGCTGCTCTCTTCCGACTCTTCCGACTCTTCTTTCTTGGATTGTTTCTTGGATTGTTTCTTGGCGGGTTTCTTCGATTTCTTGGTGGATTCCTTGGATTCCTTGGATTCCTTGGCTGATTCCTTCTCTTTCTTCTCCTTCTTTGAACTCTTCTTCTCCTCGGGATGGTTCTTCTTCCACTCCTTCATCTCCTCGTTGTATTTCTCCATCTCCTCTTTGTATCCCTTAGCGTACTCCTTTGAATAAACACGCTCATTCGTACTTACCGCTTGTTCTTCCTTTGATAAGGCCGACCACATGACACCGAGCTCCTTTGTGATCTCTGTAGGCTTCATTGCTGAACGTCAAAGAGATAAAAAACAAGTTTACTGGGATTGGCTTCTTTCACCGAAGCTCTCTTCTTGGTAGCAAAACGGAAGTACGGGGTGATCGGTCTCTTGGGCTTCGTTTCAGTGTCCTGTGTGCTCGATTTCTTTGACTACATGTTAGGACTTGTCTTCAAAAATACTGCGGTCTTCTTGTCGCAAACCATGACTAGAAAAAAATAAAATTAATATGAATGGTATTGACAGAATCTAAATTGGCGGGAAGACAAGTTCCATAGAATACATTGCAAAACCGCGGAACCTGTTTAGTTTTAAAAAACAATCTTGAAGGTTGATTCCATGTTGAATGCCAAAAAAGGAAAGGAAAGGACGTAGAGAAAACAATCACCAAAAATAGACGTAACGGATGAAAGTCCAACAATCAACCCCAGTCTCAATCGCTGATATGCATACAGTTCAGAAAAAAAGAGGCAACCTTTTCAATCACAAACCAACTTTCCCTCCATATCTCATTCGTCAAAAACATGAACAAGTGTTCTTCCTTTTCTTTAATTGATGATTTTGTCTGTGCACAAGGGACAGAACCTCTTTCCTACGCAGACCTTAAGATTTCGATGCCCAAGTTCATTAATGAGGAGAATTCTTCAGAAGATGCGGCCAATTCATTCTATCGAGTCTATTCAAGTGTAATCAATTGCAAAGAATCGATCCAGTGGATGTGGGGAAAAATCTCTGACGCAATTGACCGCTTTGGTTTTGTTTTCTCCCGATCCAATTACACATATGAAGATTCCTTTACAACGAGCGACCATGTGCTACTTCTAACCTCTCGAATGATGCTAAAGTCCATGAGTGTACCAGGTGTGAAAGTGCTATGTCAACTTGTCGATGATCATATTGTGGACCACGTAAATGCTTCCGTTCTGTCACTGTGTGCTACTTCTTTTTTCTCCAAAATACAAACCACAAAGATCGAGAAGGACATTGTTCGTCTATTGACAACGTGGATCGAAAAGATTTCTCATCTTCCTCAATGGGATAACGGAATTATGGAAGCATTTCTATGCCAATGGAACAAGGATTCGCTCTCCGAGACGTATTGGTTCGCTTTGAATTGTCTGGCTCCTTCATTTGAGTCTCAACTTGTTTCGTTCGTATTTCTTCCAATGATTGAAGCCAAACAAGTGAAGCAAGTGCTGAAGCAACTGGGGACGAACTGTCACATATTGTGCTACGATCTTTCTCTCATTATTCTACGTCTCTTTCAACCTCTAAATAAAGAGCACTTTGCTTTATGGATCGATTGTGTTCACTTTCTTGCAGAAACGACTCCAATTCCAGACATTGATTACAGTTCTATCATAACTACGATGGTACGCTATGCGCTCAACGAACGAAACTCTTTGTTGTATCGCCAGAAATGCTTGAATTCTCTGAGCCTGCTCCTCTCCAAACATTCGCACGGAACAATCGAAATGAATGAAATGAATGAAATGATTGCCCTTCTTGCATCGATTCTTCGTTCATCGAACGATCGATTGATCCAAAAAGGACTTGAACTCATCAGTATCCTTCACTTCACAAAAGAACAAGAAGGAATCATACGATCGACCCTCCTGATTCTGTATGAATTCCTTCTTCAAAGAGATTTCGAAGCAGGATCGGATGCGTCCTTAACTCGAATGAAATGCTTTCATCAATTGAAATCGTTCCGATTTGATCTTTGTGAACTGATTCAGCGAGTTCTCCTCCCCCTTCAATCCTTTTCACCCATTTTTCCACAGCAATCTGACTTGATTGAATTGATTCAAGAGACGTTGAAGCATGGATTTGAGAGAGAACATCTCTTTCGAATGGGTGAAAATCGATGGAACGAAATCGCCTGCCTCGCATTGCAAATCGGACTATCCATTCCAGACAAAGATCGATTGAGAAGCGAACTATCCGAGCAGTTTGCTCAGGACCTCGATGAGCATAAATTGTTCGCCTCCCTTTCTCTCTGTCAGTGCGTTTCATTCCAACCTCCGATTTCCATATTGGATCGAATTCTTTCTTTTTCACCTTCCCTCTCAACCGAAACCCTTTTAAACCTCTTCTGCCAGCTTTGGAACCAACAAAAAAACCCGATCGATCGAAGATACCTTATCCCCATTCTCCAACTCGCCTCCCATTCTTCTCTCTCCACTTCTCTCTCCCCATCCCTTCTTCTCATTTCCTCCCTTCCATTCTCCTCTCTCCAAGAGTTTCTTGTTTCCTTATCAGCAGATATCATCAGTGACGAGCAGATTCTCTCGCTTCTCCGACTGCTCCGCGTAATCAACGAGAAATCCTACGCGATCAGCAAAGCGTCAGCGAAACAAATCGTCCAAGAAAATGACGTCGACGAGGAAATCCGCGAGCAAACCACGCAGGCATCGCAGGAAGCTTCGCTGAACGTACGAATGCAAAAGGGGTACGAAGTAGCTCGCCTATTTCCGGTCTGGGATTCTTTCGTGCTATGTTCCCTTGCTATCGTGCGACTTATCGAATGAGATGAGTGCTAGAGAAATGATTTGCTCCGACTTCACACACAACTCCACCACCCAGATCGAAATCATGAGAGAACTGGTGCTTCTCTCCCATCAAATCTTGAAACACACACCTCGCTGTAACGAAACCGAGCTCTTTTCCCAGTTTCTCGTTGCCATCATGGAGATGGACGACCGAGCCGTTCTCCAATCCGTCACGCCTTTGTGTGTGGCTGCACTTCTCGATGTGAACAGCGACGATTCCGCTGTGCTTCCGCGCTTGGAGGAATGCACTCGCACTCTCTGCACTGCGGAGTGTTTTGATTCGATTCAACAAATCCTGTTTCTTGTTCTTCACGCCATCTCCATGAATCAAATCCACGATAGTTATCTGCGAGCAGCATTCATCGCCTATTGCAGAGTTCCCACACTTCGCGAGGGCATCGAAGTCGGACTCAGCAGTCTCATGCGAAGCACTTCAAAGGGAGATTTGAACGATTATCTGCTTGATGGGATCGTGGATTGGCTGCGATGCGATCAAGACGAAGCGAACTGCATCGAGCCCATTCGCTTTTTGCTGCGAACCACGAAGGGAATCGATGAGAGAAAGGTGATCAACACGCTCGTCGCGTTCTTTGTCAAGACGCCTTCGCTGCCTCTTTTGGAGCTGATCGCCTCGTACAAAACGGCGTGGGACGAGCACGCACACGCGCTGTTAGAAGAGTACTCGCGTGGAGAGCAGCCCTTCGGCGAACGCGTCAAGGAAGAGCTGCGAAGCCTGAAGAGAGCCAAACGATCCTCGCTTGTTTGAGTCAATCGCTTGAGTGAACAAACACGAGCAAACCAAATGACCCAGTCACAGAATACTCAGAAATCACTTTCTCTATCTAGTTCACTGGTCGAAGACCACTCGTTTTCTTTACTCGCCTGTGGGCTTCGTTTCACACATAACCCGCGCTCTGCATACGCATCGATCTCCTTCAAAGCCTGTTCCACGTACTCATGAAGGAACCAACCAATCAATCCATGAATGAATGAATGAATGAATGAAAAGGATATAAAAATGCATCCCTGTGAATCACACTTCGTCTTGAGATCGTTCAACACCTTCTCCACCTTGAAATCGACAAACAACTGCGCAGTCACTTCTACCCATCACCTCCTTCCCCCTCTCCCACCATTCTTCAGCATGTATCGAATCGCCCCCGCCGCAAACCCCAGCCACAGACACAAGTGCTGGATGATGTATAAAGACACGCTCTTCTTCTCTTCTAGATCGCCCCCCACGCGCGGCGTGAACGACAAATCCGACATCCGCGAGTCCTCCGACAGCGAGCTCACCCGCTCCGGCGTGTGCGACTGGAAGCTCGCATCGCGCAGCATCAAGTGTTCTGTCGGCGAGCTGAGCACGTCCGCCGCGTTCTCCGGAGGATAGACCTCGTTCTCCACCGCGATCTCGAGGTACGCGTTGATTTCCTGGAAGAACGCGGAGAGCTGGCCGTGAGATCGATCGCACAACGCTACGAGAGGCGCCTGGATGAAGAGGGGCGTCGAGGAGTACATCGCCAGATTCATCAGCTGTCCGAACAGCACGCCGTTCAGATCGTTCCGATGCTGCAGCAGCAGCCGGCGCAGCCGCTCCAGTCCGCGCTGATGCAGAAAATCAACCACCATGTCGGGGTCTAAACCTCATTGCTGGCTTCGAAAGCGACCTCGGATGATGTTGGAGATCGCGCGCGCGGCGCAGACGCCGACCTTCCCGCTCCAACTCTCCTCGACCTGCATGAGCGCGTTGAGCCCGTTGGCGAGCTTGAAAAGCTTCATGTTTTCGGGGTGATTGGCGAGGAGAACGGAGGCCGTGCCGATCGCCGAGGTCACCACGTGCGCGTTGGGGCAGGAGAAGCAATTGATAATGCGGATGATGCCGTCGCACGGACCCACGCGGTTCTGCGGTTCATTCGCCTCCGCAATCCCCACCTTGCACTCCGGGCATTGCCGACAGCACGTCTTAATGCACTCCAAACAATACAAAATCTGCTTCTCGTTGCTCAGATGAATCATCCCGAAGAACAACTCCACGCCATTCAGATCGCACACTTCGCGGCAATTCGCGCCGTCCACGTTGCACAAGTTCATCAAAATCCCAACCAGATACAAGCACAACTTCCGCACCGACGAATTCGACGACGGAACCGTCTCCGGCGTTCCCCGCGGGGTAAACGCCACCATGCTATTCTCCGATAACCGCGGCAACGACGGCTTCGCCTCCGGACTCACCGGACGCGTCTGTCTACGCCTCACCGAGCATTGCCGAGTCTACTGGGCATTGACGACTTCGTTCTGGAGGATGGAGATGAGCGTGGTGATGCCTTCGCTCTCGCGGAACACCGTCGAGATTTCCCGCGAGGATTGCGTCATATTCAGCAGACACCCCGCGGTCGCCAGCATCAGCTCCAGGATTTCTCGCGAGATCGCGCGGTTCCGAGCCAGCTGGGCATTGCCGAACTGCAGACAGCGGATCAGACTGCCCATCACGTCCTTCCGCTTCACCGCCTGCGCGATAACCGCGGGTTGCTGCACGCTCTGCTGCCGCAGCTGCCGCAGCGCGGCGATGCGCAGCGACACGACGGAATACCGCACGAAGAACAACGCCGCGTGCAGACTGCCCGGAATCGCGGTTTTCTCGGCGAACTCGAGGCGCCATCGGCAGCCATCGGTGCAGCGGAAGACGCTCTTGTCCTCCTCGTCCTCTTTGGCCGTGCGCACCGTGCGGATGCTCAGATGCACGCTCGTCTGGCCCTCCTTCGCCGGAACGCCCAGACGCAGCGAGTTGGACTGGTCGAGCAGCTCGCGAAGCGAGGATTCCGCCGTGCAGAGGAACTTCCAGAAGCTCTGGTCGAAGTCGCGGGAGGTGAAACGCCGGTGCGTTTCGCGGTCGACTTGGGAAAGCGCGGAAACGGAGTCCAAAGGGAGAAACGAGGCGATTAAAACTTGACTGGCGAAGGGGAGGCGGCTCCAGGGAGAGGAGGGCTGCGCGAGGAGGGCGTGGCAGGCGTGACAGACGCGTTGGAGACCCATTTTGGAGTGAGGATAGCCGTAGGCGGAGAGATCCTACGCATCATGACGGGAGATGGCAGGAAACGGCTTGGAGGGAAGAACACGCTTTGCAAAACACGCGGCCGCACAAACGGCAGTGATGGCGACGCTTAAATAGGGAAAAGGAACAACCACAATCAGAACAGCGCGCAGACATCGAATCAGGAACCCAAAGAGGGGTCATTCGATATTCGCCAACTTTGCTGTACGATGAATAGCCAAAATCACTTCGTCTTTCGATCGGATGTAGATGATGGTTCTGCGTCTCACCACTTCGCAATTGATCCTACGTAGATGTCGCCACAGCACTTTGATTCTGCAAACGTCGCGTACGACTTCAAACTAGGAGACAGCGGCTTTGTATTCGCCACGTAGTTCTTCCGGAAGTCTGGCAAACAATTGGAATAACAGAGAACGCAGCTCTTGCAAACACGATGTTGATTGTACTTTCCCAGATAGGGAATTGGAGATACGTAAGGAGAACAGTAGGAACATACGCTCTATGCTGGGTAAAGCGAGAACTCGAATACTTGGTTGCAGCATTCACAATCATACAGTTTACACTTCTCACTCTCTATTGCCCCACATAGAGAGCAGTTTCGTTGATGTGAACGAACAACGGGCATTCCACTTTTCAGATATCTACTACCCCCAGATAATAGTGTATCCCCGCGGTTGTGCACACTGGGTCATCAGCGGGAGGGAATTCAAAGCGAATCGTTTCCTGGAGGTGAAAATCCATTCACGGGTCGAGTGCCCATCCGAAATGTGAGATGGGAGTAGTAGTTTACACAATTCGTTACACAATCCAAATCCTCTGCTTGCACAAAGTCGACTCGATTTCTATCCACCCACCATTCTCACACGCATGCGAAGAGAGAGCACACAGAAATAAACGATTCTAAGACCAGGTCTGATTTGGAAAACATAGTACGGATTGAAAGGACTTTCAACTCCTGTTGTTTTTTATATATATATATATATAATATAAGATTCTTGTACTGTGCCTACTCCCATTCCAATTCCAATTCCAATTTCAATTCCTGTTTCTATTCTACGGACCCAATTCTTACGTCAGCAGATTTTGGATGAAACTCCCGATCCTAATCGTTTTGGTCAATTTTTTTTTAATGATTAACCCTATAAATGAGTGTTTGATGAATTCTAAGGATATTCAAGTTCTGTGGACACAGTCCAGCGAGTCAAATCGCGTCGTTTTTCGATGTGTTCATCGCACATCCCCTAGTTTGTTAGAGTCTCCTTGTCACAGTAAGATTGTATTGGGGAGACGATCTAGTTCTTTATTTAGCACTCCAAAACAGTGTGTTGAGTTGAGTGAAGTTTGTTCCATTTCCAAAGAAGAGGAAGAAGAGTCATCACCTTATGACAACTTTTTTGATTGTGATTATGGTTATTTAGCCCTTCCAATTGACTTTCATCTTTCCTACCCGTAACAATGATGATGATAGATGATATATATATAAAATAATGATTGTCGCTTGTTTGCTGCAACAAACCCCCTTCAACTTAATCTTTCTCCCACTTTACAAACACACGAACCACTCCATCAATCAATCTCAAAAACACCCTCCTTCTCCTCTCTACTGCATAATGAACTCTCCCGAAGACCCATAATGGATCGCCACAAGCAGTCGCTCTCTCATGATCTGCTCCGACGAATACTGCGGCAGCTCCAACTGGAAGAAGCACGTATGCGCCACCGGCAACATATAATCCCCCGCGTTCTTATACGTCAGTTTAAACGGCCGCGGCCACGACTCGCTCTTGGGCAGCTTCGACCGTCCCCATGTGAACCGCAGGAACTGGCTGCGATCCTTGTCGGTGAGTCCCTCCATCACATTCCAGAATTGCTTCACCACCGGATGGCTCTCCGTCCATCCAATATACACCGTGTGCTTCTTCAGCAGCTCCACGGAGATCTCCGGCACTCCCTTCACCGTCCGCTCCAATTGCTCCCACGTGAAGAGCGACAGCGCTCGCTGCGGAACCAGCGCGTACACGCCCGCAGCGATCGCCTCCGCGGCCTGCCGCGCCTCGTTGATGCGCGCCTCGAGCGCCATCTTGCAGAACTTGAGGCGGTTGTGGAAGGTGACCGCGATCTGCGACCCCGAGGGCAGCAATTCCACCTCGTTCCCCGCGGAATCCAGAATCGCGAAGACCATATCGAACACGAACGGGAACTCGTCGACGCCGTCGCTCTCGGAGTACTCTCGCACCTGCTGGAGCGTGGAGATGAGCCCGGAATCGACGGCCTTGATGTCCTCCTCGGTGACCTCGTCGCCGACGATCGTCTTCCAGATCTGCGGGGACAGCTCGAACGACAGCAGGTGCTTCGTGCGCAGCGACACGCCGATCAGGTTCCCCACGAAGCGGTACATCTCCAGCGCCTCGCTGCTGTCGCGGTAGCGCGGGTTGGGGATGAATCGCTCCTCGGTTTCCTGGTCGTTCATGGCGTTGGGGCACGGAATGAACAGGTCGATGTGATCCGAGAACAAATCTTCCACGCAGCGCTCCACCGCGTCGCGGTACAGCCCGCCCCAGTCCAGGCCCTGCTCGCCCTTGTATTTGATCGCCACCAGCCGGTCTTTGGAGTCCAGCTTCGCGCGCAGCACGCTCACCGGGAACCGCTGCATCTGCCGGCAGAACTGCGCGAACATGCACTCCGAGTTGATCGCCGAGTGGCTGTCGTTGTCCATGTCGTCCCCCGACCGCTCCAGCTCCGTGAAGATGCGCCGATTGTCCAGCTCCACGATGGGGTACGCCGCCTGGCCGGAGTACTCCGTCTGCTTGATGCTCATCTCCAGCACGTTCTCTTTGATCGTCGGGAACACGTACAGCGAGATGCTCGTGATCAGCGAGCCCAGCGTCCGCTCGTCCTTCCCGCTCGCGTTCATCAGCTCGATCAGATGCATGCACGGCTGCAGCTGCCGGTTGTAGAACTGCAGCAGCGCGATGCGCAGACGGAGGTGCACCGGATCCACGTCGCGCAGCGCGTAGTAGCGCGCCTTGTCGTCGTCGGTGAGCGCGTAGGAGCGCGCGTCCACGTCTAGTAGCGACGATTTGGACTGCTGCGCGAAGATCTCGAACGCGGTGAGCAGGTCCTCGTCCATCAGAGGCGAGAAGGAGCGCATGGCCTCCACGGCGAGGCGATAATTCGGCTCCGTCCACGGCAGACCGGTCGCCTCCATGATCACGCGGAGATATTTCGCGGGGATCGGCGCGCGGTAGTAAATGCAGCGCGTCAGCAGATGGACCGACGTCAGCTGCTCGAGCAGCGAGTCTTTCTTGACCTCCGGAACGTTCTCTACCCACGGAGCGATCATGGAAGACTGATTCTCCTTGAGAGAGGCGGCGTCGATCTCCTCCTTCAGCGTGTAGGTGAGCAGGAAGTCGAGGAGCAGCGGCAGCTGCGAGGGAACGATCGTGTTCCGGTCGATGTTCTCGCAGTAGCGCAGCACGACGGTCATCATGCCGCTGACGTCCGGATGCGCCGTGACGGTGATCTGGGACGAGGTGATCAGCCGCGACAGCAGCTCCACGACGCGCATCTTGAAGGGCATTCCGGAGGTCTGGAGGTAGAGGACCAGGTTGTTGAGCGTCCGGTTGAAGAAGTCGTCCTTGTCGAACTTGTAGTTCTTCGAGATGTCGATCAGAAGGTCGTACGCGTAGCAGTTCCAGTCGAAACAGCGCGACGACAGCACGTCCGCGTCGCACGACCAGTTCACGTTCTCGAAGGGCTGCACCATGAACCCGTAGCCCCACTGATCGCCCGTCGACACGTTGCTCTCGTACGTGAACCGCACCGTGTTCCCGCGCACCGTGAACGAGCAGAACGCGTCGGCCGTGCCGGAGAACCGCGCGATGGACTGGTTCATCGCCTCGTCCTGGTAGAAGGACAGCGAGGCGTGGGTAGGGTCCAGATAGCACTGCCGATCGAAGATGATGCGGAGCCCCGCGGCGCCGGGGATGGTGATCTTGTCGGAGTACTTGGTTTTGGGGAAGGAGGGGTGCAGCGAGGACACGTACACGCAGTTGTTGGTGAAGTTCCCGATGGAGATGGAGGACAGCGTGAGCTGCCGCAGCGACGCGGACTCCATGCTGAGTCGCTCGTCCTCGGGAGGAACGTACAGCGTGACTTTGTTGTTGTCCGTGTCGTCCCATGTGCCGTCCATAAACGCTTGGATCAGCGTCAACGCGCGCGGAGACGTGCTGACGATCTGCCGGATGGCCAGCTGCAGCAGCTTGAACTGGCAGGACTCCAGCGTCATGGTCTCGTGGAACGTCGACGTCCACGACTGCGAGGTTTTCTGCGTGAGGTAGATGAACTTCATCAGCCGCACGATGTCGTAGCTGTTCATCTTGCAGCTGTCGATCACGTCCAGGCGCGGCTGCATCAGATACAGCAGCGAGATCATGGTCTCGCGGCTCCACAGCTGCAGCAGCGCCACGCACAGCCGCCCCACGATGCCTCGCAGATGCTGCACGTCGTCCAGATGGAACAGCAGACGGTACTTCTGCACGCGCACCTCGCTCTCGTCGTAGGATCGGTCCTCCACGATCCCCGTCTCCGGGTCCAGCACGCTCAGCCGCACCTTCCCGTTGCTGATCGCGGTGATGACGCCGGTCGGAGATACCGGGGAGTAGACCAGATCCTCCTTGCTGACGCAGCTGATCACGCCGTAGAGCGAAGACGACCGCGCCACGCCGTCCGTTCGCACGTTGTCTGCACACTGCAGACGCGAGAACGGAGGAAACATCGTGGACAGCAGCGAGGGCGTGAGCGCAGCCGACTTGACGGGCTCGGCGATGAGCGGCTGCCGGATGGAGGTCTCCAGATCGTTCAGAACGGAGACGTCTTCGACCTTGCCGCCAATCGGAGTGATCTGCCGGTTTTCCTCCGAGATCTTGAGAATGAAGTCCTTCTTCATCTCCATCAGGTACGACACGGTCGAGTCCATATTATCCTGGTACGACTACATGGTTAGCAACGCCTTCCTCCATCCCTCCTACCCGCAGCATCTTATAACAAATATCCTCGTTATACCCGGTGATCCCGGAGATCGTCTTCGCCAGCTTCGTTCGCTTCTCATCGCGCAGCACCGTCGGTCTCCCATCGTCCCACGGGTCCGTCGCCTCGTCCTTTCCCAGTCCGCACGTGGCTCCGTACGATCGGCGTCGCTCTCGCTCCATGCGCGATGTCTCCGACTGCAGCTCCATCGGGAGGAATCGAGGCGATCCGGGGTACGTATTGATCAAGTACTCCACGAACCAGTTGTAATACTGCATCATCACCGAGGTGGCCAGCGGCATGTTGCACGCGACCGGCTTCACCGCCACGCGGAGAATCTGCGCGATCACCGGCTGCTGGATCGACTGCACGAGGTCCGGGACGTCGATCAGGATGCTTTGGAGACACCGGATCAGATGCAGCGCAATCATCGCTTCCTGCAGGCGAGGAACGGGGAGCGACAGCGCCGACGTATTAAAGAACGGCATGGAGCGCGCAGGCATCGTGAACAGCTCTTTGGGCAGCTTGAGAAGCGACACCAGCTCCTGCAGAGACGGCAGCAGCGCCTGGTAGCAGTCCTTGAGACCCGCCGGCACGCGTTCGCGATCGATCACGTCCAGCGCGTAGAGGCTCATCGACCGCGGAGTGTCGATCTTGTCCATCAGCACCACCACCTCGCTCATCGTTCGGTTCCCCTTGATCACGAACCCGCTGCCCGCGCTCCGGTACGCCGTGTGCATCAAATCCTCCGCGTCGGCGGACCCCTCCGCCATGAACTCGTGCGGCCGGATGCGGCAGCCGCTGTAGAGATGCGGCGACAGCCCGCCCAGCACCTTCAGCACCGCGATCAGCGCCGTCACCCAGGGCGTCCGGAGGAACAGGAACAGCTCGTCGGGCTGCGCTGCGTCCGACTGCTCGCGCCTCTTGGCCTCGACGGCGCCCTCGACGATCTCGGTGAGGATCTTGCAGATGATGGGCTTCCAGAAGGGCTGCGCGAGGAGCCGGCGGAGCGTGTAGACGGCCTCCTCCGCGGTGATCTCGGCCGAGTAGGAGGCGCTGTGGCCGTCGGGACGGATGGCCATCTCGCAGAGCGTCTGCTTGGGAACGGCGAAGAGGTCGCGGAGCAGCGAGGCGCGGTTTTGGTCCTTGCAGGCGGAGAAATCCGAGAAAAGGTTGAAGAGGATCGCGTCGTAGGGACAGCAGAGCGCGCAGGCGGCACGCTCGCCGAGCAGAGCGCTGGCGCAGGAGTCGGCGTGCGCTGCGAGATGGAGAAGGTGGTAGATGAAGAGATGGCAGCGCGCCTCGTCGGTCAGATGGGAAGGAACGGAGAGGAGCGCGTTCTCTGGAGGCGGGGAGCGGAGATAGGTGTGGTGGATGCAGTTGTCGTTGGGCACGCGGACGATTTGGTCGCTCATGTTCTGCAAGACCATCAGCATGAGTCGCTGGATTCGCGGGGAGAGATGCATCATCTCGATGCCCAGGTCCAAAATCGCGTCCATTTTGAGCACGGTCCGCATGTCGGTTTTGCACACGAACACCAGCAGACCCATCAAGCACGCGACGAACGCTTCGCCCGCGCACACGCAGCAGTCCATCTCTACAGAGCCCTGCAGATTGGTCTTCCCGTCCAGGCTCTCGCGGATGCACGCGTTCGGATTGATCGAGGAGTTCAGCTGGCTGTACAATGAGTGAGCGAAGGGCTGCCAGCGCTGGCACAGTCGCGTCAGCACGGCTCGCTCTCCATTCACAAAATTCACGAAGTCGTTGAGCAAAACGCACGTCACGCGCCGGTACAGCGCGCTTCTGCGCACGAACAGATTGCTCACGTCGCTCAGCGTCCAGAAAAACAGGCTCTCCCGGTTCTGCGCGGCGGAATTCACGCTTTTGATGCGGTGGTCGCAGACCTGGTCGATCACGATCAGATTGTAGCACACGCGAAGCACGTTCGCCAGCATCATCAGCGACGTCGGAAACACGCCCAGCACCGACTGGTCGATCCGCAGGTAGTTCCCGCGGTTCTTGAACTCCTCGAGAATCCCGCGGAAATACGACGATTTGAGCGGAACCAGCTTCTCGGCCATCTGGTCCCACAACGGCCCCGGAGAGATGAGCACCTCGTCGCCGTTGCCGGAAATCCGGCCGTACCAGTTGGAGAGGCTGTGCAGCGCCGTCTCGATCAGCATGGGGACGTACAGAGACAGGCAGAAGTAGGGGATTTTGGGCGACGCCATGGTGACCAGCACGAAGAGCACCGCGCTGCCGAGCCGCCAGTTCAGATTCGCCATGCATTTGTTGAACAGGTCGATCAGGTACTGCCCGAACTTCCGCCAGCTCTGCAGCAGCGCGCGATACGCCTCCGGCGAGCAGCCCTCCGTGTGGTGCAGGTAGTCGCGGTGGAAGCCCTCCGCCGCCTTCCCGCCCTTCCAATTCACCAGCGCGTTGCTCACGCCCAGCAGGAACAGCCGCGCCGCCTGCGGGAAGTTCTCGATGGTCTTCAGCATCACCACCACGTCGTCCACCGCGTGCTGCAGCGTCAGCGCGTTCTCCGTCCGCGCCTGCAGCGTCCGCCGAATATCGTTCACGGACGCTGGAATAAACAGCATCAGCAGCTTCTTGACCGAGGAAGTCACCAGCTCCGCGATCGACGTCGGCACCGCCCCGCGGTCGTCGCCCAGCTGGCTTTTCGACGGGATGTGCCGCGCTGGGTACGCGGGACGGTCCTCGGGAGTGCCCAGCAGGTTGTCGGAGATGCCCATCGCGTCGCGGTCGTTCAGATCGAGCGGCTGCGCGAGCTCCATGAGCAGATTCATCTTCTCCATCATCACGTCGAGGAACTCTTCGTAGCTCTCCGCCGGCTGCACGAACTCGGGGTCCGTGAACTCCTGCGCCTCCGCGGCGCGGGGCGGCATCGCCGACTCGCCCTCGAACGTCATCAGGCGCCGCATGTCCTTGTTGATCACCGAGGACCCCGCGGTGGAGCCGGCGGCCTGGAAGGCGGTGCTGCTCCGGATGCGCAGCGTGTACTCCTTCCGCTTCTGCAGGCGCAGGCTGTCCGTCGTCGTGGAGCTGCGCCGCACGATCGTGATCGTGTTGGTCGTGCGTGACGCGCTGATGTTCTGGTGCGACACGAACTCCTGCTTCTTCGAACGCAAAAAGTTCCGCAGCGCCACGACGTTCTTCCAGATCTCCGACACGTTCTCCGTCACCTCGGGCGTCTGTCCGCGCTCCAGCGCGCTCATCAGAAGCTCCAGATCGCCGCTTTGCCGACGCATCTTCGCGAACACCGCGAGCCAGCGCAGCTCCAAGTTCACACTGATGGGCTGGTGCTTGCGCCGCCAGGCAGGCTCCGGGAACTTCTCGTCCAGAAACGTGTGCAGCACCGTGTAGCGATTCTCGATGTTCTCATACACGTCCTGAATGAAGCTCCCTCGCGCGCGATCGGCCTCGCTAGGCGTGAGAGAAGCGTGAAATGGAAAGAAACCTCATTAATCCGCCGCTGAATAGATAGCTCTCCGCGATGTATTGGAGCTCCGGGGTCTTGTCTGCGATCTGAAAGTAGCGCGTGTTGTAGTGGATCTTCGAGGAAATCACGGTGAGCAGATAAAAAAGCGTGAGATACCACGAAATCGGCTGCGGCGTCGGCGTGAAGTTCGGATCGTACATGGGCAGAAACATCAAACTATCGTTCTTCTGGTGGAGATCGCTCTGAAAATGAGCCACGCCCGGCAACTCGCACATCGATGCAGCACATCTTCATCAGCTGGCACCACATTGTTAGCAGCTCTAACAGGTCCCCGCTCGCGTAGCTGATCACGTCCATCGCGAAGGTCCCCACATACAGCACGTTCACAGCGTACGGCAGCAGGTGGCCCAAGGCCGTCTCGCGCAGCGCGCTGATCACATCCGCCACACGCGACGTTTGCTTGATGAAGAGCAGCGCTTTGGTGAGGATTCGGACGCAGGACGAGCACAGAGAGGACAGATAGGCCTGCATAATCGCGGTTTCGCTGCGAGCTGCGGTGGTATCGCCTTCGGCTTGGGAGAAGAGATAGATCTGGAAGGGGAAGAGGATGTTGTTGATGGCGTTCTGCGATCGACTCGACGGTTTGAAGCAGGAATCGACGAGTTGCTCGTGCGAGAGATATTCCTACTTCAAAACCCGATCAAAATGCAAACGAGGATGTCCTTCTCGGCGACCTCGATGACTTGGTTGATGATCTTCAGCGCTTCTTGCTCCATCGCGGGGTCGCGTCGACTCTCCAAATCGTAATCAGGAAGCATGCGACTCAGCTGCTCGCGCGTGATATGCGGCGCGAAGAAGCCTTTCGATTTGGCCAGTCCGTTGCGAAGATAGTGCGAGCAATACCGAGACCAGTACGCTATTTCTCACACTCGCTCAACACATCAACTCTCCGACGCCTCCATCACGCCATACACGGGGCGATAATCGTCTCGACGCATCGGGTACACGCTAGCAATCAACCGGGATGTTCAGTTCCACTCCACAACGTCGTAGCAATTCTCGGCGCCGTACCGATACATGTTTCCCTCGCCGTTATCCCAGCGAACACGCACGCCTTTCTGCGGAATCCCCTTCCAGTCCTTCACGTATTGCACGACGCCTTCTTCGCCGTCGCCTTGGGAACCCCACATCCAATCGGGACCGCGGATCACGCGATCTCCGGGACGCAGAGGAGGGAACAAAACTAGGGGTGGGGAGGGGAGAGGAGAACGGTACATTCTTTTTCGTCCTCGTTTAGATCGTGCATCGGACAAAACTCACAATGAGGCACCTTTCTATGATCAGAACCGCGCAGCAAACGAAGGTACCCGCAAGTGCAGAATGTGGAACTACCAGGATAGGCGGGGCGCAAAGAAGCTCGATTTACTTGAGCGGAACGAAGGATACTGTAGATGAACACACACTTAGGAGTGATACCGCTGGATAAACAAAATAACCGCGTTGCGACGAATAAACAATTCTTCAAATGAACTAGAACTATGGACTAAATAAGATAATTCCTGCTCATTAACAGATCATGTCAATTCTCACCTGGAAGTTTGCAGTTTCGAATTTAAAGTCACCTTGAGAACGAATTGTTCCCGCAGAAGAACGCAAAGTGAAGTTTTTCATGTTTTCAAAAACTAGACTGTGAAAATCCGGATTCAAATTGTACATTCTTTTCTCTTTACCTCTGAAAGTCGGATACCTTGGATATCTCCTAAAGTGATCGGATAGTCTTCCCGAAACAGAACTGCTACAGGAGGAGTTTCCGTAAACATATTCTTTGTAACATTTACCAAAAAGTTGGCAGAACAACGTTCCTAATTGTTCAACTCCGTAACTATTGCGTACCCAGTACCAACCTTCACCTCCAATACACGAATATTTATCGTATGTTGAAGTCGACATGGTCTTCTCCAATTCTATTATTATTTTTGTTTTGTGAAGAGATGAAAAATACCCCCGATTTGTGGAATTTAACAAAACAGAATTACATGATAACCCTTACACGTCCATTTAACGCTCCTTCTCTTCCTTAGTGCTGTGTCGAATTTCCAGAATTCTCTCCGCTCTCTCCCTGATGCATGAAGCTACCGAACGAGTTCGCGAGATTCTGCATCAACTCCGGGTTTTCTCTCAGCGAGTTCGCCCTGCCCTTCACTCCCCTCCGCACTCCTACGCCTGCTGCAGCAGCGGGTTGTTCAGCAATCCTTCCCATCCTCCCTGCTGCGCTTCCGACCGGCTTTCGGGACGATTTTCGCTTCCTCCCTCGCGCTGCGCAGAGTCCTGCTGCGCAGAGCCCTGCTGCGCATCCTCCGACGCGTGCTGCGGCGTTTCGGAGGGAGCATTGCCGCCCATGAAGGAGCGGAAGGAATTGGCGAGGTTCTGAATCTCGGGGTTTTGCATCAGCGACGCCGCGCTAGAAGTCACTGAGAACCGCGGAACCCACGTCTGACGAAACTCCGGGTTGTTCAGCAGATCGCCCAGGCCTCCGCCCTGCTGCTGCGAAGAGGGTTGCTGCGAAGAGGGTTGCTGGGCAGAGGGCTGCTCACCAGAGGGTTGCTGAGCAGAAGGCTGCGAAGAGGGCTGCTGCGAAGAGGGCTGGGCACTCTGTCCGAAGAGCTGTCCGAAGGAGCTGAACAGATTCTGCATCATTTCGGGGTTCTGCATCATCGAATTCGCTCTACATCGCAGGGTTCCACGGTTTCTACGCTTCGCGGATCGCCGGGTTGTTCAGCAGTCCGCTCAATCCGCCCAGACCGCTCTGGCCGCTCTGGCCGCTCTGTGAGGTCCCCGACTGGCTCGGATTTGCCGAGCTGGGAGCGGTCTGGCCGACGAGAGAGGCGAGGGAGGCCTTGAGCTGCTCGTTGTTGGGGTCGATGGCGAGTCCGGATTCGCAGGCGGAGAGCGCTTCCTGACGCTGATTGGACTTCATGTAGGCGGCCACGAGACGGACGTAGGCCTTGATGTAGGACTGGTTGAGGGCCAGAGCCTTCTTGCAGTCTAGATGGGAGGGAAGGGAGAGAGCGACCATCGATGGCGGATTTGTAGTCCTTGTGGTAGAACGACGCCGTCGCGCGGTTCGTGTAGTAGATGTAGTTGTTCGGGTTCGTCGCGCTCACGTTCAGCGCTTTCGTGTAGCATTTGATCGCCTCGTCGAAGTTCCCAGTGCGGAAATGCTTGTTTCCTTCCTCCTTGAACGACTCGCTCTCATGGATGTGGTCCGCAGTGGAACGCTCCGCTTGCTGGCTGTTCTTGCGGTACATATACTTATCGATCGCCTTCTGCAGCAAATCCTGCACTCGATAAAAAACATGCAAATAAATACTTTGTACTCAGCACTATCGGGAGAGTATGACTGGAAGTAGCCGCGTTGCTCAAGCTTGCTCACAAAAGACTGCAATTCCGGACTCAATTCAGAATGATCCCCCGCCTTCTTATGGGATTCCAAGTACTTCAGATTAAATCACAGAAGCAATCGTACGGAATTAAAAATGCTCGACAAGGAATCAGTCACGCCATACTGTGTGCGAGTCTGCGCATCCGTTCTGTCCATATTAAACGACATTCTACTCGTAAAATAACTCGCCAAATGCCACTGGAGCAGACGAATTGCCTCTTCCGTGAGAGAACTGTTGTTAGACTGGTTCTTTACACCGTCCAAATAGTCGAGAATTGACAATAACAATCGCTTATCCATGGAATCCTTTACAACAAAACAAATAAAATGAAATGAGCATTCCGCGATTATTCAACACTTCTTGGGGGAACTCGAATCGACCTTGTTTTTCCTCGATTTGTCCAATCTATCCTAGATAGTGTGAATATTGAGTAGAATGCCTGATACAGAGTCGAAATCCAGCAGCAAGAAGCATTTGAAGCCCACTTTTGTTTGCCCTATTGCAAAGCCTTTGGCTGATAAGTCTTTGGAGAAGAAAGTTCTGAAACTTGTTAAGAAAGGTAGGTTATGACAAATTATGCACTTCGTTTCCTAATCCTTTGTGTAGCTTCAAGTGGCAAGATTGTTCGTCGAGGCGTCAAGGAAGTTGGAAAATCGATTCGTCGAAATGAGAAGGGGTACGTTAGTAATACTTTGGAAGTCATTCCTAGAGTGCTCGTCCTTGCTGCAGACATCTTCCCTGTAGATGTGATTTCTCACTTGCCTGTTCTTGCTGAGGAAAACAGCATTCCTTATGTATTCGTTAGCTCACGGGTATGAGCGTTTTGCTTGATGAACTTGTAGCAAGCTCTCGGTGAGGCTGTAACTTCCAAGCGTCCCACTAGCTGCATTTTTGTTGTGAAGAAGGACGATTTCGAAGAGAAGAAGAAGTTTGAAGAGGTTTTCGATGAAGTGAAGCAGTTGGATATAAGTCTATAACTATGAATATCTTGTTACGTTTATTATCATAGTTTGTTTGTTACAAACACGCTCATTCCACATGTGCTGCTGCTGCTGCCGCTGCTGCTGCCGCCTGCTTTCCTCTGCGATTCGCCATGTCGGACAGGAAAATATTCCAGAAAAATACACCGACGGTAGTAAAGAACACTTGGTACTAATTATCAATACCAGGAGAAAGCAATGCTACCTGTAAAGGAACATACTTGAAGTTGATGATTTGAAGGAATGGCCACACGCAATAGTTTACCTGTTAATCGCATTTCATCATAAAGAATACCTTAAGTGTGTTCCAAAGGCAAGCTTTGACTCTGCGAATACCTGCAGATGGTTGATTGTGAGGATCCTATAATATTGTATGTATACAATAAGTACCTCCAAAGCAGATAAACCGAAAAACATAAAAGAATCAAACACAGGGACAAAGAATAGCTATGAAGAGTAATAGTTTCTAGATCCTACCTGATCAAACGCCATTTTTGTTAGAACTCGCTGCATCCCTTCCAGTTTGATCGATTGTTGGAGGAAATTGTACCAATAGTGATTGATACCGCCATAGCACATGCAAACAAACTACATTCAAACAATCCATTTCAAAATACGCCCATTCGAAACACTCGACCCCAATCCACTTTGAAGTGTTCGTCTTCTACGGTTCATCCGTAACTGTCCTCGCTATACTGCTCATGATACGTTGCGCTGCAATATCTCCACTGCATCCTAGGACAACAGAAGTTAGACATTTTGTTATCAGTGGGTGTGCCTAGGATATGAGCCACAGTTATGATTTTCCACATTTAATGCACGAGAATAAGCCGATAAAATAGAAGCCATCCAACAAAAAAAGAAAATGTCAAACAAACAAGAATTTCTATGAAGATTTTTCAAGAATCGCTAGTAATCTCGCAGCCTCTCGATATTTATTATCCAATGTCCGAGTCGAGAACCTATCCTGCAGGATGTGTCTTTTCGCCTCCTCATCGATCACCCGATAGTTCTACCCATCAAATTTCGCTCTGTCTCCCTACAAAGGGTATCAAAATCAGCATATTGCAAATCGCACCAATGGCTCGTTCCAGCACGACCTCGTCCTTGCAGTGGTTAATCAGGTCGCACCCCACCGTCACAATGGCACTACTCATCCCCGCGATTTCCGGCGAAGCAGTTCCCGCTCTTTTTTCCTTCTCGTCTTCGCAAAATTGCGCCGCGTTTAATAAAAACGAACTCATCGCCTGCATCACCATGCGATTCTCGTACAGCGAGACCACCTTGCAGAACGCCAGGAGATCATGCAGCTCATCTGCCAGAATGTCGCTGCGCGACACGGCGAACAAATTGGCAAGAAGCCTGAAAAGCACTGCGAGAAGCGCTGGAGACACGCTTGGAAGCCTATCGAGTCAAACCGAAAAGGGGAAAAGGGGAACTGAATTTGGCGGAAAACCGCGGGGAGATCGAAGGCTGGATTGGAGAGAACGAGGTCGGAGCCGTTGGGAAGCAGAACCACGGATTTATAGATGTCGTAAACGGGGAAACGGAGGTCCAGAGGCCAGGAGAGAAGGCGATTGAGGAGAGAAGCGAAGAGCTCGTTCAGCGGCTGCTTGGCTTCGTCAGGATTCAAAAGCGACTAAAAATAAGAAAAAAAACACGACAAAAGAGATCATTACTTCCAACAAGGCATCCAACACTTCGAAATCTTCGTTATGCATAACGAAGATCGATTCCCTATTTTCACTTTCTGCAAGAAGCGAATTGAATTCATCCAATTTTCCGCGAACCCCAAGCGCGTTTATATTCCGATACTTGCACGGTGTTCGGTCCGGGAATACTATTTCCAACCCCCTTTTCGACTCTACTTTGACTTTCGAACACGTCCTCGTTTCTGATTGGTCGCTCCGAATCCAACGCGATTTTGTTTGAACCGCGGTTCTTCATGATATACTCCGCGATCTCGTCGAGATAGCCCTGCTCCAACTACTCGATCAAAACCCGATCACGTCCGTACTCCATGATTATCAATGAATTCCTGCGCCACTTCGTATGCGTTTTCGTTATCGCGGTATTCCAGCGTCAGCGTTTGCAGGCCGGTGGCCGTTTCGACCTCAACTGGGATTTTATGGACTTCGTCGGCACTTCCGAGCACCTCGCCGATTTCGATCCACGTGGAGCTCGCAGCCTAATCATCATGACGCATCTCCGTCCCGACGCTCCATCGGAACACATAGCCCTTCTCCTCCCGACGGAACATTTTGATCTCTCCATCGCGCGACCCTGTCTCAGACACATGCTTAATGCATACCTGGGTACTGCTCGCGGAACTGGTAATCCACCAGATTGTCCACATTCACCCCAATTTTCCTATTCCTGACATAAAATAACCGCGGGTACGCTTCCAGCTGGCTCTCCTTCTCCTCGCACAGATTCAAATAGTTGCGCTAGCCCATCAGCCAATCAAATCGGACCCTACACGCGCCTCCTCCGGCAGCCAGTCCCGCGGGTTGCTCGAGAATAACCGCAGGATTCCGTCGCTGCACGCCGTGATCGCCCAGACATGCGAGTTCCCCGCGGGATCGATGACATGCCGGACATCGACGTCCCAGAGCGACGCGGGGTGTTTGACGATCTGCATGCAGTTGGGTCCTTCCCAGAAATACATATACGCGTTCTCGCTGACGGAGACAGATCGGACATGCATCATGTCGGCTCCTCCCATCGACTTGACTTTCATCATGAAGGGATACTTCCCTTCTCCCTGCACGGAACACAATTCCGCCATCGGTACGTTCGGAGGGGTGTCGCATCGGAAGACGACCGAGCCGTCGCTGCGATAACAGACCACTTTCCCGTCGTTCCCGCCCGTGAAGAAGCCGTCCGCGGGGGCAGGCAGAGAGATCGACGACGGGAGACGATCTTGGAGGAAGAAGGGCGCGCTGCAGCGGACGCTCGCGTAGTGGCTGCGCTGGATAGAGACCTGCTCGCCGCGCTTGAAAACGCGGACAGCGTAGCCAGACACGCCGTTCATGGCGTCCTTCATACCGGTGGAGGTGGTGACGACGGTGTTCTCGTCGAGGGCGATCGCTGTGACCGCGTTTTCCATTCCTGTCAATTTTTGGATCTCTTTGGCCGAGTTGAGATCCCACATCTAGGATGAAGCTTGTTTGTTGGGGATACACGCGCAGAACCATCCCAGGAGCCGGATAGAATCGTTCCGTTAGGGCCGTGAGCGAGAGAAGTAATGCCTCCACTATGTCCAGAGAGCAACGCCAGATTCTCTCCATTTGGGGAATAGAAGCGGATGATGCCATCGTAACCGCCCGAAACGAAGAAACCTATTCCTTACAGGCTCAAATTGACAAGACCGTTTGGTAACGCTAACAAACACGTAATCCAGCAACTGTGGTGGATTATCTTCTCGGGAAATGCAAAGGTTTCGGAGTCCGTGAATTTCCACAGGAGGATTGCGTTGTCCTACATCCCACTCCACGATCGGCGCGTACTTGACCTCCAGAAGCCATAAAGTATCCATTGGGGTTGTTATCGAGAAAAATACAACATCGCACCTATATCTCATCGTACGTGTGGGAATCGCACAGCATCGCGGTGTCCACGCAGTTCCCTGCATAGCTCGAATTGGTTCATCCTTCAAGCAATACTTTGTCAAACAAACAGCATAGTTTTTACCCGTATTTCTCTTATTAAACTCATTAATTCTGCACAGCAACGAATAACATTTACAACAGAATCGCTACCCATCATCCATCCTCTCCAGTCCCACCTTATTCTCCCCTAACGACCGCACCGACAGCGTGGATCCGCAGCACTTATTGCAGAACACGTCTCCGCACAGTCTGCAATGACTACCCCTCACATCATTTAGCCGCGCCTACTGTCTCCGATAGAACGACCCAAACGTCTTTCCGCACAGCGTACACGCTCCGCTCTCCCCATCACGCTTCCACGGCTTCGTCCGCACGCCCTCCACCGCCACGGACCGGAGAAACTCGAGGTCCTCGACGGCCAGCGCGCAGAGAAACGCCTCCATCGACGCGGGCGTTTCGCAGAGCGGCGCGAGCACGTGGATGGCCTCGGCGAACTGCTCGGCGACGAACTGGCCGTGAGAGAAGGGCTCGAGAAGCGATTCGCCGGCGGGCACGGCCTCGGAGATGACGGAGACGGCGTCGGAAGGGTCCTCGGAGGGGTCGTCGAGGAGAGGCGAGGGAATGGAGGCGTGCAGATGGGCCAGTTTGGAGCGGGCGAGCGACTGCTTGAGCGAGGAGAGCTGCTCATTGCGATGGCGGAGTTGCGCGTGGAGAGACTCGCAGTGCGCGCAGGGAGGCAGCTCGGTGGATTGGTCGTTGACGAAGTCGGTGAGCGCGGAGTAGACGCTCTCGCGGAGAGATTGCAGGCGATCGGGGAGATCGCCCAGAACACTGGGGGTGGAGGGGGAGCGGAGAGGCCAGGGCTCTTTTCCGTACCTAGAGTTCAGCGGAGAGTGCAGCTGTACTTATTCACGAGCCGCTGGTAGAGTTGATCTTCCTCTCCCTTGTAACTCTCTAAGATGGATCTGACCTGGGTGTCAGTGGATGGATCTACATCTACGGAATTCACTTTCTCAGGATTCACGGATTGATAATACGTAGTTAACACCTCTTCTAAGTTTTCGGGCACAATAAACGTGGATTTTCTAACAGATCAATTTATGGATCGGTGCTGATTACGTTGGATCGGGTGAGCCGGAAGCTGGAGAACTCTGCATCTCTAAACACAATTAGACGATGAAATATGTGGAGAAAAGCACGGCTTGTCATTCAACTTCGCTTACAATTTAATTTTTCCTTCCTAAAATAGCTAATAATAAACACAACTGTACAAAGCATTGAACCTCTAAAATAACGGGAATTCCAAAAATACTATTATTCGGTAAAAAAAAGCGTTTGTGAACTAACTGCGAGACCAATTGATAATTGTTCATGGGAGGTTGGAATCCTGTTTTCCGTTTTGTACATGGCGTACTAATTGGAGCACGAACAGCATCCTATCGAGCCGATGAACAAGTGAACGTGGATTCCTTTTTGGATGCGGAAGTATATAATCTGTTCATTGTAGCAACTATTCTTTGTCTCTTTATTTGTGTGATTTCTGTAGGAGCGTCATATTTAGGGTTTTTTCGTATTGCTCTGAAAGAGAGGCATATACGAGAACTCGCTTCTCATCTCGTCAGCAACAATGCCATTGTTTTTGAAACTCTGGGTACGGATGTGGATATTCTAAAGCAGTTCACTACCGAGCACCTCATGAAGTACCTGGAGTACAACTCAGGGTCGGAGCCTATCCCAATCGAGCAAATCAGAGTGCCGTTTTTTCTTAATCGCGACAGCATTAAGATGACTGTGCGGCACACGTCACTTTTTTAATGTTTAGTCCAGCGAAGATGGGAACAACCGCTTGTCCTTTTCCGTCGATGCCTCTATGAGGTACTCGATCCAACTCTTCTGGTCCGTCCCCTCTTCTGCATACAAGAAATGCTGCAAAGATCTCGTGAAGCGTTTCCCCTCCATCATGCTCTCATGTCCAGTGATCTGCGAAAACGACCCAACTCTTCGTCGAGGCTTTCTCAACCCCTTCCTCTCCTCGCAAGACGCCATCCTCAGCTCCTTCCGCTCCGTGCTCACCCTTCTCAAAGGCTACAGCAAGCACGGCGTCTCTCCCATCTCTCATTCCCCGGTTTCCTCAGTTTCCTCGGTTTCTCCGGTTTCTCCGGTTTCTCCGGTTTCTCCGTCCACCTTCGAGTACCCCATTCCCTCCGATCTCCTCCGTATTTTTCATTCTTTCTCTCATTTTATTCAAGACGAGCTCCCTTCCTACCACCTCGACAACCGTTCTCTCTCCATTTTCAGCGAGTCTTCGCCGCGTCCGCCCCGCTCCGTCGACTCGCAGACCCACCTCCTCCGTCCCTCGCTCTACCCGCCCAAGCCCGACCGCAAGCCTCTTCCGCGCGCGACGACACACGAAATCCTCCCGCTCGTCATCGTGATGTGGGACCGCGCCGACGACGCCGAGACCGAGCCCTGCCCGCCCGTCCGGGCATTGCCGAGCCGGAGCTCCGCGTCGCAGCTGCGCGAGCTGCTGAAGGAGTCGATGGGGAGCGCGGAGGAGAAGAAACGGAGGTTCGCGAAGCAGCGCGCCGAGGGAGCGCGGAGAAACGGAGAAAACCCGCGGTTCGTGTCGATTTTGGTGGTACACTTCCTGCGGAATCATGTGCCCACGCTGATTCGGAGGCTGAATATTTGCGCGGATGGGATTTTTGTCCCGCGGGTAGGAGTTTCGCGGGGAAAATGAGGGGCAGAGCATTTATTGTTCGAACTCGGATAGCAAGAAGAACAACGAGTGTATTATTTGTTTTGCTAACGCGAATGATGTCATTCTGCTGCCCTGTCGCCATAAGTTGGTGTGTCGGCTGTGCGTCTGCATGATCAAGCGATGTCCGCTCTGTCGCGTCCCTATTAATTACTACCTCACTGAAGGGCAGGAGCAAGAGCTCAGTCACGCGTATAACAATTCGGAAGCCCTTCTCTAGAATAGCTGTACATTACAGTTTGTTTTTTTCAACACATATTCTTACTTAATTGCTGCGTGTTTTTATATAGAATGGTTCACTATTACAGAGTGTTGCTTTTCAACGCATCTCTATTTTCATGGCACTTCCCTTCTCTCGATTAGCAGCCCATTCCGATCTTTTCATTCATTCATTCATTCATTCATCCATTCATGTATACTCTCAAACACATATTCAAAATCGTTACGCTTCGCCACGCCGTCCTGCATTGAAATTCGCATTGCCGGCCATTCTTCCTTTATTCTCCAAAGGCACGGAAACCACATCGCGATCCCACGTCGACGGGTCCCATCCGCGCACCACCTCCACCAATTCCTTCATCGTCGGTCTTTGCTTGTCCTCCTTCCAGCACTCCAGCATCACCTGCACGGGCTCTACGCCTCACTCTTCTCCTCATCCCCCACCGCGCGGCATTCCCGGCAGAATCTGCGGGCGCAGCCCATCCAGCACCTGCTTATAAAACTATTTTTCATCGCTTCCGCGCGTCGCTACGTCCAATCGCCCCGCGAACTTCATCCCCGTGTAGCAGAGCTGCTCAGAGATGATCTCGTAGACCACGCAGCCGAAACTGTAGACGTCTACCTTGGTAGAGCACTTGGCGCTGTTGATCAGCTCGGGAGCCATGCTACGCCTCACGCATTCAATGGATTATTACATCGCGGGCGAGCCACAAAACGAGACTTGAATGCTCTTGTTGTTTTCTGCATGGAAAAGGGGAAAGAAAGGTACCGATCTCGCGGGCATAGCCGAAATCGGCGACCTTGGCGATGTCGTTTTTGACCAACACATTGGCGAGCTATCGAGCTCATCGAACAAACAGAAGCCAACCTTAATATCGCGATGCACGATATTGTAACTATGCAAATACGCCAGCGCCTCCGCCACGTTCTGAATGTACTTCTTCTTCGTCGCGTTGCTCAGCTTCAGCTTCCGCTTGATGATCAAATCCTCCAGCGACGGACCGCCCAGCTCCATGATCAGAATCGGAAACCCCGCGGGATCCTCGCTGTGCCCGATGATCTCCAGGATGCACTGGTGCTTGAACCGCATTTGTGTCTGAAACTCGCGAACGAGATAGCGATAGTCCACTTCCGTGGGGATTTTGCACATTTTCTTGAGAGCGACGTCGCGGCCTTGATAGATTCTGCGGTCAAACCATCGACGAACACCCACCCATGGTAAACAATGGCGCTGGCGCCCTGGCCCAAGCGTTCGCGAACCTCCAGGTCGGAAAAAGGAATAAGAATATCGGCTAGAAGTGAGAAAAAGAAGAATTTGATTTCACTGGGATTGCTAGGGGTAAGCTAGAATCAAGAACGGTACATTTCGAAGAGAGGGCATATTACAGCGAAGTAGTCATGGAGAGAGCTGATAACTGGCAAAAGACCATCCGTCTGAGTTATGATTAAGAAGAATGAGCTACCCATATCCATTGCTCGATACCATTCATGTGGATTTCTTTATTTTCGTCAACATAGTGGCACTGCTTGTTCACCGTAGTATCTAGATCAAACGGAAAGAGAAGATGAACTTTTAGACACAATCAAAAATATCCTAATTCTCTCGTTTTCAAATCCACTTATCGGATAGAGGATACTCACTGGAATATAATATTCTTTCTGACAGTATTCTGAACGAATACGACTCCGAATTATAGAAACACTACTACCTGACTCAAATTGACCTAAAATATCAATAAATCATTATTATTGTACGAATCAATAGTCCATCCAAAACCATACGACTTTGAGTAATTGCCACAAATATGTCACGTATCAAAATCGATGTAATCGATTGGTTATATGCAGATAACTCTTGAGTTGCTTGAACAAAAACTTCTCGTTGAGATCTCTTTTCGGTTGATATTACACTCATTACAACTCTAAGTTGATATTATTATATTATCAAGATAGAATCAAGCAAAAGGAAAAAGATTCTAACTTTTCGTCATTTTCATATTATGTTAAGATTGTTTCAATGTGCAATTAGAATTATCGATTTCAGTATTCATATCAACAATAGGATAGAAAATACAAACTAGGTGAAACTTTAAGTAATAACTTTCATTATTCGATTGTTGGTATTATTATCATTCGATTCTATACAATATCAATTCGTTTAATCAAGTACGGTTTATAGAATCCATTAGTCAGGTGTACTGACTCCCACTGATCAGGTTCGGGAGTTTCATCAAAAGACAGTTTCTAGAAGTATTCTATAATCACTTTTGTTTTCATTCTGTACAATGAGTACTAATTCAGTTGATGTTCCTGTAGCTGAAAGGCTGAATATTGATATAAGAGATGAAGAAAGGCTACTGAAAACGAGTTCTTCGATGTGTCCAAATTATGAACACATTACAATTTTTGATTTTGATGACACTCTATTGCCTAGTTCTTGGTTGATTCAAGTTTTACAACTACGTGGCGAGTTGAGTGATAAAATGAAAGAAGAAATGCATAAATTGGACGAAAGTGCATATGTATTACTATCTACAGCACTCAGATTTTCATCAGTAATAATAATCACAAATGCTGAAGTTGGTTGGATAAGAAGCAGTTGTTCCATGTTTATGCCATTGTTTCACAGTTTGCTAGAATCTGTGATAATTGTATCTGCTCGAAGTCGCTATGAAGAAAAGTATCCTTATGATTCTGGAAAATGGAAAGAATTGACTTTCCGTGATGAAATTGAAAAATTGCGCAAAGAAGATTCTTTCATAAGTTTGCTTAGCATTGGGGATTCTTTATATGAACGTAATGCTGCGCTTCTTTATGGGTCTACGAACAAATACTCAATAGTAAAATCTATAAAAATGATCGATCTTCCGACTCCTGGTCAGTTGATAACCCAACAACGACTAATTTGTAATGCTTTACCTTCCATGATACAGAGTCGAGAGAAACTTGATTTGAAACTATCAGTTGAAGTGTCGATTTAGTGAACTTTCTTTTTTCTGTCGAAAAGAGTTCATTGTGTTATATTGGTAATTAGTATTATTTATATTGTTTTTTCTTTATTTTTATTTTTATTTTCCCTATTAATATTATTATTTATTTATTTATTTAATTGCTTGTTTGTTCTATCAAACACTACACAAATTTTCTAGCATAGCTTCTAAATCATCATCTTCAGTTTTGACTTCTCCTGTTTTAACCGTAGAAGGAACACTAGGAAGAGCAGTCTCAGGTACATTTGGTAACGCTGTTTTCTGTTCTTGGTCCCTGGCTATATCCTTGTCCAACTCCTCCATCAGGTCGTCAACATCAGGATCTTCAGGAGTTTCGGTAAGTATATCCATCATGTCTTTCACATTTGCAACTTTTTCATTAATGTCTTCCATCAGATCTTGAAGTTTTTCCACGGAATCACTACAATGAATATAACTAGGCAACAACTACGCATAGGCAGATTCAAGAGCTTTCTTGGTAGTCTCCATCACAGTAACCATTTCATTGATAAATTGCATATCATCTACCGTACCTAGAGTTGATTGTTGTTGTAGCAGAATATTCTATTTTCATGATCTCAATATTTATAATAATACATTGTACTGAGTAATTCGTTCTCGGCACTTCTTGACCTTCATCAACTCTTGCTTGATGGCTATACATATTAATTTTGGCTATACAAAGTACCGGGATCCTCCGGATTCTTTGCTTTAAGCGCCTTCGCACGAGCAAAAGCTTCGTCTTGATCCTTTTGGTTTTTGTCAATCCTAAATAAGAAACTAGCACAAGGACTACTTCTTTTGCAAGCTGTCCATAGTTTCCCTAATCTTCATCATAGCCTCAGTAGCCTTAAGATCCGATTCTTCCCTCTGCCGTTCCTGAGTCACTTCAGGAGCCTCTGATTGGCTATTCGACTTAGAGTTACCGAAAAATCTCTTGAACATGATCAAAATAAGTCAAATGAAAAAAAATATAACGAAATGGACCGAAATAGTAAGTGTATTTACTTGATTGTTTTTTATTCAGATTCATTGATAGAAAAAGGAGTGAAGATAGATGATGATTCCCTTATTAGTTTTTTTCTATATCTTCGTCTGAGAGAAGTGATAGGGATATGACTTTCTATTGCTTAATTATTCAACGCTTTCATGAAATCGATCTATTCCTGCCTTTCTTTTCTTTCCTGGGAAAAGGAGAAACCGTTTGCTGTGATAATTGTTTCTTTTTAAGACATGCCAGTAAAGTCACTAAATGTCCTGAGTGGTTACGCTATCTTGAGAGTGGAGTTAAATCGTAATGCTCGATTAACAATAGAATAGTAATTCCAAGTCATATCTATATTTGCTGCGCAATCTGTATGCTAGCTACTCCACTTAGTAATAGATACTGCGAATCTGTTGCTTTCGATTTTCAATTTTCGCAATTGCTACCACTAGAGGTTTGTCCATATACCGTGTATACTGTTAGGTACTTTACCAGCATATTCGCGAAGTGATGTTTGTTGCGGCAGATCCGCAGTGTCGGAACCGAGTTTCGGATGGTCATCGTTGTGAAAATTAGGAAATCCTGCGTCTCTATCTCACAGAGCAATGTGAAGCTGATGCTTCCTTATCTCTTTCCATTTTCTATTTTTGTCAGGTAGGATCGCCCTCCAGCTTCCAAGTAGTTGAACTGGGATGAGAAGACCAAGCGAGATAGTAATCTGTTTCTTCAGAAACTGCGTGTGTTGAGTCTTCCGAGAGTTCAGTCGACTCTCTCCTCGATTTCAAGTGATTCTTCTATTCTGTGTACACTATTTAACAACAGCATCTCGTTTTTCAATGTGTTCACAATTGGGTGTTGATGTCCAGACTCTCTTTTCTTTTTCTTCGTATCTCTACACCATTCCGCCCTCTCAGCGATACTCCATGTTTACTGAGCAGTGCAACGCCATTAACAAAATGACTCTCTCCCAGTGCCATGGGATCTGGCTTCCTCTTCACCATGGCCTACTCATTACGAAAATCGTCACAGAGGACAGCAAAGTGTTGTCAACGAAAGCTCGATGTCCCTGCGTCTTTCAATTCGATGTGATAGGAAGCGGCCGAAAAGCGCGAGTCAAGAAAGAAAAAACGGTGCTGGACGTGTTCCACCCTCCATACACAAACGCAAAACTCACCTTTTTCTCTTGGATTTGTTCCTTCTTTCGACCATCCGAAAAATCACCTTCTCTAGATATCGATCTCTTTCCATCAAAAACAGAAGCAGAAGACTCGGTCATCGTTGTCTCGGATAATCGTTTTCGTTGAGTGAAATGTGTGTTTTAGAGGACACATTTCCTTTTGAGAAATACCGAGTGATCGTGAAAACACGCGATACCATGCGCCAAGAAGAAATGGCAGCTCACCTCATCGCTGAAATTGATTCCATTCTAAAAGCAGATAAAATTCCTTCTATTTTACAGTGCTATGAAGTATTAGCATTTTCGGATCATGATGGAATGATCGACTATTTGGATGGTTTTTTGTCACTACATGAGATTAAAAAGACTATTAATGAGCTTGGGTTTGATAGTCTAGGAGTATGGTAGATATACACTTGTGAAATAGGGTTATTTTGCAGAGGTGTTTCGAGAAAGACCTGACTCATTTCGGAAGTTTCGAACCAATTTCATTCGCTCGCTTGCGGCTTACTCGATTGTTTGTTATGTTTTGCAAGTCAAAGACAGAAATGACGGCAATGTAGCAACTCCGTCCGATTTCAATGTAGATCTTGATGGACAAGCATGGCATTCTTGTCCACATTGATTTTGGCTTTATTCTTTCAAACTATCCGGGAAATATACGATTTGAGACGGCACCCTTTAAACTCACCAACGATATGGTATTCTGACCGCTTTCTCTTGCCATCTAGATGCAACTCGTTGGACCCCCCGGTTCATCAGGCTTTTTCCTGTTTCAGAGTTTATGTGTACCTCTTTGTTTTCCTTTTCAGTAGATTCGAATCTTTGAAGCGATCTGCAATCATCGGTCTCAGATTTTGTCCATTGTTCATCTCTATGCAACTCAGTTCCCTGACTTGCCTTGTTTCTCAAGTTCCGCTTCGAGTTCATTATTTTAGTCGTAGACGATCCGCAGAAGGCGATTTTGGCTCTACAACAACGCCTCGAAGTTCGACAGTCGTATTCAGAGGTTACGAAAAATCTGATTCAGCAATCTATTGGGAGCTGGACTACACATTGGTATGACCAGTTCCAGTTTTATATGACCGGCATTTTCTGATTTTCCTTGTTTGTTGAAATTTCGACTTCTTTCGAATCAGCAGCGTATCTTCTATCTAGCAGTATTTAGCTAAGCCATATTGGATGAGAGGTTAACAAGAAAAAGCGGTTTGTCACGTGACCAATATCTTTTTTAAATAGAAAGCAAACAAAGACAGTTCTATGCTTACCGATATTGATACAAATAATTACATCTCTTTCGGAGTCACATCGATTGGGGGTGAGGCAGATGTGTGCCTTTCTAGTCTTCTTTCACTTTAGATTACGTTCACCGTGAACGATCGATCTGTCTTCAATATTTCTGGGAAAGGAGTGCCTGTATAATACCTCTAGTGTGATAACTGATAGATGCTATCTGTCTCCTTCAACCAAATATCTGGGTTTGTTCGTGATGTCTGTAACCAAGAGAGATTTAGCGTTTATTATAAGAAGTATTCTTGCGAGATAGGGTCAATCACTAGCTATTACCTTCCTCAACACTTCGAAACTGTCTCTCCCAGATTATGCGACGTTGTCACGAATGCGATGAATAGTATATACATGTGAGTTGGCTGCTTATTAAGGTCTTCTATACAAGCGTGAACTATTCATCACAAATTGGTATTTTACAGTGTAATTTGTCAAGATCATTTTGATTATACTCAGGTTTAAGGAGGGTAACGCGGAAAAGCAGGGAAAGAGATTATGGGCATCCCGCTATCTAATGGTGATCGGATGTAGATTGTTTGTGTATCGCTACCCCATCTCGAAAAAGAATGGAAATGCTAATATCCCTTTGAATGTGATTGATCTGTCCAATGCGCTGATATCTCGCAAAAGCAATAACACCATTTGCGTTGTCACTCATCGAGAAGTGCTACTAGTTTCGATTTCTAAAGAGTAGTATGAGTTTCGGTTTGCGTCGGATGAAAACGTTTCGAGTTGGTATGTTGAGATGAAAAATGCGACTGCACGAGGGATCACTCTGCTCTCTGACGAGGTTATTTTCGATCTGTATTTTCCTTAACTACAGAATGGTATTTCAAGACTCGATATACTGCACGATTCTCAATATTTGAAGCTACAAAAAGAAATGGATGAGCAGCAGCAGCAACAACAACAGCAACAGCAGCAGCAGCAACAACAACAACAACAACAACAACAACAACAACAACAACAACTCAGCCTAAACTCGAATGCTTCCAATAGCAGCGAAAACTACCAGCACAACTCTCTCTTGAATCCTCTTCCTTCTTACATCGGAAGACCCATGTCTACGCAGTCTTCTGAGCACTCAGCCGATGATTCCCTTCCAGTTTTCATTTTCATTCTTTTTAATCAAGACCATTGTTTACTCCTGGGGTCTCAACAACATCCATCAGCTCGCTCTTCCCTCGACACAACCCGCTATCACCATTCCCACAAAAAGCTCTTCGCTCTCCTCCCTCTCTCCTGTTCTCCTTACAGCAGGAATTGGTCATGTTCTTTGTCTTACCGACGAGGGAGAGTTGTTTGTTTGGGGAGATGGATCCAAAGGGCAGCTTGGTCTCGGTCCTTCCGTGCTGTCATGCGAGTCCCCGCGCATTGTAGGGTTTATGCTTCGCTCTCAAGCAGATTCTCTCGTTTAGTAAGATGATGGTGATGTCGATAGCGTGCGGAGGAAACCACAGCGCGTGTTTGAGCACGTCGAACAATGTTTACACGTGGGGTTGTGGAACCTATGGACAACTCGGTCAGGGAATCGACGTTGAATCGAGCTTTGAACCGCTGCTGCTGCACAAACTCAGCGGCAAAGAGATCTGCGCCGTATGAATGAAAGAGAAAGGGATTCAATGCAGGTGGCATGCGGACAGAACCATTCGCTGTTTCTCGCGACGAACGGATCGGTTTACGCGTGTGGAAATGGATACTACGGCCAATTGGGTCTGGACAAGGAGAATGATTATGTACGGATCCCTAAGGAATACCGCATAGTTTTCTCCCGTCGTTATCAAAGCGTTGCTTCCCTTCACGATTACCCAAATCGCTTGTGGAGAGACCTTCTCGCTATTTCTTTCCAACAAAAACGAGCTGATCGTCTCCGGAATGCTGGAACTCAGCGAGAGCGTCTTTTCGGGACATCGCGATGAGCTGGGCATTCCCCACATCGTTCCTTTCCGCGGAACGATCCTCAAGATCGCTGCAGGAACGCGCTTTGCATTGGTTTGGACGGAGATTTGGTATGATTCACAGCTTCTAGTGAAGGGATTCCACTATAACGACGTGTATTACTGGAAGGCAGAAGAGGGAGATACAGAGCTCGCCGTGCTTCTTTAAATTCCTTTCCACTGTAGCGTCCACGTCTGCTTGCCTCGCTCTCCACTCTCCACATCACCGATATCGCATGTGGAGCCTCGCACTGCATCGCTTACAGCTCCGAAACCGGTCGCGCGTTCGCCTGGGGCACCAATTTGTGTGGCGAATTGGGGAACAATTCCTTCGAAAGCACCCTAGAACCGGTCGAAATCCTACTTCCTGAAGAGCAGAAGCTGATTCAGATTGTGGCAGGACACTCCTTCACGATTGGAGTTTGTATTCCCTTGCATGGAGAAAAGGAAAGTGAGAAGAATAGCGAAAAACGGAAGAGCAGAGTGATCGACGCTGTTTGCTTCTCGGATGAGGAGGATAATGGACCTACAGAAACAGTAGGGTATGGTCAGTCGATGGAACTGACAGAACGGACAGATGCAGAAAGGCGGTCCAAACTCGCACACTCCACCCAGAATGCAGAAGAAGAACGATTCGCAGAGTCAAAACTACAACAATCATCGCAAGACTTAGCTGGAGCGGCCGTTCCCAAAAGAAGAGCGAATCCATCCGCATTTGGATTCAATACGGCTGAGATCGTGCAGCTAAAAGAGAAAATGAGGTCTAGCGGATCTTCGTTTGCTGGAATGACTTCAACCTTTGCAGTGAGAAAGTCTACGGCGTTTACGCCGGTGGTAGAGCGCAAAGCAGCAGTTGGGAATGTGAATGGAGATGATATTTGCTTCCAGTCAAGAGCACAACGAGCAGCCGCGCTCGAGAAGCAATTCCAGGCAATTCTTAGGAAATGATTTGTTTTTTAAATAAATATTGGAGGTAGTGATATAGATATTTTTTAAAATTATTCTTTAAGATCATGTCCGTAAACCATATTGTCTCGGAAGATGGGTCAACGTGTTATGATATAAAGTATAATCTTGTTTCACTTGATACTTTTTACGACTGTCTTCTGAAACATGATTATGGCAAATTGCGAGGTATGGGAGATAATATAGATAGTATTGTATTGTGTGGAGAGTGGTATTGAATTGTAGTTTATTGAGTATTCTTATCAGCCCCTACTCCTTGATCGTGTGTTATATCCGAAAATTAAATTGATTATCGATTATTTTGTGGTATGAATTTCGTTATTTTGGACTTGTAACATTCTAGAGTACATTTCTGCAACAGGAGACAATAGACTATAACACTGTGAAGGAAATTCCATTTGACATCTTTTGCGTATTTTATTCTGTGATTCGCGCAAGAGGAGTCAAGTGGGCAGTTGCATATTTCCCCAACGACTTCGAGCTGATCGTTCCATTAACAAAGGTGCTCAAATATCGCAATGAAATGAATGCCCATTGGAAAGAGCAATATGTTTTGTTCTTCTGGATTTGGTACCTTCTCCTGTGTCCCTTCGACTTATCCTCTGTCCAGGAGTCGGGTACGGACATTGCTCAGGAGATCTACCACCTGGCGATCGCCTCCTTTCGACTCAACAACAATGTGGGGAAGATGGCTTCCGAGGTTTTGGTTCGCATCATAACGAGGTACTCGCTTTCCCTTCGGTTCTAGCTAGAAAAGACACAGCCGCTCACTTTTTCGCGAGCACGCTTTCCTACACAATAGGCCTCCAAATGTTCACCGAGGATCCAGTGCTTTGGTTCATCGGAACATTGTTCAAACGAGGCTACAAAGAAGCGTTTGCGAAGTACTGGGGTATGCGAGCTTTTTTTTGATTGTGAGCATAGAAAGCGATCTAATGGAGATCATCGGGCAAGTGTGGGACATCCGACGACAAATGGAATCGGAAATCATTCCATACAGCATGACAAAGGAACTGCTGATGATGCGTGTGCTGACCGCAGAATGCGCGCTGGAGATGCGAATGCACTATGAAGGCAAGAATGCCGTGCTGTAAGCCACGCTCCTCGAGTGTGTCGTAGTTTTAAAAAGAACTATCTGTTTGGAATCAAGGAACCGAACGCTGAGCAAGAGAATTCTGAAAGCGGAACGGAAGAAGACTCGTTCATGACGAATGCAATGTACTACTTGGATTATTTATACGACAATCTCTCCAATAATGTATTCTTTCTCGCTTTTTTTATTATTTTGACTAATCATGCAGGCTCTCCGAATCCGAGTGAAATCAGCCAAATACCTCGCTGAACTCATTCGCCATACCTCGCTCAGTTATCGAAGGGTTGCCGCGTTCGAGCTGATTAATCGAATCCCTGACAGCTACCCAGAAGTCGTCCACGGCTGCTGCTACGCGCTCGCTTCTCTCTGTTCCACTCACTCCCTTCCCGACGACATCATTCTGAATATCATGCAAGTCACGCTTCCCATTCTATTCGATGTGAATACCATGTACGATTATTTCAAATCGGTCGTGGCCGATGGTGTTTGTTATCTCTTCTGGGCATGTGTTCGAGAATACACCGCCGTTCTCGCTCAAATAGCCGACGATGTGCTCGCGACGCTTGTCATCACCAGTCTCACAAACGAAGACTTGAATATCCGCAGAGCATCCGCTGCGGTGATGCAGGAGTTCGTGGGACGATTAGGAAACGAGAACGTCGATCATGGCTTGGATCTCATGAATCTGATTTCATTCCATTCGCTCAGTCTCTATTACACCACGTACGCAGAGAGTTCGCTTCGTAACTCACAGAATGACGGTCATTCTACCGAAGGTCGCAGCGGTCTCGAAGTATCGACCGAACATTGTGGATCGATTGAAACTCATCATGCAATCGGAATCCAAGGGGGATGCAAAAGAACTCGCAGGGAAAGCGCTGTTTTTTGTTTGTCCCGAGATAAACCAGGAGGAGAAGATTGATATGAATCGCACGGAAATCGCTGCGAATACCGTTATTTGGAATGCTTACTTGATTTTAGGATATGCCGCGAAGTTCCAATCGTTGGATCCACAATTCCTAAAGGAATCAATCAGGATTCTTTCTCTCATTTCACAAAAAGCAAACTCTTCAACTCCTTTCACATCTTCTAAGAACGATACTAATTTATCCTTCCTCCTATTGAAGGCGATCGTTCTCTACGATCGTATTATGAACGAAAACGTGATTTCTGCAGAAGAAGTCCTGGCTTCATTCAAAGCATTATTCCCTCTTTCTTACTTGAAATCGACTTTCTTTTCCAAAAATAACGATTTTGGAATGGACCAGCAGTGTTTGTGGGTTACGAGCGAATGGTTATTCGCTCATCAGTGCAATGAAGGAGTCGACTATTGCCGAGATCTCGCGAAGGCTGCGTTAGAAGCCAACACAGGACATTCGATGCGTTTATTCGGATCGATCTGGTGGGAAATCACTCTCCATTTCCTTCCCTCCGCTATCGACGGAATGAAACTCAAAGCAGACCCCGAAGCCCACAAAGCGCGGGCTCTTGCGATTGGTCGACTCTTACGAATCTGCCCACACGCTCCAAATTGGTCGCAGATGGTGCAGAACTGGGCAAAACTCGGCTGTGCCGACTATACCCGCGAAATCCGAGGCGATGTAGGATCCTGGACTCGCTCGGCGACACTTTCCTGCATGAACGATCTTCTGCGTCCATTCCGAGTCGATTTTTCATCGCGGGAATGGACAGGATACGCGAATGTGGGAAAGGCCTGCGAAGACGAGCCGGTGAACTGTTTTTTCCCGCTCTCTGTGGGAAGCTGTTTGTTCCCAGATAGCAAATGCTGGGGATTGAAGGAAGAGAAAGGAAAGGCGAGTTTGGATAGCGAAATAATCGATTGTTTTGTGAGATTGGCGTTGAAGCAGATCATGGAGCAACACACCAGAATCCGCCAGTTGGCCGCCGATCTGTTATTTGGGTTGGATCGTAGCACGTCGTTGATTCAGATGGTCGCTGGATTGGTTCCGGCCGAGCATCAAAACTCATCATCGGCTTCCATGCCGGAATTGACGAAATGTTTGGTCGGTGCGATCAAACTCTCCGCATTGCGACCGACTCTTCTGCGAGGATTGATCTATACAGTGGGCGGAAACTCGCCGAGAGAAACGAAATCGATGTCGAAAGAGCTGATTGAGGTGATCAGCGATGAATCCACGGCGAAGGCCGTGTTTCCAGAGCTTGTAGTCATTCTCAAAGAAGAAGCCTCTGCCCATCGAAATGGGTTTTACCCGGCGCTCCGAACGCTGATTCTGTGCTGCGAGTCGGTTGACTTGGCGACGGTTTTGGATCCCAAATTGCAGGGCGAGTTGTATCAGTTGATTCCGAAACTGGCCATTTGGCAAACCAAGAACCAAAACACGGCGGTTGTGAAGTCGCTGCTCGATCTTTATGCATTGATGCTGCCTCTCTGGACCCCTGAGAGAAACGTTCTCGCTCCAGCACTTCCGTTTTTAGAATATCCGAACGCAATGATTCGGAACGAAGCGGCGCAAGTGCTGTACATGCATTGTGCCATGAATGGAATCGAGCCAGAAGCGCAGACGATTCTGGAAAGCGGATCGTTTGGCTCTGCGAACTTCAAAGAGTCGGTGGCCGCTCTACGATCCTTGTGTTCATTTTCGTGTTCTGTTTGTGTAACAAACAATCCCGTTAGGAGCGTGGCTTCTTCACCTGCACCGAAATCTTCTTGCCTCGAATCACCTTTCCGTTCATCGCGCTGATCGCTCGGTCCGCCGCTTCCTTCGTCGCAAAGTTGACGAAGCCGTACCCCTTGCTCACACTCGTTTGTCGATCCAAAATCACCTATGCCTCACCCTCCTTCCTTTCGCCCACCTTCGCATTTATCAAATCTCCGAATTCGCGAAACAGATCTTCCAGATCCGCGTCTTTGAACTCCGACGGGATATTAAACACGAACAGATTCGCATCCGCAGGGCCTACTCTTCACGCTCGCCCTCCTCCCTCACTCTCGCGCCGCGGCGGGCCTTCCTCGCGCCCGAACCCCGCCGTTGCGAACGCCGCCGCGCCCTCGATCGGCTGGCCGGTCGCGGGAACCAGCACGCCTTCGCTCGTCATCATCATCGGCACGGCTCCGATCCCCTCGCCGTACGGATAGAATTGCATCATTGCCTGCGGATACCCTGTTGCTGTTGTTGTTGTTGTTGCTCCTGCTGGTGTTGTTGTTGCTGCTACTGCTGCTGGTGTTGTTGCTGTTGCTGTTGAAGAGGGAGGGACGGATTCAGGCGATGCGGAAGGCTCGGAAGGCGCGACGGGAATCATGTAGTTCATGTTAAGTCCGGGGAATTGCGGGTAAAACATGGAGAACGGCGCGGGAACGGGAAGAACCACGTTCGGCTCGGCGATCTGCGAAGCGGAGGAGGAGTCAGAGCGAGGATCCGAGCCGTCCGTCTAGATGAGAAGGGAGAAACGGGGAAACGGAGGTCATTGCGGGCTGGAAGTTGGAGGGGAAGAGAAAATTGGAGGGATAAATCGGGTAGTATTGGATAGGATACATGGCTGGAAGGGACGGCTGTGGAGCTGAAGGGGAAGGCTGAGCAGGAGCCGGCTGCGTGGAAGCCCCGTCGGGGAGACTGGTTTGGTCTGCAGACTCGGAGGGGATCGGCTCGGAGGGGTGGTAGGGATGAGGTGAATCGGATGATGGTCGATCTTTGTGCGGTGCAAAGGTGGAGTGGGGTTTATCATCGTGGTTAGATGAATTACGATTAGAGTTGATTGCATCTTTGACTTGGAGGTTGTTCATCATCTAGTGAACAAAAATCAAAAATCGTACGTTTGGACATATGTATTTATTGTGGTACTTCTCCTTGATGAGATTAGCTGATTTGGGCTCGACATAGATGAAAGCACAACCTAAGGAATAAGGAGGAAATAGCACAGAAATCGAACCTTTGTGCTCATTTGTTTGTTTGTCACGAATAATATGCGCCTGAAATACTGGGCATGTATCTTCAAAAATATGAATAACGTCCTGTTCGGTAAACGACTTAGGGATCTGTCCGATAAATAGCTTTTTCCATTGGCCGTGAAATGTGGGGGTTGATTTTGAGGATGCAGAGCGATTGCCTCCAAATGAATTATCTAAAGCTTAGACATCAGAAATCACGTTCTACATCCGGAATTCATCACTCTATTTGAGAAGGATGGTGAACTGTTTCTTCTATTCATCTGAGAAACTAGATGGGTAAAGATTTAATTCTATTCCAAAAAGAAACAATTACTTTCAATGAATAAGAAGTATTTCTGGTCTGATCGAATCTGACTATTAGTAATGCTAAACCGCGGGACTCATTAAATATCGGCGCCTATTCAAATATTCCTGTTCTATCAATATGATGGATCTTTTATCATATGAACGGACTCTATTATTTTTTCATAGACTCTATTGGAAGAGAATGCAATTACAGACTTTGACCCTTCATTAGTCATAGAAGGAGCGCTGTGATCTGCTTTTGCATCTTTGCGATGGTAACCTCACCTTTGGCGGTTTCCCTAAATACGAATATTGTTTTTTCCTGTCTGCAATTCGGTACACTAAAAAAAGACATGCAATCCATGACTATCGTGACTGATATCCTGTAATATTTGCGTTGTTGCATTTAAATAAGTCAAAAACTTCAGTTTTCCACTTCAAATGCAAAAGAATAACTTTATGATAATCAAAATCCACAATTGTTCAGTCATTATCAGTTCCACTATTTTACTATAATTGATTCAATTTCATGGAGGATCTCGAACTTGTGAGAAACAAAGATCATGTAGTGTAGTAGGAGGGTGTACTATCCTAGAGTTTTTATCAGATCCATTTGTTAGAACCCCAGGAACGAATGAGTGAATGGAAGAATACCTTTGGAGCAATTAAGCCTTTACTCGACTTTAATGCTACCTCTAGCTCAGACCTTCTGTTTGAGTGCGAGAAGGTTGGTTGTCGCTTCTTCTTCTCCGAGAATTCATATCTTGAGCAGATCAAGGAGAAGAAGGATATCTTAGGCTGGGATATCACGGATTGCAGCAACAACAGCAGTCCTCTGAATCTTGTAGCTTTGGAGAGGGCTGGAGTCAAGAAAGTCGTAGTTGATTCGTTGGAGAGAATTGAATCTTTGAAAGAATCCAATAAAGGCTTTACCCCTATTCTTCAGGTTGCCCTTACGGATTCGATTCGCGAGATGGGATGCGACATGGATCAGGCCCCATCCATCTGTGAACGCGCTGCTAAAATGGGTGTTCAGTTAGATAGCCTTTGTGTTGGCACTTTCGAGGATAGCAATCTTGCCGACATAATTCACTCCATTAGCTCGATTCTAGAATCCATTTCTGCTGTTGGTCAGTCTATCAAGAAGGTGATGATCATTGGTACAGGTACTCAGAAGCTGTCGGAAAATGATATCCCGACGTTAGCTCTGTTGAAGGACCTGTCGAAGAAGGTGGAGCTTTCCATTGAAGCCTCTCGTTTCTTTACAGAGAAAGCTTACACCATCTACACTCGAATCATCGGAAAGAAGGTGAAGCACTTTGGCGAGATTCCGCATTATTTGTACTACACGGATAACGGAGTGTACTGCTCCTTCTACAATCGTCATATCAATAATGAGCCGTTGAATCCGATCCCCATCAAGGTGAGCAGCTCGACTGATGACTCGCTTTATGAATCGACGTTGTTTGGTCCGACGTGCGATTCGATCGATACGTTGGGAACGAATTTTTTGCTGCCTGATTTGGAGATTGGAGATTGGCTGAAGTTTGAGGAATGTGGATATCTTTGCAGTAACTATTCTCCACAGTTCAATGGTTTTGAAGATCCTGCGGAAACTCTTTCTGCTTGAATTGTTTGTTGATAATCATGACGAAAAAATGACCGTTTTGGGACTATTCATGATTGGCTTTTTTCTTGTCTTTCCAGCAGTATTCTATTTCTTGTATAGCAAAACAGGGTCACTCTACTTTAGAGTTATTATTAGTGTTTGTATCTTAGTGTTAGAAGCGATGTCTGGTACTTATGGTACACGAGTGGCACATAAAAAGGGTACCTTGCGTGATACACTCCACAAGAGAGCAGAAGCAACGTTGACACGGTATTGCTTGCGTTTGAAGGCCTGATGTTTATAGGGAAGGCATATTTAATGCTGTTGTCTGTCCGGAGGGCGTAGACCGTAACGAGTGGATTGCAGTCCATGGTATGCATTTTCCTTGTGCTTTGCTAAATCGCAGCTGTTGACTTTTACAACGACATCTGTATGCTGTTCGGCATCGTAGCAGATAATTGTACAGCAGAGAAATGTCCCAATATGTCAGCTGGGTCGAAGTTGTTTCTGTGCTGCCCTGCTATTCTTTAGATTCGAATATCTGTGGTTGGATCAAGAACATTACCGTCGACCTACCCGATTTCCTGCAAAGATTTACATCGACTACCTGTTGAACTGGCTCGTAAGCCAGCTAGATAACCCCAACATTTTCCCAGTAGACGATAGTAGGCGATGTGTGGCATTTCTCTCGTAGACACTCCTTTTCCCCCAAATTACGATGACTACGTAAAGGTTTTTTTCCGTCGTATTTTTCGCGTCTATGGGCACATCTGGCACAACCACCGAGATTTTTTGAAGCTTTGCAAATGCGAGGACTTTTTTAGATTCAGTCTAACTCACTACTTGTACTTTGTGGACCACTTTAATCTCGTCGATGGGAAGGAAATCCGCCCTCTCTACCAACTCGTCAACGAAATCGCCCCCAATCTCCCTCGTACGCCTCTCTTTTTCTTTCTCTCTCTCTTAGTCACCAAGGCCATGAACGTTATCGAGGAGTCCAAGCAGGAGAGTCGAAAAGCCCAGCAGCTCGCCTATCAGCAGCAGCTCGCTCCCGTCAATCGCCAGCTCCACAACGGCCGGCCTCCCATCAATCTCCACCAGCGCCCCAGCTCCTACTGGATGTCCGATCGCTCCTCCACCGAGTTCCGTTCCTCCTTATGCTACAACGAGAGCGGCGAGGAGCCTTCCGTCACCGATGAGGCCGCTTCCGAGCCGCTGCCGCACAGTCCCGCGCGCTACCCCGCGCTGGTGCTTCGCTCCGTCCCTCCGGAGGTCGTCAATCGCTCCTCCCAGAGCGGCAGCGTCCCCGCGGGAGTGCCTCAGCAGGCGGAGAGCCAGGCGAAGCCGCCGGGGGCGAGTCTGTCGGCCTCGGTGCAGTCGGCGCAGTCGATGCAGTCGAAGGCGTCCATTTCGCCGGTTTCTCCGGCGCCCAGTCCGGCGATGGCGAGTCGTCCAGTGAGTCTGGGGCAGCCGATGCGGGCGTTACCGCCAGCGCAGCAGGGCGGGCAGGGCGCCCAGCGCGTGCAGATGGTGCCGCGCCCCGCGGGGCAGCAGCCGATTTACCAGTACATGCAGCAACAGCAGCAGCAACAGTCGCAGCCGGGCGTGCCGCCGTCTCCGCAGCGCTTCGCCCAGCAGCCAGCTGCCCAGCAAGCCGTGCCTCCATCCCCACAGTATTATGTGCAACAACCCATTCAACACTCTATTCAACAACAACAACAACAATCTACTCATCAATCTATTCAACAACAATCTACTCATCAACAACCCATTCAACAACAGCCCGTTCAGTCTTCTCCTCAGCGTTATGTTCAACAGCCTGTGCAACAGCCTGTGCAACAGCCTGTACAGTATTATATGCAGCAGCCTGTGCAGCAGCCAGCCGGGCAAGTGGGTCAACCAATCCAGTATGGTCAGTCAATGCAGACTGCACAAGGAACTGTTTTGCAGCCGAATCAGCCCACTCAATCGTATAATCTTATGAACAAGGGAGTGGCTCCGTCGTATGGAGCGGCTCAGAGTGATGAGCCGAACGAAGAAGCAGAGGAAAACGCAGAAAGGGAGAGCGAAGAGGAGGAAGGGGATGAAAAGTGTATCATCTATTGGCGTGTTTGTTTGATACCGTGGAGATGGAGCGCTTCTAGCGTTACTAGGGTGCTGTAACATTTCGTAGAGTCAATGAAAGAGTGCTATTTCCCCCACAAACGTGCAATTCACTCTCTTTCCACACTCACCTCACAATAACCACGAGATAATATACTCCCCAGTACATATTCTATAAATAAAAATTGATTGTCTCCACAATACGCTTCCTTTATTCACAATTGGATTGACTCAAAACTCCCAAATGAGCAGACCAGAGAGAGAAGGACCTCCCGATGTATTGCAACAGATTTTATAATTAAGAATAGCTGTTCTACAACGAACAGGAAGCAAAGAAATACGCCAACAACAGTCGTATTCGGTTAATTCAGGCGCAGCTATCCGATCGTGCCATTGATTTATTGGTATTACCAGAGGGTGAGCCTGCACTGTTATTGGACATTGGTTGTGGAAGTGGTTTGAGTGGAGAATGCATCTCCAATAGAGGTCATCATTGGATTGGTTGTGATATTAGTCCTTCCATGTTGGACATTGCCATTTCCGTTTGATTTCGTTTGTTTCTTAATGAAATAGAATGGAGTTGAAGGAGATATAATGAAACAAGATATGGGTCAAGGTCTTCCCTTCCGCTCTGGCATTTTCGATGGTGCCATCAGTATTTCTGCCGTTCAATGGTTGTGCTACTCAAACTCGAAAGGAGAGAACCCTGTGTACATGTTTTCTTGTGTAATAATTGATAGTCGCCGTTTAACTGCTTTCTTTATGTCACTGTATAATTGCCTCCGTTCTGGAGCGAGGTTTGCTTTTACTATTTTGTTCTTTCTCTCTAGAGCTGTCATTCAATTATACCCGGAAACTCCCGAGCAAATGGAGTTGATATCGAAAACGGCTACGAAATGTGGCTTTTCTGGAGGATTGGTCGTGGATTTCCCGAACAGTGCCAAGGCAAAGAAGATGTATTTAGTGCTGAAGGCAGGAAACGACCCGAACTTTGTGGTTCCGAAAGGTTTGAGCGACGAGAACGGGGAAGAAGCGACGGATATTCGGTTTACAGCGCGTGAGAAAGCGCTGCGTCGTCGTCATCGTGGTCGCGAGTTCGCTCCGATAAAGAGCAAGTAGAGATTGCGAGTGGAAGCGATTGTAGAGAGTGGATCATGAAGAAGAAGGAGAAGCAGCAAGCTATGGGACGAAGAACGGCGAGAGATTCGAAATACACGGGAAGAAAGAGACCAACTCCTTTTTATTGTCTTTGTAACAAACAGAACACAAACTTGTTACCAGAGTTTCAGTGGGCTCCGAACCACAGCCTCCTTTGCCTCCATGGCAGCCTCCATGGCAGCCTCCCTTGCCTTTACAGCCGCCTTCTCCTCCACAGCAGCCGCCTTCTCCTCCATGACAGCCGCCTTTACAGCCCCCATTGCCTCCGTGGCAGCCGCCTTCTCCCTCTCCATGGCACTTGCACTCGCCCTTTCCCTTTCCTTCTCCACAGCAACCTCCATTGCCTCCGTGGCAACCTCCATTGCCTCCATGGCAACAACCTCCTTCTCCCTCTCCTTCTCCATGGCATTTACATTCGCCCTTGCCCTTTCCTTTACAACCACCTTCTCCCTTTCCCTTTCCTTCTCCACAACAGCCACCATTGCCTCCATGGCAGCAACCTCCTTCTTCTCCCTTGCACCCTCCTTTGCCTTTACAACCACCTTCTCCCTCTCCATGGCATTTGCATTCGCCCTTTCCTTTTCCTTTTCCTTCGCCACAGCAACCTCCTTCTCCACCATGGCAACAACCTCCTTCTCCTCCCTTGCATCCGCCATTTCCTCCATGGCAACAACCACCTTCCTTGCCTTCTCCTCCATGACAGCCACACTGGCCATCCTTTCCACAAGCCTTCATCTCTCCCTCGTTTATTTTATTCTTCTTCTTGTTCTTGTCGACGATGTACGTTCCGTAGGCTGCCGTAAGTGCCATTCGGAGCGGAGAACTACACCTTACACCGCACAACCTTCACTACGTTAGCTTGTTCGTAGCGTAGGCTAAAGTCAAAAGGCTCGCCTATCATCAAGTATCACTAACACAAGTACATTAGGATTGTTTGCAATGAGATGCGAAAAACGGGCAGTGATTTCATACTTATTCATCAGCGCAACAATAGCGTCGGGAGTAACTAACCCAGCTTTAAAAGCACCATAAATTCCGAGGAAAAAAGCAGCTTCTCTACAATAATACAGAAAAGATGAAACAACAGTCCAAAATAAGCAATAACAACCTTGGTTCCCCCCATTTTATTGAACTTATGTCCAAAGTTGATTAACTGGCGCTTTTCCTGCTCTATTTTTTCCATGCGCCTCTCTTTCTTCTGCAACTTCTCTTCCTCGGTCTCTGTTGCATCTAAACATCAGTACAACGAAAAGTAAATACAGCAACGAAAAAACACTGTATTACTGAATGAGCGTGATCGGAGCGGTAACGAATGGAAAGGCTCAGTTATTCTATTACCTAAAGTCTTCATCAGCAACAGAGTCTGAGAAGAGTTGATACTCCGACGAATAATGTCTCGTACCACCATTGGCCTTCCAAAAGATAGAACTAGCGACATTTTCGAAAGAATTAGTGATTTTATGTAAACAAAGAATCACACTTTATGATGATGTTGTTTTGAACGAATACTACTCTCTTTTGATGCACACTACTAGTACGGAACAGGAATCAATTTACTTTTGCTTTGTTGCCTCGATTCTTTTTGTGTTTGGTACTTGTTTAAACACTTATGAGAGATGGACAAGCAATCCAAAGGGGCATATCGCAAGAAATTGCTGGAGAACATACAGAGTGGTAATATTAATGAACTCACAAGTGAAATAACGAATTTACTACAGTCTGAAATTATTGAATGGTATTGTTAACTTGATTTCATCAACTTCAGGGATCTTGTTACTTTGGTTCTCTCTATGATTCCAAAAATGGAGAATTCGAGTCGCTTATTTGATACGTGCGTTTCTTTGTTGAATGGGCGTCAAGATATCCCAGAGAATACTTGTTCGTCCATTCTAACAGACTACGCACATTTTGAAAGAGTAGACGATGCTTTGGGAATGCTTGAAACGATGAAACAGAATGGAATCGAACTCAGGTGGAAGTCACTAGTATGCTTTTTATTTTTTAGAAATCGCCATGTCTCTCCATTGATCGATTTAGCAAACAAGAAAAAGGACATACAGATTATGGAGCACATCGACCTGATTCTCTCCCAGTCATCACTCAAAGTCAATCAATCCGTCCGTTCCAAAGAATTGTTATTTTGTTTTTTTGCTCTTAGTTTTTCGTGATTTGTATAGATTCTCAAACAAATAATATCGATCGAATCATAGAAACTCTTCGCAAAATAGCTCGAGAAGAGGACTTTATTCACGAACCTTCCGTCATCCAAGCTCTTCAGAAGTTCTGTGTTTTGTACTGATTTCAAACACTTTCCACGCAGAAATCCATCATGGAGTTGCTCTCCCATGCAAATCAAAGGCGCATCTTGTTCCCATTGCCACGAACAGCTTCAAAAGTACCATCTCACGAACGATCAACGGGATTTGTTGCTTCTTGGTATCGAAGCCATGACACGTTTGCTTATTTTTTCTCTCTCTTTAACTCTAAGAAACATCACAAAACCGTTCTCAAGCCTTTCAACAATTCAAAAAAGCAGTCGATTCCTTTGACTACGACGTAGTCATCGATGGAGCCAACGTCGGCTTCTCCACCTCCAATCGTCGCGAAGCGTCCCAAACTCCCTTTTCTCTTCGCGTAAACGACATCCAAACAGCTGTCGATTCTTTTCTCGACCAACACAAACGTCCCTTAGTAATTCTCCACAATTATCACATTCGACACTTAAAACGATTCCAACCGCAGCAGCTCGCCGTTCTCGACGTTTTCTCTCCATCAAACTCCATCACTTTTAGCAGCTCCAAGCGAATCGAATGTTGTACTATGTGCAACAGGGATCAAACGATGACTGGTATTGGCTATACGCTTCGCTGCGTCGTCCGAATTGCTTCGTGAGTAAGCGAAGTCCAGTTGATTTGTAGCTGCTGTCGAACGATCAGATGCGGGACCATTTGTTCCAGGCGGAGCATGAGGAGCAGCTGCTGAGGAAATATAGAGAGGAAACACAGATTACGTACCGGTTTGTTTTGAATGCCGAGAAAAAACAAAAGTTGAAATTGTACTTTCCAAAACCATACTCCACTTGCATTCAGGTAGATTTTCGAAAGGATTGTCAGAAATAGGAGTTTCGTAACGGGTTTCACCTCCCTGTGGGAAAAATGGAACTGTCGACTGTTCATGTGGATCGATGGTTCTGTTTCCTAAACAAAATGGCAAGTCTGTCACAGTTTGCGAGACGTATCCATTAGCAGGAGAAAAGTTTGCTAGTTTGCTAGTTTGTTTGAAACATTGTTCACATTTTTCTTTGTACTGCATAACTCCTGGGAAAAAGACTGAATAATCATCTCAAAACTGTGTAATCACGTTCGGTAGCGTAATGAACCTGAATAACCCGTTTGATCTGAATTCTCTCAATAACGGAGATGCAAGCGGGGATGATTCTACAAAGGTCATGAGTCCTGAAGGTATTAGCCGTTACTTTAATCTATGCGTAGAAAAGGAAGATGAGAAAGTTGAGGAGTGGATTTCCAGAATACGAAGCGAGATTGATGCGGATCACACTTCTTGTACACCGGACACCTCAAAGTATATGAAAACCATATCTCTGCTGATCGAGGAAATCAAGAAGAAGCACAGCCCACAAGTAATAGTAGATGTACTTCATCGATATTTACTGCTAAATATAAGATTTTTCATCTCTTTTCTTCGATGTGCACTTACAGCAGTCAGTATGTAACAAAACTTTGTAAATCCGGGATTCTCAACATAATTCGAACCCATTTAGATAAAGAAAATACTCGTATCCAGGAGATTGCCACTATTCTCCTTGGAGACGTCGTCAAATTATATGCGAGTCCATCTAAAGCATACACAAAAGGAGATAAATTCGATATGACTGTGCGAGCATCGGTAATGAGTCATGATTTTATATCTCGGCTAGTCAGGATGATCGTAAAGCCAGATCAATCAGTTCAACTCCAAAAAGCGTGCTTTTGGTGCTTATCACAATATAATAATGAAATCCAATTTTCGGAGGATGATTGCATTCAAGTGCTGGCCACGATCAACATCCTTCTAAACGGAACCGTACTCTTATTTTTATTAACCTCGCCTAATCATCTAGGCTGATGAAGACTTACTGATCAACATTTGCAACGCCATCACGCCGCACTTCGTTCAACAAACAACCGTCATCGTATCCCTTTCTTTTTTTCCACTTTTCCCCAGTACTTAATCGCCTCCTGCGTTATCCCCAACATCATCGAGTTGTTGGCGTATCCCTCCATCCAGGTAGTCTCTTGTTCGCTCCGTGTCGTCGGCTATGTCGTGGCTCTCGATCGAAACGAGAAGGAAAACATCGATTACACCGAGGTTCCCATACCCAAACGCCTCCATTTCTAGTACGTTGTGGACTGTGGAGTCGTCAAATATCTCCGAAAACTCCTCGAATCGCCGGATCTGAGCATCGTGAAGTCGGTTTGCTGGACGATTTCGAATATAATCGCGGGGACGCCTGAGCAAGTCGGTCGTGGACGGGAGTTTCGAAGAGTAGATTCAGTCGATCATCGACAATAATTGTATTCCCAAGATTTTGTCGCTGTTGAAGTCGGACATGGGGAAGGATATCAAGACCGACGCGAATTGGGTGTTTTTGAACGCGCCGACATGCGGAAGCGACGAGCAAATCGACTATTTTGTGAAGGAAGGGATCATTGAGTTTTTAATCTCGCTGCTCCAAACCGAAAATCAATGTCAAGACGTCGAGGACGCGATCTACGCGATTATTGTTGGCTTGGAAGGATGGAATGAGGCGTAGAGAGCAGGCGATCGGGTCGCAGGTCCCGGAAAAGCCAATCCGTACATTTCGTATATCAGTGCATGGACGCTCCACGAAATCGCATCGAACCCGCAGAATAAGCAGCAGAAGCAAGCCGAAGCGCTGCTGAACAATCTGTTCTGTCAGTGTGGGATTTGCCATCAGTTTTACTAGTATGACAGCGAGGCGGGGTTAAGCGTAGTGTGAAGGATCTCTCGCTGAAGAAGTGCGATGAGTGCAACTGTCTGGTCTGCGAAAACTGCGACTGCTCTGTGTATCATTTAGATTATCAGCTGAAGCATTGGGAAGAGGTGGGATGTGCGGGGATGTGGTTATGGGCAGAACGAAAGGATCGAGTCCAAGAAGCGATCGAAAAGGAAAAACCGGAAAGCCGCTCCGCCCAAACCGGGCGAGAAGGAAATCACGCTGACCGAGGCAGAACTGGACTCGTTTAAGACGATTCTGGCCTCGTTTCTCGAAGATTTTGACATGATCAAAGTTTCTCAAATGTTACAGTAGTAGTAAAAAGTATCGTGTTTGCCACAAACATTCCCAAACAAACTAACATCCTCATCGCTTACTGCTGCTCCTCCTCAAAAGTCAGCTTCATCAGCTCATCTACAAACGACGCGATATCCGGGGTCAGAGACTTGAAGACCGCGTTGGCCACGTCCGGCTTCGAGTTTCCAAAGATCCTCACGCACTGCTGCACATACGCCACGTAGTTAATCTTTGTCACCGCATTGTACAGATCCTGGTCGATCTCCACGAAGTCCATTCCACAGCCGCCTCCAATTTCCTGCAAGTGGCGCAGCTCGTCGTCCGTCAGATCCTCGCTCTTCACGTCGTTCTCATCGTCGTATCCCCAGTCGTTCTCCTTGAAGTTCTGGCCCTGGATCCGCTCCAGCAGCAGGTTGTAGTCGATCTCCTCCTCCTCTTCGTTCGGCTGCGTCTCGTTCGCCATGCGCAGCAGCGTCATGCTGCCAGCGAAGATATGGTTATATGCGTTCTGGTATGACGCGGGGAGCTGCTCTTGCGGCATGGCGAGCAGAGCGGCGAGCGCCATCGTGCCGATCTTGCAAGGGAAGAAGGAAGTGAAGGAGTCGAGATAGCTGAGCATGTCGATGAGGAAAGTGTCCGCGTAGCCGAGCTCCTGCATGCAGGCCATGGCGCGAGAACGATCGATGATGATCGCAGAGCAGACCACGAGAAGGGCACGAACCTGCGAGGTGAGAAAAGGGCTCTATGACAAGCCAAAGGGACACCAAAGGGACACCAAGGGGACAGCAACAATCAATGAATCAAAGAATCACTCAATGACCCGTTCATGCATTCACACTACTACTTACGATGCTCTCACGAATCTCGTCCAGCGTGTATTCAATCACTTCGGCGTCTTCCTCCGAAGGGTTGTTCATCAATTCCTGGATCTCGTTCTTCTTCTTCTCCACGAACTGTATCACAATCTGCATGGCGGGCTTCAGCACGACGTCCGTCTGCTCTGCACATCAGCGCTCTCCCTCAGTCCTACCCATGTAATAGTGGATGATGATCATCAGAATGGCCATCGCGTAGCACTGCTCCACATCGCTGATTTCCGAATCGAACGCCACGCTGCTCACGAAATCGTACATCATCTCCAGATAGCTCTTGCCGTTGAACTGATGATCCAGCATGCCTGATCCCGGAATGCTCATGTAGCAGTCCACCACAGGGAAGAATCCGCCGATGTAGTCGATCGCCTGCATCTGGATGATCGAGACCAGGCGCGGGAAGAGCTCCCAGATCATGTTCTGCGTCGTGCGCGCGTTGGCGTAGAAGTTGGCGAAGGTGCGAACGATCATCAGACTGGCGTCGTAGAAATCGCACTCGTTGTTCGAGAACACCTCGATGATCGTGGGCATCACGGCAGTGACCACGGTATCGTAGTACTGAGGATTCTCGCAGCCGTTAATCACGATGCTGCTGATGCAATCGATGGTGCTCATGGCAGTGAACACCGCGTTGTCGTTGTCCTCGTCCTTCTTGTAGTCCTTGAAAGCCGACAGCAAAATGCTCAGAATGTCGGCACTCATCGGCAGCAGGCGGCCTTCGTACATGTTGATGAGGATGTCGAAGGCCTGCATGACTTCTTCCACAGCCACTTTCTGCAGAATGAAGATGTAGCGCTCCACGATGTGCTGGAGGTTCTGACCGAGGTACTCGAAGCAGGCCGACTCCTTTGAGAAGAAGGCTTGCAAGCTGAGAGCCGCGCTGATGCAGACGGAGAAATCCTGATCGTCCAGAAGGCCAACCATGTTCGCAACCACGCTCATTAAGTGATCGGGACTGAAGTTGAGCTTGTGGTAGGCGGCGTAGATACGGCATGCTCGGGAACGGAGAATTCCCACAAAGGATGAGAACTCGGGATACACGAATTTAACGAGAACATCTTCCTAAAAGGAGGTGAGAGAGGGTTCAACACAGCAAGGGTTTAAGAGCAATGATTCATGCTGGAATTTCTCTTGGAATGCTGTGCGAGATGGACGGATCTCGGATCTCGGATCTCGGATCTCGGATCTCAGAAAGCAACGCCACGTCATCGAGTCTCCTCTCAGACGAAAGATGGATTTGCATTTCATCCTCGCATCCATCGAGCAACGAAGGAACGTCAGAATCGTTGGTTTTCACGTCAGCGAGTCTCCTCTCAGACGAAACACGGACAACGTTTACATCACTCTTCCTTCCTTCCAATCATTGATTCATTGATTCATTGATTCATTGATTCATTGATTCATTGATTCATTGATTCATTGATTCATTGATTCATTCAAAGCCATCAGAAAAGGTTAAGGTCACGTCAACGAGTCTCCTCTCAGAAACACGGACCTCATTTTCATCCCGTGAGCCAGCGAATCAAACATCCATCCCAATTCAATTCAATTCAATTCAATTCAATTCAATTCAATTCAATTCAATTCAATTCAATTCAATTCAATTCAAATCAAATCAAATCACTCTACTTACCACCGACACTCTAAGATTATCCTTGCTCAGCAGGTTGGGCGCCAGCAGCTCCAACGCGTACAGCATCCACTCCTTCGCCAAGAAATCGCGCTGCTCCGGATTGGTATTATCATACACATTGAACGACTCGGTCAGATAATTGAGGAACAGAGCCAGAATATCATTCGCTCGCACCTTGCTGAGATACACCAAGAAATTGCCCGCTTCCACGCGCACGTTGCTGAACTCGTAGTACATGTCGTGCACGTGCACCACGAACTGGATCGGATCCTCCTTCCACAGCTCCACCTCCTCCTTGGTGAGCGCCAGGGCCTTCGGCAACACCTCGTTGATGATGAAGGGCATGTGGGTCTTCAACGATCGGTAGAGCACGGCGATGTCCGTGATGTCCTTCAAGAAGGTGAACAGCTTGATCGCCACTTTGTTGTAATAGTACACCGACTAGAATCAGAGCCTTCTCCTCTCTCCTACAGTCTTGTACACATTCAGCTGTTCCAGCACCATGGTGAGGATGCTGGGGGCGAAGTTCTGAATCCACACGTTGTACTCTTGATGATCCTTCATGCTACCGTTCACTCCCTCGCGCGTCTCTACTTCAAGAAGTTGTGGTTCACTCGCAGGATCGTTGTCATGCACCATTTCTTCACGTGCCATTCAGGGAACGTCGCCTTCTCCTGCACGCTCACCGTGGGATCGTTGTTCTCCGGATTGATCGCCGGCATCTGAATCAATTGCTACCCTCACAACCCGCCCGCAAGGCTATACGCAAAGCAGAGGAATCCAGGTCGACAGGTCGTTGATCGCGATCACAGACTGGTCCATTTCGCTCAGGTCCAGAGAGGTGTAGTACATCTTGACGACCAGGTGCAGAATCTGCAGGTTTTCTTGCGAAGGGGAGGCTTTCTGCCGGTCAAACGCTCATGCCAAGACTACGAAGGAGGTCTGGATCCATTGAAGAATCGCAGGGAAAAAGTGCTGGGTGAGCTGATGGACAGGCTCCTTCGTGGTACGGTATTGGAAGCACCGCAACATACACTACCACTGTGAACAAACGTCCGAGACGATTACCAGAATGACATAAATGGCATTATAAAAATGTTGAAGATTTCCGGACTGCATCTCGCTCTCGATCTGGGAAATGCACTCGGGCCACTGAGCAAAGTCTGCCTAGTTCATAACGGAAAAACGGACATGCGTACACTAGTGATCTCCTGGACGGCAAGACCCATCAAATGTGCCACTGATATATCTTGTTGTGAACAGAGCACGGGAATGATGTTCTGGCGGAGAACAGCCTTGTCTTCAGCAGAAATGGCATTAGAACTGTCCGTATCGTAGCGATTACGAAGACGGTTCTTCAGGGCGATAGAAGCGCTCTAGCAGTCAGACAAACACAGATAACACTACTTGCTTCAGAGTGTGAGGTAGACCGTCTTGGCTCAAAATTGACAAAAGAGCAGGGAAAAATCCAGGAGCATTTGTCAGCTATCCGTTACTCCACTCTCTACATCATTACCTCGTTTAACACTCTTTCTGCTTCTTTACGGACATTGTTGTCCTTATCGTTTGTATCCGTTAAGGCTTTTATCACGATATTCAGATCCATGTCTACAATCAAGGGTTAGACTTCTGTTCAGTTTAATTACCATAAAAATAGAGTCCTAGTCACTTATTCATACCTATTACAATTCTTCCTCCTTGAAGGTATTTTATTGTTAAACCACAAATGTAGTGACAGAAAAACGGCAGATTTTTCATCCTTGTTTTGATCTGTACTAATAGCCACTTTCTGCAAATCTGAAGCGGTTGCACGTACCCAACGCTGATACAGAATGAGAAAACGCAATGTATTATTCATTTCACTTTTTTTCGTTTTTTCCTGATTCTTTTATTGAGGCAATGATAATCACAACATTATTAGATGAGAACGTTGAAATGGATTATGTACATTGGAAATAATCGCGGGAATTTCACTAATGATCGTTTTCCATACATTTCTATATACTAGTCTTTTCTACTTAATATCATGGCCCATGTATGTACATGACGGAGTGAAGCGGAAGGGATCGAATCGCGGTCCAATCTTGTTTCTTTTGCGAACTCAGACTAATGGTTTGTATAGATTGCTAAGAAGGTTGAATTCACTATTGATTGCTCTGAGCCTATGAAGGATCACGTTATGGACATGCCCTCTTTTGTACGTTCTGTTTTTGCTAAATGAGGAGTAGGAGAAGTTTTTGGCGGAGCACATTAAGGTGAACAACAAGACGAACAACCTGGGAGATCTGATTTCTGTATCTAGCGCTGATACCAAGCTGACTGTTGCTGTGTCTTGTCCTATGGCCAAGAGATATTTAAAGGTGTGAATTAGTAGTAACGAAAGTTATTTGCTAGTACCTTACCAAGAAGTACCTCAAGAAGCAACAGCTGCGTGATTATCTCCGTGTGATTGCTGATGGAAAGACTAGCTACAAGGTTCGTCGCCTCTTGTTGTTGTTAACATGTAGCTCAAGTATTTCAACGTGGAGAAGGACGAGGAATAAAACGTTTTGGGGTTTTGTGCTATTTGTTTGTTTGTTTGTTTGTTTGTTTGTTGTAATAAACACCAATACCACCAGTCCTTATCATCAAGGTCACGACGAACTGCGCGTTCTTCGTCCAGGCAGTTTTGATAGCCCTCGAATTCTCCACGAATCAGATGCTTCCACTTCTTCATACGTACCTCATCCAGATTTTCCTATGTGTCAACCATCCATCCAACGAAAACCAGAAGCGATTCTACAGTCACTTCCTTGACTTCAACTTCCTCCTTGACTTCCTCCTCCTCCTTAACTTCCACTTCCTCCTCCTTAACTTCCACTTCCTCCTCCTTAACTTCCACTTCCTCCTCCTTAACTTCCACTTCCTCTTTCTCTTCCTCCTTGTTCTGACCATTTCGCTGCTTCTCCAAATCATCAAACACCTTCTCGTTCACGGATTGTCGAATATACGTATCCTCCATTATCAGCAGGCGATTCAGTGGCATGTATTTTCCCACCCTGGCACCCTTCATCTGTCTCTCCATACACGCCATCACCTCCAGGAAATCATACATCTCCAATCCCTCCTTCGCTTCCTTCTCCAACGCCTCCACCAAGGCAACAGGCTTCATCTGGCGATCGCGCTGACTCACGATCTTATTCGCCCAATTCGGCACAAAGCCCGAATTCTTGAACTCCACCTTCGTCTTCTCCTGCATCTGCTTCACCAGGTCGAGAACCTTCTCCTGTGGAATCACCAACTTCTCGCCTACATCGAACCGCCCTCTCTTCTCTACCCTTCTTCTCGCACCAGCAATTGAAGTACGTAGAGCCCAAATCCACACCAGTGCTCGTCAACGGCGATGTATTGAAGTAATACTCTCCCTATTCTTTAGAGAAGCCTCCAAACACAACAATGACATACAGAGCGAAGCTGTTCGGCTGGTAGTCGAACTTGATCAGCATTTCTAACAGCTTGTCCTTGGACAGCGGCGCTTTCGTATCGATGTTCAGCTCCAACGTGGAGAACCACTACGCGTTTTTTTCATGCCCTGATGCTTACTTGAGAGAAGAAGTCGATTACGTCTCCCATGGTCTGGAAATTCAGCGGATTCTCTACGACTGATGCATGATTACAGATCTTACCCTTCATGATGCTGCTGATTAAACGGTCATAATAGTAGCTCATGTTGTAGTGGCGGTACTAATGTGTGAATCAATGGGATGGATTCCTACGTAGTGGTCTAGATTCTTGGGGACAAGATACAGCATCTCGCGAATGTCACTATCATTACCACCCTTGGGCTTGGTTACACAGGCGAGGTGGTCATTTCTGTAGTGCATAAAGAGCGTACCACCGACTCCAGCAAGTACCACAGCGCCACCAACAGTATACTTCACGAATCTCTATTCGTTTAGTCTTTTTCCAACTTACATACCTTTAATGTCTTTTTCGGCTTTGCGGGGTTGGGACCTTGCGGACCCTTGGGGCCTTGTGGACCTTTCGGAATCTGAGCACCTTTAGCAGCAGCAGCCGAAGCTTGAGAAGTGGCAGTTTGCGCACTCTTGACAGTACTTGCTGAAGCAGCTCCTGTTGCAGCCTCTGCAGCGGCCTTTGCCTCTGCTCCTGCGAAACGCTTTAAGATAACCACAAAACAAAGGGAGTACTCTGAAACATCTGGCAGTCAGTCTTGCGGTGGGTGAAAGAAGTCTTTGCATGTCCTACAAAGATATAGAGCATGTTGCACCTCATACTAGATTATTCGAAAGCGATCAAAGCAAAAAATGGCAAAACCCTCAAATTACTTTAACAAACACTCTGCGATCCACTAAACAGACACATGGGACAAAAGTATTGAACAGTTATTTAGTATTTGGCGAAGAAGAAGCCCGTTTGGCACGAGCATGAGCCATTTGCCTACCAGAAGCTTTTCGAGGAGGATAAACAGGCCGTGCTTGCTGCATTCTCCCATTTCCTCTTGGAGAATTAAGATGCTTCCCTATACATCAAGGTACCTCTCAGCATTGACCAGACATGGCACCGAAAGAGGGGGATCGATGCATCGATCCCCCGCTTAGCAGTTCCGGATGCTGGGAGAGCGGAACGCCACACTTCAAAACGGGACATTCTCCACAAGAATTCGTAGCAAGGACTGGTAGATCAGGTGGTAGCGGATCTTCCACGCGGAATACAGGAATTGATGTGATATTTAAAACTGGGCAAGATGCGTATTTGGGAGTGCTGATGATAGACGATAGTTCCTCTTCATAACCGCAGGTTCGCCAATCACCGGAATTGTGAAGACAGTGAACGGTAATGTTCACTCGAACGGTTCCCAAAGAGCTGTTGGGAACTCCCCTCATTGTGAGAGGAATAACGAAACCTGGACTTTACGTTAAATGAAGAACGGTACGATGAAACCCCTGAGGAATCAGCTCGCAGTCAATCAAACACTCTCCAATGTATTTTTCGCCTAGCAGCCGTTCATCATAACTGAACATCAATTACCCAATCCATTTTTACACTTCAATCCGGATTTTGGATGAACTTCCAGAAAAGGATAGACTACAATTCCACGCTACATATTAACTACCCAAACCGTACATACTGGGATTCTTTCCGCAGTCATGTAGAGTAGAAGTTCTATAGTCTGTGTCTTGATAATAGATACGAGCAAATGCGTCAAGTTTCCCTCTTGTACTTATATCACGCAGTTGCTGCGCTCCTATTAATACAAGGCGTATTTGATAATTAAAAGATTTCATATATTATGTTATATCCTCAAGAGCATAAAGAAACACGAATAATTGTAAATTCATTATTCCTTGAGTCCAGAAAAACTGCCTATTTTGAATACTTCATATTCTTCAGTAATCAGTGTCTAAATTGAGTATCGATCGTTTTGTTTTGTGTTATACTATTGCTCGACTATGTTTGTTTTCCAACTCTTCGTTTTTGTTTGGTTCATTATTGCAAACGGTACTTTTCTTTTACTAAAGGTTCAGTATGTCATCTTCCACGAAAATATCAAACGACTAGAAGAGAGACGGCATACACGTTAGAACTGGGGTTATTGTTCAATTCAATATTAAACTTGAATACTTGATTCCTCGATTAAAGGATGAAGTTCGAACGGAAAACAAATAGATCCTACATGAATTTAAACTATGTTATAGAATAGGCCTGTTCTGCCCGATATACCCATGTAGCAGGGAATGCTTTTTTCGATTACAGGATTACGCTACAAATCAAAGGAAATAGGAATTCTGAATGTGTAATGCCTTACAAAATCTTCATTGGTCATAGTTTTGAATCACCCAAAGATAGTGATTTATTTTTGAAATTCATACTTCTATTTCTTTTTTATATCTGGATTACAATGCTCTGATGTGAATTAAACCTCTGAAGCATCATGATTCATTTTGTGTTATTCTTGCTTTGTTGAGAAGCCTTCCTTTGGTCATGTGTAATATATAAAAATGATTTTAATCAGGTGGCTAAGCATTGTTTTCCGTACTCTCTCCGTACGTTGCCTGGAATATACACAAAATACAAACCTATTATTATTTTGTGATTTATCATCCTATTTTATAATACTTTCAATAATTAGTCCCAAAGTATGTCACCATGATCCAATCCGTAATACTCTAAATGGAGCATAATTTAAGGTGGACATTTCTAAAAGAAATGGATGATCCCATCCTAATTTTGTAGCACATTCTCTCTTCCCATGCTCCATTCTTGCTAAATTTAATAATTGAGTCACAAACTATATAAATATTAACCAATTACTATCATTTGTTGTTTGTTCAATGGAAGAGGAGTATTTTTAGTTAAAACACAACGTAGCTGGTTTGTGTGGTCCTATAATGCACAGTCAACACAACAGTAAAACTCTACATCATCAGGAATTATTATGTGCAACTATTTTGGAGTATTTACTTGTCCTTTTACGCCAGTTCTCTCTGTTTCTACATGTTGTATACGAGTCAATATAGTTGATTTTGTTGAAATCTTTGATTATAGAAAACATTTGGAAGTTGCTTGTTAGATTGTTGTGGCTCGTATTCTATTTTGGAATCTTTTTGGTCCAGACAATCTATCTACTCAAATGGAAGCAGACAATGTTCCCAAGACTGTTTAATAACGATATTGTTTGTAATTTGAATATCGATCCGTGCAAGTGCCAGGCCTACGCTTCTTCCATCTTTACTTCATCTATCATTCAATCTGATGGTTGTATTCGTGATGACAAGTTTGATGGTATACACCGTGCGTATCAGTTGCGTGGATACAAGATTCATAAGTTCCAAACCAAAGACAAAGATTATCAATCCATCGACTATCGTTTGGAGCCAAATGTCGTGGATACGAATACGGATGTGTGCCACAATGATACCTTCTTATTTGTAATGATCCTAGTGCATCAAAATGATATTGACCGTCGCATGTTATTCAGAGAGAACATAAAGCGTGAATCCATTGAAGGGAAGAAGGTAGATTATGGATTTTTCGTGGTTGCAGACAAGGGAAATACAGAGGTTATCCAATCTATCACTACGGAAAACAGAGCATTCCACGATATTTTGTATTCTCAGCACGTAGACAGCTATACAAACGTTACATTAACCATGCTGGACTCCTTTTTATGGATTCGAGACCACTGCCCAGCCAAGTTTATTATTCGACTGGACGCAGATTGCTTTTTGCACGTCCCCAATGCCGTGAAATACTTGTCCTCTGTGAATGATCACTTCTTTTATGGGGGTTATAGTTGGAAAGATACACTGTATAGCAAGAAAGACAAGGAAACCGCCTTTGATGTCCCTGCGGACTATCCGCGATGGAAGCGTGTATTTAACTATGTGCTCGGAGGAGGATATATCGTGTCTGCTGATATTGTCCCATTCATCAACATTGGAACGCTCTACCAGGACTTGGTGATTCATGCAGCTGAAGACTGTCTTCTTGGAAGGCTGCTGGAAAATGTCGACATTCATCCCTCTGACACATCTGGGAAGTACCATGTATTTATGGATCTAATGCTCCACAAAGAGCTCGAGAACCTCACAGCATGGCCTAAAAATGTCATTATAGTCCACAATCTCAAGAACTTCACATTTCAACAACAAGCGTTCGCTCATTTTAAGTCTACTTTATTCTCTGTTTGTAACAAAAAACAAAAATAGCAGGATTATCGTCGACGTTTGCTTTCATATCTAAGAGGCTTCACATCAAAAGAAATAAGCCCATTCTTCCTCCTCATCTTTAAGATTTGCATTCTCCTCAATCTTCTTTCTTTTGCTTTAGTTTGTTGTTGTTTAACAATAAGGGACTGTAAGTAAGAGTTAAGACCTCCAACTGGCTCGACAGAAGAGAGAGAAGACGAGTCATAGGAATCTGAAAGGTGCGAATCGCTCTGATCACTTTCAACGGAATCAGTTGAGTAGGAACAAAACGGGTAGGAAGAAGGATCACTTCTTAGTAAAACGTCGTTAGACATATCAAAAGTCGGCGCAACGGTTTCAGGAAGAGCCATCCGCTGTTCCTGAAACAATAAGCTGTCTTCAGGGGACTCCTGAAGACAGCTAATGCTAGGGAACAGGCCATAATATGTTCTCCTCGAAACGATCAGTGTGCCACACATGAACATCCGAAGCAAGCTGCTCACGAGTGGCACCCATTATCATGTCATCACTAAGTGGAAAGCTCGTAAAACTAAGCATTGTGGGTAAATAACAAAGACCGCAGAGAATATTTGAAAACCATCAACTCTGGAATAGTACCACAAACAACCGAGTAATCATTTTGCATAAAATCTTCGCTCTATATTCCGAAGTGAGGAGAAATTTCCAGGAAACATCTTGATAATTCTGTAAAGGGTGCTCAATTATTCGTAAAACTTGTCGGGAAGCTGTGAAAGGACTGGAGACACTTGTTCGCCCAGTTTTTAAAGACCTGAAACAATCAAATAACCACCATTATTATATATGCATTGATTACAGCAAACACTTTAAAACTATCGTATTCGATCAGAGGAACAATGCAGTGCCACGACAGAGGGCTATTTTCAGCTTTCAGTTTTCGATCCAATCATGCTCTTTTATTGTGCATAAAAACATAGAACGGTTTATATATTCGAATCATCCACTTATTTTCACTGCGGAGTCGATAGATGGTGTTATGGCGACTTTATTCCATTTGAGTTGAGTAACGTGATATCACATCGTAAATAACAAATCAAACTAGGTGTCATTTGACTTGAATGATAAGATGATGTTATGAAGATTCTACTTTTGGAGTCGGTTATGGAAATGATGCGAAATCGATTGTAACCTGGAAAGGTTCAAATAGACATCAATGTACAATTTGCTTTATTACAGCATATTTTTATGAGTCTGGAAACTATATGTAATGTATATTCGATTGGAATTCAATCGATATTCATGCTTTAAAACAATTGGCAAATCACAAACAGTATTCACTTTTTTCAATATATATTTATCCACTTCCGGATTCATACTCATTTCTGATTAGATCACAACAGGAAGGTACTCAACACACTCATTTGACAAAGGATTGACCAAATACTTGTATTACGAACCACCTACCTTCTTCATACATTTCTTTTACAAGTACAGTACACTGTCATATAAACTTTCGTTGGCTATGGAGCAGGAACCATCTAAGAAGTCCTCCACAATGGGAGCACTGAACTCTATATTTAAGAGTAAGAGATTGTTAATCATACAGACAATCTCGATGCTTACCTTTTTCGCCTCTGCGCTTGCAGCATGGAAGCTGCTCAGTTATACACTGAATACTACAACTCCGGTTGTCGTTATCCTTACGTATTGGTCGTATTTGGTAATTCTTACATTCAGAGGCTCCATGTTACCTGAGTATAGACGTGGAGATGTCCTTGTCGTCGATAACCGCTTCCATTCCTTGAAGATTGCTGACATTGTTGTTTACAGTATTCCTGGGCGTGATATTCCGATTGTTCACCGAATTCACGTGATTCACAATCCGTAATTTCTATAGTTTTGTACTTTGATCATAGTGGAACTGAGGACGAGTCCCGTTTCTTGACAAAGGGAGATAATAATCAGGTATACGACCAGCAGCTTTACGCTCGAGGTAGAGGAGATGTGAAATAGTCATGGTTAGGCCAGTCATTCCTTTCTCGCACCAACATTTATGGTGCAAGTGTGGCGTATGCTCCCTATTTCGGAATGTTTACGATTTGGACAACCGATTACCCGTGGCTGAGATACGCAATTCTTGGCATTATGGGTTTGTTCATTATGTTGGGTAAGGAGTAAATTGTTCTATTTTTATTGTGTTTGATTAACACCTCTGACCCTATCCTTCTTTATGGGTTCATTGTGAAAAGAATGACTGCTTTTTAAATGAGTTAGTTGACGACAAAAATAGGCACTTCTTTTGTCTCTGGATTCAAATATACGAAATGGATCTGATAAGAGCATATCAGGACGAGGGAACGCAGAATCCAAAGGAAGAGGAGGAAACTAAAGAGACTATCGAACCCGTCTTGAAGAAGATGCATGTAGACCTAGCTCCATCTCTCCCTGTGAGTAAACAGGTAGGAGATTGTATCGTCGTATCAGTCTAGCCTGAAATGGTGTCTCTGGTGAATAACACGAAGAAGACGTTAAAGTATAATCCGACCGTGGAGGAGATGTATAAGCCGGTGGTTGTAAAGGTTTGTGCAGTGCTCCATTCATAGGGACCTGAAGCTCCATATTACGCAAACCCCCTTGCTTCCGGTGAAAATAACGTGACCACTGGATACGTGGAAGTGAGATCCCATAATTCGTCTGACGGTTAGCATATGAATCTGGAAGAGTTCGATTTCAAAGAACAATACCAGACTTTTCACAACTTTGGATATGCGAAGGCCCCCGATGGATCGGATAAAGTGGTAGGAAACAAGTGGCTGCACGAGAAGTTCGAAGGTCGCACCATCTTCGACACGCGTCAGGCGGACTACGCGAAAGAGCAAAGCCGCAAACGAGAGCACGCTGGCAAAGGTAGTCTTGTCTGCACACTCTCTCTTTATCCACAGCATCGGATGTCGAGAATTGGAAGGGTCCTTGGGCAGGCTACCAGGGCGAAGAAGAAGATCGAATGACTTCCGAAGAGAAGGGCGAAATGACGGAATGGCAGCGCGTGTGGCTGGAGCGAAACAAGGACAAGAAAGTACGCGAGGTAATCTTATCGAGAATCGACTTGATTCGATGTAGTGGATTCGCACCGGCAAAACACCCGAAGACGTGGTGGACGAGGAAACGCCCGTCAATCCGTTCGAACCGTCTGGCCTCGGAATTCCAATCGAAAAGGCGAAGTCGACGTTCCACGGGAAGGAAGAGAAGGATTATCTGGGTCGAACGTGGATCGTTCCGCCCTCGGATCTGCATCCAGCGGACCAGAAGCGATCGTTCCTGCCGACCAAGGTGATCCACAAATGGTAAATCGCGACAGAAACGAGTGAGAGTTCTAGGACGGGACACACCGAAGCGGTGCAGAGCATCGAGTTCTTCCCTACCTACGGCCATCTTTTGTTGTCTGGAAGCATGGATATGAAGGTAAGCTCGGGCGTGGGGTGTCACTGCCAGGTCAAAATCTGGGATGTGTACAATCGCCGCAACGTAAAGCGGACCTACATGGGCCACGCTGCGGGTGTGCGCTGGGTCGCGTTCTCTTCGGACGGAAAGACCTTCCTCTCTGCGTCCTTCGATCGGAATATCAAGCTGTGGGACACGGAGAGCGGCAAGTGCATTGGCAACTACACCAAGGGAACGATTCCTTTCCAGTGCGTGTGGGCTCCTTCCGATTCGAATTCCTTCTTGACTCCCTCCCAGGACTCGTGTATCCATCAGTTCGATATCCGCACGGGCGAGGTGAGCGTTGTGACTGGTCTTTTATGTAGTGCACGATGACGTACAACTACCACGAAGCGGCAGTGAACGCGGTGTGCTTCTACGAGAACGGTCGGAAGTTCGTCAGCACGTCGGATGACCGCAAGATGCTGTGCTGGGACTACGGCTACAACCCTCCAACGCGATACATCCAGGAAACCTACATGACCTCCATGCCCGCCATGACTCTCCACCCTTCTGGCGACTACATTCTCTGCCAGGCGCTCAACAACCAGATCGCGGTCTACAAGTGTATGGACACCGTCGTTCACCATCCCCGAAAGCGATTCAACGGCCACAAAGTGAGCGGATTTGCTCTGCAGCCTGCTGTTTCTCCGGACGGAGAGTTTGTAGGGAGTGGCGATGCAGAAGGAAATCTGTGGTTCTGGAGCTGGCGAACGTGCAAAGTGCTGAAGAAGATGCCGGCGCACAAGGGAGCCGGTGCAGGACTGGCGTGGCATCCGATCGAGAAGAGCTATGTGGCATCGAGTGGGTGGGACGGAGTGATTAAGTTATGGGGCTGATATGTTGTTTGTTGATCACAATTGAAATGAGTTTATGAAAATGAAAATGAAAGTGCTGATGATTTCAATAAGAATAAGAATAAGAATGAGAATGAGAATGAAAACGGAAACGTGGTGGAGAATTGATACCAACAAACAAACAAGGCGACATACCAAGCCATAAACGTACCCTATCGAGCCAATCATGACGCACCAGTCGCGTTTTAAGGCTCCACACGTCCACGAATACGTCCAGTGCGACGAGCAGCAATGAGACCGACCTTCTTTCCGGGGCAAGTGCCACGGCTGCGAGTCGAAGGCTTACCAATGTGCTGGTGGTTACCTCCTCCGTGCGGGTGATCCACAGGGTTCATGCACACACCGCGCACCTTCGGCCACTCATTGCGCTTCACAGCGAACTTGTGGTACGCACGACCCGCCTTCAGCATCGGCTTGTCCATGCGGCCTCCGCCAGCCACGATTCCCACCATGCCACGGCAGCTACGCGTTACAACCAACACAAAGAGAGAAAAGCATACCTCGAAGAAACCGTCTTCTTGATGCCCGAAGGCAGACGGATGAACGTCATGCTGCGGTCATCCGAGTGACCAATCACAGTCACATAGTCGCCAGAGCAACGAGCCAGACTGCCGCGATCGCCCACCTTGTGCTCCACGTTGCACACAACAGTTCCTTCAGGAAGCTCACGCAGAGGAAGCACGTTACCAACGCTGATATCGGCCTTCTTACCGCAGAACACGCTCTGGCCAGTGAACATACCCTCAGCAGCCAGGAACAGCTCCTTGTCCACCTTGAAGTGGTAACTACCCATTAGCGACCATCTGTCAAACGAAAATACGGATTGCGGAAAGTGACGCGAGCAAGAGGAGCGCCACGACCGGAATCGTGAACGATCTCTCGCACCACTCCCTTCAGGAATCCGTTGCGCTCAGAATAGTCCAAGGCACGGAATTGAGGCACTCCCTTGCGCAGGTGAGTGTGAGCCTGGAAGACAGCTCCTTTAGCTCCCTTTCTTTGTCCTACACACGCCGTTAGATGAATTCAGCCACAAATAACAGAAATCAGCAAGTATTCATTAAACACAAAAATGCCTCCACACCCCAGTTTTCCAATGCTTACCTCGAATAACACGACCCATTTCAAAGAATTCGGTATGTCTTTTTCTTAAGCATAGTCACAAACAGTAAAAAATCAGGGGTATTTTGGGCATGAAAACTGAAATCATTGTGTATGAAACAAAAATGAACAGCAAGCCAAAAACTAGAGTTCGCTCCATCCATAAAGGCAGAAAATATTCTGGCCATCGGTTGAGGTTGCATTGATCGTCAGTTCATATTTCCCCTACAAGGTCAACAAAGAGAGCCGATTCTTACGGAAGGAGTGAACCATGGAACATGGAGCTTACTACTAAAATGATCATTTATGGGGCGAGGAACTGAACAATCAGACCCAGTGTAATATAGTTTTCCAATGAGAAGTGGTAGCGAGAAATACTGCTCACCACAATAATCGAAGGTATGATCAAGCAAAAGGCCCTACTCATGATATAGCAAAAACGCTTCATACTGAGTTTCTAGTTGCCACAAACCGAACTTCTCCAGATGTGATATTCTTGTTGAGGATGGCATATCCTGAATCAAACGTGAGGTCCTTACTTCTCTCGAGGTCAGATACTTTATAGTCTGTGAAATGCATCAGGGTGGCTTCGGTGCCGCAATCTTTAACGTGCATTTCAGATTTAAGTCGTAAATTCCCAGCAATCGCCACACCCAATACTAAAACAAACAAGGGAAACATTTTTTAAAAATAATATTGTATCATCAATATCATTCTTTGACGTCATCTTATCTTGTGGTGAGATAGGAGACAGGATCCGTTATGGATACATCCGCATCCGTTAGAACAAATCGTTCCTCAATGTTTTCTACCACTTGCTTTTCATTCTAGGTCGTAATTGCGGAAAACAATTACCTTGCCCTTTGCTCCATTTTGCTGAAGCATACATAAAACAGCGCCTATTTCTTACAACTTCAAAGAGTGCAATACATTTTTCCTTGCGTATGTGAGTTGCAATTCCGAAGAACTTGCTCACTTCATAGCTGGATATAATCTGGTCATATTGCATTAATCCTTGAACATATCTAAGTGTCAAGCGGTATTGTCTGAGATACCGATTGAGAGCATTCATTCTGTCGTCAATTAAAAGAGTTGTCATGACTAAATGGGATTTGGGTAAGGATGGAAGGTCAATGTTTTTGTTAACGGAAATGAACTCGATATACGCATGGATGTCTTTCCATTGTTCCCATGTATGGCTCACAGACCAGCTTGTACGAATATTCATGAGCTCGTCTGTGATGAAAGTGGTCACTGAATTACTACGTTTCCAATAACATGTTGTGATGTAGTTCGTGCCATCTTCTTGCTGAGAAACAGCGCCTACCTTCATAGTCAGCAGCCCTCCCTACAAGAAGGTCGAATGCACATGCCTCACTTCGATTTTCAGTTTGGTGAGAAACCGGTTTTGTACTTCCAGCACTTTGTACTGCCGCTCGTCGTATAGCTCAAACACTCTCTGTCCATCTATGGGCTAGTTCGAAAGGCGCTTCTGTGGATACGCTGTATCGCCGAGCGTACAGGTGAATATCCTTGGATTTTCGAAAGCTCAGCTTGTTGCTCCATTGAAGGACGAGACTACCTGCCCGCTTGGCTTGAAATAGGAAACAATAGCGAGACACACGGACGAGGAGTGGAATTCTGCTTCTTACTCGAAAGTTTTGTCCTACACATTGGAATACGAGCTCGATCCATCTGGATAGAAAATGCAGTCGAACAGTAAGCGACTGTTATACCCTTCCTTCCAGAAACACATGACATGATCGTTTTCTCTGCAGTAGATCCCAATGGATCGCTGGGAACGAGGATAGAGCGTGAAGTGTTTTCGTTTCATGTCACCGAATTTGTCATGCTTGATGTGATGAACCACCCAGTCGTGGTTGGATTGCTTCATTTCATTGAGAACGTCGTCGTCTAGGAGAGGTTCGTAATTGTCTGGCAGCTAGAATGAGTCATCATGAGACAATGAAAACAGAGTTCGCTTCTTCGATCGCTGTGCTGAGCTCCGTAGTCAACATCTCAATCATGGATTTGAATCTGTTGATGACGTGGTGACTTGGAACTACTCGCTTTCTCTGTTGACCGTGTAGCCACACTCTTCGTCATTCATCACCTGCTTGATTTCTCTCCCTACTTTCCGTGCTCTCCGTCGGAGCTTGAAGAGTTTGCGATAGAGAATATGGTCTGATTTGATCATTGATGAGGAATCATTACCGTTGGGCAATCCAACTTGGTTTTCTTCACATTGCGAACAAATTGTTTTGATTTGTGACAGCAAAGCGTTGTACCGCTGTTTCATGTCCTATGTGTTATATTATCCAATTCTATCCAATTCTGTACCACTTCATACTGTTCATAAACCTCAATATCCTGATGTCTCCTAGAACAATTATACTAATCATAGCGCCACCACATACATCCTGGAAAGAAAATGCTCCACATCAGGATAGATTTCCAGAGGACAATTCAGACGAACGACTTTCATAATCTGCAGAGCGCTGCAAGTGGTGCACAGGAATTCCAGATTGTGATAGAAGCCGTCTGCATCGATCTTTTGCTGTCTACATGACAGTCGAATCGTTCAACCACTTGAGATCTTCGTAGAGAGAACAAAAGACACTGAAGGTTTCCTCGTTATGCCCTAATAACTGGAGAATCTCTTCCTCGAATTCTGATTCATCCACTGTTATCGAGGTTGAGTCGCTTCTCGTTCTTGCTACCTCCGGTGAATTCTCTTGTTTCTACAAACACCACACGAATACCATTTTTACGCTCACTTCTGATGATTCTTGCATTAGAAAAATGAAAGGAGCACGTTCATATCCATTTCCTTCACAAAACTTTGTGATATTGTTGTTTCTAATGGTTTTAAACGCTATCTATTGCTGTCCAACTAATATTAGAATTCGATGAGTCAAACTGGAAAGATTGTTTGCAGACTCTATCGGGACATTCTAAGGGTATTTCTATAGCAACAGGGTGAGAGATAGGGAATGAAGTCATATCCATCGATAAAGAGGGATAAACTAATTGTTGCGATCAAGGAGGGTAATAGCTTAATGAAAGAATCACTCCACTAGAATTTCGTGATCATGCCAAAGAAACGGATCCCAAAAAGATAGAAGCATATATCAAAGACGCCGAAGCAGGCCTAAAGCAAATCCATCAGTTCCAAAATAGAAATCATCGAGGTTCGTTTACATACACGTTAGGGGAATGAGAATAGATTGTATCATGATTTTATGCAAGATGCTATGTGTTTGTTAAAGAAAAATTCTTTGTCAAAATTGTCATTGCTATTCCATGCTTTTCGGAGATAATAGGAAGTATTGGTAATTTCTAATTCAGTAATATAGATTCTGCTTCTCAAAAGGTCAGTTTTTTGTTATTGCCGATACTTTATCAAAGGGCCGTTCTTGGATTGCTTTGGGACCAGATAGGTATAATTTACTGAAGAATGTCTGAAATAGGAAAATTTCCGTTCCCTTTTCTATTGTCCTGATATTATGCGTCATTCCAACAATTTATCTGTTTCGATATACTGAGTCAACCGGAATGGCGATATTCATAATGCTTACCTACATAATTTGTACAACGAGCTATTTCTATACTTCCCTTTTGGATCCCGGAATTATTCGCAGAGAAGAGGATAATTCCTTAGAGAACAAGCCGACCTTGGAGCCGCTTGGTTATACTTTCTGTACGATATGTGGCCTTTACCGCCCTCCCCATAGCTACCACTGCTCATTTTGTAATGTGTGTTATCTAGAGTAGGTATTTCAACTCGTTGCTGAATCGTAGACACGACCATCACTGCACCTTTATGGGGTATCCTGCTATGCATCTTACGTAACAAATAGACAATGTGTAGCGAAAAACAACAAAGTTTCTTTTTACATTTTTCTTGCTTCCTTACTGATTTACCTAATTTTATCAGAGGTGTGTGCCATGAGCATGCTTTCAATACGACATTCGGCTTCGGCACGAAATTTCTCGATTCTTGTAGCCTTTATGCGAAATATGTTTAAGAACTCTCGCCATCTGCGAAACTGAACGAAAAGTCGTTTTTGAGATGTTTTTGATTGTTTTATGTATTTGTTTGTTACTTCAGAAATTTTTGGTGCGTCCAATCAGATACGCGCTTTACTTTTAGGATGAAAGGCGAGCAGTTTAACAAAACTTTTCTATAAAGAGAAGGGAATTAAAACGACAATGCAAATTTTCGTCAAGACTCTTACTGGTAAGGCTGCGTCGTGGGTTTTTGTAATTTGCAGGAAAGACTATTACTCTCGACGTCGAGTCCTCCGATACGATCGAGAACGTGAAGGCTAAGATTCAGGACAAGGAGGGAATTCCCCCAGATCAGCAGCGTCTGATTTTCGCTGGAAAGCAGCTTGAGGATGGCCGCACCCTCTCTGACTACAACATTCAGAAGGAGTCGACCCTGCACTTGGTGCTCCGTCTGCGTGGAGGTGGTAAGGTGCACGGTTCTCTGACTCGTGCCGGAAAGGTGAAGAACCAGACTCCCAAGGTCGACAAGCAGGAGAAGGCGAAGTCCCACGTGGGTCGCGCTAAGGTGGGGGAATGGAGGTCGATGTGAGTGGTAGAAGCGAGAGCAGTACAACCGCAGATATGTAAACGTTGTGTTGGCTCCTGGCGCGAAGAGAGTGGGTCCCAACAACTTTGCTGCCCGTCAGGCTCGTGCCGAGGCTGCTGCCAAGAGAGAATAAGATGTGTTACTATTGAGTGCTTGCTGAGGTGTTTGTTTCAAAATGAAAAGGGTGTGTTCGTTATTCTTCGTCGATTCTTCGAAAGACAAACTTTATTATGAGTATTGTGGAAAAGTTGTACGCGCACATTCTGCTTACCTATATAGACTCCTTGTTGCCGTGATTGCCTATTTTAACGAATCAACTAATGAGGTTGACCGTTTTGCTGATAGAATTGTATCTTTGAATGTACTCATCTTTTGTTGACTACTAGTGTAGAAATTGGTCGAAGATTACAACGACCAAATCACTCTTCTTCCTAAGTGTAGCGAATCCATTTCTGTGCTCATGGAAGATGGTACTGTGTGATACTCGAGTACATTCTGTATAGTATATCCTGCCGGAGCGAACCCTGAGTATGAATCACAATATGATAGCGCATCTGTGTGTCTGAATGAGTCTCGTCACAAGTTCAACGAGTTGTCGCAATTCATTCAGGCCTTGGCTTCCGAGTTGGGCGTGGAAGCCTCCGAACCGTCGGACCTTCCCGATATTCTCTCAATCCCCTCCCTGAACATCGAGATCGACATCCGCAACGTCGACGAGCTCCCCTTGCTCCGCGAGGAGAATCGCATGAAGTTCCTCACCTCTCTCCGCAACGTCTATCGCCGTTCGCCGAGTGTTTCCAGCATCCACACAGACCCCTCCCACATCCACATGCATTTGAAAGAAGGCAACGACCTGGACGTCTCCTTCTCTCTCAACGACGAGTCCGCTCATTCCATCCAGTCCGCCACGCTCGATCCCTCCTATCCATGCTTCCAGAAGGCGATCGAATATGCCATTTCTCGCAATGACGTGGCGCTGCTCGTGTATCAAGCGATCTCGGGTCTGTATGCGAGCCAACGTCTTCACGCCGAGATAGAAAGTCTGCAGGAGAAGGCGATCGTGACGAGCGAGGACGATCAGACTATGGAGATTGTCTTCCCAGAGGAAGTTGAAGTGACGTGCTTGATTCCGGCGCTGTATCCGAATGTAGAGATGGAGAAGGGCGTTGAGAGTAGACGTTTGGGCTGATCGAAGTGAAGAAAATTGAAGGAGCGAAGCGCGAAGTCGTGGAGAAGGCGTTGAAGGGGAGGGCGTTTGGAAATCTGAGCGAATTCGTGCAGTTTGTGGAGGAGACGCTGCGTTCGTAGTAGTGAGTTTTGGAAACAGAGGAGAGAAAATCCCACATTTGTTTAAAAACATCCTTCGGAGTCACATTCATTAGAACTTCCATCTGGAGATCGCTGGACCATTTCATCACAAGGCGGTTTGCGCAGTAATCCTGGAACTCCTGAGACATCCCAAACCGAAGAAAACACTCTACTAACCCTTCAAAAGTATTGAAATTCCGAAGAGCGTCGGCCTGTGGAGAGCTGAGCGAATTGAGGTATGCAATATCACGCTCGAATCGCTCCTTGTGGAGAACTCTGGAATCTTTCTCAAAGTAAAGCTCTTCGAAAGGGCTTAGATCCAGACATTCCATTGTGTCAATTTTCAACTGCACCTTAACTTTTAAGTAGTCTTCCAACATCTGCGAAATACGCTTCTCATCCCCTTCTCGATAGTTCTTGCGAAGAACCATTATTCCATCAAAATTCAGAATGGCATGCTCTGCCAAGTGCGGAAATGAGGAGCAAATCATAGATAAGATCATACACTCAAAGTCTTGGACCAACCAACTCTCAAAAACGCCCTCGTGTTTATACCGATTTGTCTGTTTAATAGATTCAACATAATCTGGATAGCATAGCTTTAACTGCTTGATGATGTTATTCATCTCAATCCGTAAACCATGCAAAAAACCAATTTCCTCCTTCTCAATATTATACTTTTCTCTCCAATTTCGATAGGTCGACATATTCATGCAACTAATATACGCAACTTTTGCAACTTCCCGAGTGATATTATACTCTTTCATAGTCGATTCGATAACATTATCCCGGTTATTATGGTATTGAGACAGGTACTTGCATTGAATACCATTCTTGGCACACAATGCCATCAAAATCGTGGAATGGGAACTACTAATATCTAGATACACATAACAATCCCCCAATAAAGCACCACGGAGGATAGAAGGTAAACACCCACAGCTGATGTCATTTACTGGATACACCCTCCCAATCGTCCTTCCGTCAACCTTTGGAGCATTACTGCGCTTCGAGTAGTGAATAGGGACAATAAGGTTTTCTCCGTGAAGATAACCATTTCGATAGAATGTCTGTAGAATTCTCATTAATTTGTAATAACTGGTGGACCATGGAGCAACTGCACCATTGTACATGAACGGATTCAATGATAACAATAGTATCAACTGCCTTAGCCTTCTATAAGGAATAACTTCATAAAAGGTTTTTTCCGTTAGGTCAACCAAATCCATTTCTATAAAGAATGAAAAAGCATGAATAACAAGACTTGAAAAATCAAACAAACCATGTGGACACTGTTGTTGTTACATCATTTCACAATCCAAATGTATAGAAATGACTCGGCCTATCCCCATTGATGCTTCTTTCATCAAACAAACAAATAGTACTATAAACAACAATTCTTTTGTTATTCGGTATAAAAGCAAGAGTACAATAATAATATATAAATATAAATATATTACATATTACAAATAGAGAGAGGGGAGGGAAATGTTAAACTTCTTTTCTTCAGCTGTAAGGCTGTCCTCAGAATAATCCGGTAATGTACTGTTTGAACTCAATGAGATGTTCTCTTCATTTCGGATCTGAAGAGTCTCATCATCATTCTCAAAGTCCAAATCAATATCCGTTTGGTAGTCTTCCCACATATATTCAACCACGATAAGTTCAGTGCTCGATTTGCAGAATTCAGCAACAGTTTGCTTCTCACAGCTGTGAGAGTAAACAAAAGCAAGGTCTGCAGGTGACCGCAGGCAAAGTTCATGGGAACTCTCTGCTAGCCGCTTCCATTTCTTTAAGAGGTGATTGAAAACCGATGTCATCAGCCGACCCTCTCCTGCTACTAACTATTTATCACCCTTTCAGCCCATATTTACTTCAAATACAGCTTTGTATCCATTTTCAGACATATACTCTTGGGTTTTGTAGTCATATGGACGAAATTGCAGCACTTTCTTTATTTGTTTCTTCTGTATATACATGCCGTTATATGAAAAAGAGTCTGGAATCGAAGAGTCATGATGGTTCGTTGCATTTATTCTTTTGGAAGACGCCAAGACAGAAAATGAAGGTTCCGTTCTCTTATGATTTGCCTAAAGAAAAGCGAGTAACAAATATGCAATACCTTTTCCATTACGAACGAATGAATTGGATTTAGTAAAAACGGCGACGAAAACGAATCATTCGTAAAAAAACAATCACTCCATAACGGATCCGCTGTAGAAACACCTTGGGAGAATAACGATGGATCATCAAAAGAAAAAAGAGGGTTAGAATCATATTCCATCATTTTCTGATAACTGTCCGAATAATCCATTCCCAACTATTAATTAAAATTAATATTGAAAAGATTGTAGTTGTTGCCGCCCAATTTGCCTCCAATTTTGATTAAACAAACAGATACACCAAGTATCAGGCTTTTCACTAAGCGTAATATTCAATATGCGGTTCACACAGATTCTACGTTCTCGGGGTCTGGAAAATTTTACAGGATGTAAATGAGGACAAACCTCACGATCTGGCATTTTTCCATGATTACAATCCTTTATGACGTTTGGTGTCAAGCAGTTCATGATAAATGGAACTGCATTTTCCAAAAACACATAATGTTTATACATCACGGATTCCAATTCCAAAAAGGTAGTGAGATTGGATTTTGGAAAATAGAAAAAGTCACCCCATCCACGTCGGAGTTTTGAGGAATTAAAATTGCAAAGATTGTGTAGAGTAGGATTTGATTCTATTTCTGTCACAGCATCCAAAAATGCCCTCGAAAATAAAACCTTATTTCTATTGTGTATGTTATTCCACATCCATTTCTCTTCTATAAACCAAGTATTACTCCTTTCACTCATAGCTTTGTTGTGATCTTCTTTACCCAATAAAGTCGGTTGTAAACAACTATCATCATTTGCTTCGAAGTATCCAGCATATGTATAACCAGCTTCAGGTGGAAACAAATCAATTGCTACTCTCATTGAATGATATGCATAATAGCCTCTCTCGGGGAGTTCATTCGTAAAGACTTTGTTCTCTGTATCCAAAGTTGGTCCGATTAACAACAAATCAAAATCATATGGATATTTATCAGCAAATAATCTATAAATTCCTTGTCTTATAAACGCAGCATACGTGTAATTCCTAAAATGGAAGTTGATTACAAATAGATAGATTTCTCGGGTTTTATAATCACGCATATCTGCATGACTTACACGTTTGTGATTACGAAATCTAGTAAGAAACGAATCCGAAGTTAAATTCCTTGGCGGAATAGTTGGTAACTTTTGAGGAATTTTCACTTCAAAATTATTATCAGGATTAATTGATCGAGATAATTTTGTGGTTGGAGTCACGATCGATGTACTAGGTATTGAAGTATTTGTCAAGCTTTCATTTGACATTTCTATAGTGTTAGAATAACTCTTGTTAGAATCATTATCACTTAAATTGTTCATTTCTTTACGAGTTTTGACTCGTGTTGTAATTCTTGATGATTCTTTTATAATTAGGTTCTTTGGACATTCTTTACCATAGCACAATACAGTAAATGACGAAATATTCCTATTATTAACAACATTATAGTTTCTTACTTCCCATATCCTTGATGTTTTGAGTATATTATATCCAATACATAGATAGCTATTATAATCACATTAATGAGTGCAATCATGACATATAATCGTTTTTGAAAAGTATTGGTTATGATAGAAAACAATACAATATTTTCCACCTTTTGCTATAAATACAATGGGCTGTTTCTGTAACCAAAAATGATCACGCTTCGGCTCCTAACTCAGTAATAGACGAAGAGAACTATAATACAAGCATTACACGAAAACCGCGGGAATCACTCTATGGATAGCCACTGTGATAATCGAAATAATAATACGTAATACTGTTATTGTTTCCGAAAGCTTGCAAAATTGTGGCATGTTAGACATTTGAGAGAATTGTAACAACAAATAACTCTTATATTGCAGTTACCGGCTATTTTTTTATTTTCCTTGAAAAAAGGAATTATTGTTGTGATACTTTGAAAGCAGAATAATTGAGACAATGAAATGAGTCTTCCCTACTTATGTTCTACTTTTTCTAGATTACCTTCCTGAAGGGAATTTATCGAGCTGTTGAGGGAAAACAATCCATAAAGAGTGTAGAGAAGAGCAATTTTCGACATCTGGTTTCCTGGAGTACCAATGGATATTGGATGCCAAGAAAACAAAAAAATAGTTTTAACTACTTTGTCTACACATCACTTAATGCAAGTGATGCTGAATGGAGAGAATAGTTTATGATAGATACATTTATGGTATTTTAGTCATTTGCAATACGTACTGTTGCGAATGCTTCTGAATAAATGGATGCGAATATTCTCAATCATTTTATGTTGTGAATGATTTGTATTATCGTGATTGAGGTATTTCCTCTTAGTAAAGTACCATTATTTTATTATCATTATACACATATTTTCCCAAGCGAAATGGAATCTGGACCTCTAATTAAATCACTAAAAGTAAGCAAAAAGGATTGTTGCTCGATCCTCGCAGTACATATTTTTCATTTAACAATTTTGTTTGTAAAATCAATTGTTATTTCTGTGTGTGAATAAACAGGATACACTTTCTCTAAACATAAATACTGCTTTTTGATCTATGATATTACGATTTTCTATTGGAAGCCGTGAAATAAAGTATATCATTCAACCGGCAACTACCATAGAAAGTATAAAGCAGGAACTATATGTAATCAAAATGTAGTTGGTTAATACTTGTAGAAGGACTTGAGCTTGGATACCCGTGACCTATACTTAATAAAAGACAGCGTCATATTAGTTGATACTAGTACATTAGAATCTCAATGTAAAAATGGGGATTTCATATCTGTATGCAAAGTATTTTCATATAGAATAAAATGGGAAAACATTCAAAGGGAATTGTACTATTACACAAATCTCTCCTATAACAAACTCATTTGCTTTATTTTAACAGAATACTCAGTTCCTATAAGCGATTGGGGGAAATATCGATTGAAAAGACAAGGTCAGTATATTTCTCTGGAAGCCTTCGTCCCTTTTGAAGGTATTTCAGATGAGATTGAAGTAGTAAATATATATCGTAGGTGGTTTGGTTGTACGCAGTCAAGATATAGAGAATACGTATCCTTCAAATACAAAAGGCGATCCTATCGGTACTGAAATATGATATGGATTGAGAAATATAGACAGTGAGTGTGAAAACGGAGAAGAGAATGCAGAATCAGATCAATATGAAGAAAATGCAAATGGATCGTAAAACATGAATGGTTCAATATTAACCAGTAGTGGAAATGTAGGTAGGAATCAATATATTAGAGTTTTCAATGGAAATAATGAGGAATATGTACAAACAGTACCCTTTACACAATCAGTTACAGTGAATCAACTTGTAAAGAATGTGATAGGATGTGAAGATAAAAATGTATTCGTGACAAAGAAAGGAAGCTCTGTAGTCTTTGATGGTGAGATCACGACGTCTACAGATGTGATAAGTATGTCTAAATGATATTTATCCAGTAAATAGTGTACATGCACGCAGATGACCCAACAATCTGCTTGCAAATTTATGACAAGTCTAACACTGTTTCCTCCAGCTCCCCTATCTCTCTAGAGTTCCTTGATAACGTGACTGGAATAGAAATACTCGGTCTGTTTGGATATAGCAGAGAGGGTTCGCAACTTTGTGTAGAAAACGGAAAAGCACTGAGTTTAGATGATTCTCTGAAGTTTCAGGGTGTCAAGGATAAAGACATACTTACAAGTATTACATTGATTGAGCGTAACACGGTAGTTAAAAGAATTCCTAAAATATCGCAGAAATGGGTCATTCTGAATGATATGGATCGGAAAAGCAAAGTGAGGTATGAATTCGATAAATCAAAAATGGTCAGGGATTATCTATCTGATTACTGGATTGTAGTAGTTATGCTGACTTTATACTGAGTAGAACAATTATAGTGTCAAGTTGAGCAGAGAAACTGAGAATACTATAATAATAATTAATACACAAGACATGACGCCAGTCACCATGGATACAACGATGTCGTCGCTATCTTCCATCGATACCATTGAGCTAGAGAGTATGAATGAATAGCATATATGAAAAATAGTAAAGAAGAAAAGTACGGATAGTACTCAAAATACGTCATCTATATCATCTGATACACATAACACTGTTAAAATTCCAACATCATGTGATGGATAGGACATCCAGTGTTTAAGTCATACGGAGAACATTGAGCAGAAAGACACTACTCCTTTTATTGATCAAATGGAAAACAATACAGTATCTACAGTACTCGATAATTCGTTAATTGCTTTAGATGATATAGAAACTGAAAAGGAATCAAAGGAGTATGAGCATGATGGAGTCATTATTTCTATTATGGGTGAAAATAGTTCATTTCATGTAGAAATCGAACCTAGTTGTTTTGAAAAGCATGATTTTGAATTAATGGAACATAGAGGCCAAAGAAGTTATGAAAATGACGAATCGATTTTGGTTTACGAAGTTAATACACATAGATATGTTTCTGAGATTTTCGATTCCTTAAAAGTGAATTATGACCAACCTATTGCCAAGAGTTTTTACTCCCTTCAATCTGCTTTGACTGATGGATGTGATTATGCTCATATGGGAGATATGATTAGTTTCAGTGGATTGCCTCACTTGCAGAAAGAAGAAACAACATTCATTCTTCCACTAATCAATCATGATGAAGCTCTAACTCATAATATCATTCCTGAAGCAATCTATTTCCACTGCATTTCTGGAGTGAAGAATGCTACGATTGGCATTTTGTCTCCTCTTGATAAGAATAAGGTTATCACTGTATTATGCAGATCCAATGTGCTCATTTTCCATTCCACAGAGGAATATGTTCGACTGATAAAGGCAATACGTTCTGATAGTGAGGATTGGGAGTATATCGAATCGAAAGCCTATCGATATGTGGAAACAATGAAAGAAGATCCTCCGTTTATCAGAGAAACAAATCAAACCCAAATTCGAAATCAAATCGTGGAGGATGTGATTCAATACAACATTCCAGTGGTAATTGAGGGAGTGACTTCGTCAGGCAAAACATTCACAGTGGAGCAATACTGTCGACGTTCTCTCGTTCCCTTTGTGAGATACAACTTCAGTCCTTCGTCCACAACTGAGGAATTGCTTGGAGATATGGTGATTACGAACGATGATACAGAAAAGATCAAATTCCAGGACGGAGCTTTCACGGATGCATTCATTCATGGCAAACTGCTATTGATGGATGAAATGTCTCTGGCTCCTCCTTCTGTGGTTCAGAGTGTGTTATCGTATTTGTTTGGCAAGAAGATTCTTCATGAAGGCAAGGATGGAAGTGAAGAGCGCGTAATGCATCGAGATTTCCGCATTATTGCCACTCAGAATCCTGCCGGAAGTTCTTACAAACGAAGCAATCTGTCTTCTGCAATTCGCGATTGTTTCCGATTTATCACTCACGATTCAACGAAACAGAAATACTTCCCAATGATTGACAGAGAGGAAAGATTGGACATCATAACGGCAATATTTGGAGGAAATGTAGAAATTGGAAGAAGAGTGTGTGAGATTCATGATCGAGCTGATAATCGAAAGAATGTGTCTGGAAGAGAGATTGATAAAGGAAAGGATTACACACTTCGAGATTGTAGTCGTACAAAATGGATGATGGAAGCACTGATGGATAGCAAGATAAATGAAAGCAAAGCATTGGATCGAGCTTTACAAATCGCGTATAATGAAGATTTGAGAACTACTCCAGTATTCAAAGCGGATATTACTTTCAGCAAAGCTGCATTAGACAAGGAATGTTGGAAGGATGTGTATGATCGAGTTCGACTAGGATTGGAATCTGGATGTCATGTTCTATTGATTGGAGAATCGGAATATGTATCTCGAAAGTATTGTCGAGCAATAATGGAAATAATGCAGAATGAAGGAACATCCTGTGAAGTAATTCATTGCAGTTCGACTTCTTCAACAGAAAGTGTGATTGGAAGCTATTCGCTCGAGAAAGATGATGATGAAGGCAAACCAGTTCCTCGTTTCTGTCCTTCTCCATTGCTTACAGCGATTGAAATTGGATGTATTTGTGTTCTTCAATCGTTGCATTTGATGAAATCGAATGTGATCGAGCGATTGAATTCTGTGTTGGAATTATCACCTGCAGATGGCCATCATCATGTAGTTCGATTTGATGAATGTCGAGAAAGACCGGAATTCGAAATGAGTCCCGAATTCCGTGTAATCGCAACAACGTCTGAGAAAGGATTGCTGGCATTTTCTCCTGCCTTGAGAAACCGATTTTTGGAAGTATTTGTGAGTCATGAAGATGCAAAGCGATTTGAAAACTCTCCCAAACTGGGCAAAATAACAAGAGATGAAATTGATTTCACGATTCATGATTATTCTCAAACAATCGACTGGTTTCAGCAGAAAGAACTCCATCGAATGGCCTGTTTTGCAAGAGAAGTGTGTGGATACGAATTGGATGAATCTCTGATTGAAATGCTCGCTAGACAACAACCTTTTTTTGAACTGCAATCCCTTCGAAGCCATCGGACTGAAGCTTCAAGATTGTTCTATTGTATTTGCAAAAACAAGGCTGTGACATTGTGTGGACCTAGAGGCAGTGGAAAGTCCTATGCAGTTCGCGAAATCATCAATAAGCTCTATATCAGAAGCTATCAAGTGTTCAGTGTATCTGGAGAAACCGAGTTTTCCACTCTGATGGGAAGTATGGATATGAATGGCGATTTCCGAGCTGGAAGATTGCTCCAAGCTGTAGAAAGTGGAGGATTGGTGATATTCGAAAATGCTGAAAACATGTCAGCAGAATTACTGGAAATACTTGATACTGTTTGTGATCCTTTCACTGATGAGCTCACTTATCCAGCCTCTATCAATCATTCAATTCATCCTTCATTCCGAGCTTTGTTCGTATTCACAACACGTCGAGTGAATTCGTTGCCTTCTCTTCCTGCTTATTTCGATATTTGTGAAATGAGTCCAATCCAGAGTGCTGAAGCGAAAGAGTTGATGAATAGTGAAATCTGCAAACGATTATGTGATCATATTGATAGTGGCGAGATTCCATTGAATGAAGTATTCACTCTGGATAAGATTTGTTTCAATACTTCTCATCCAATTTGGATTGTTGCAGCATTGTTTGCAGATCGAATGGATCGCAAAGAATTACTTCACAGGATAATAGAAAAATGGAAAAAGACAGCTGACACTGAAGTGAAAGAAGAATTGGAAATGGCAAGTGTGGTTTTGTCAACTCCAACAGTAACAGCCATAAAATCCCCAACGAATGAATCTAGTTCATTGCTTCAACGCGGACCTCTTCAAACAACAGTTCCAATTGAATACTCATTATTGAAAGGTGTTGATATGGCTGTGTGGGCAGCATTATTTACTCTTTCTATTTCCAATTTCAAGCAAACTCATCTTCCTGTGTTATTGGTTGGTGATTCAGATATTACTTTTGAAGTCACTCATTTGCTGTTTCCCAATGCTGCTCATATGGAAATGTCTCGTTCAATGGAAATGTCTCACACATTTGGTGAGATTTCTGTTTGTCGTAAAGAAGACATTCAATACATTCTGAGACAAACATCGATCCAAAATGTTGATGGAACTCCAATGGAAACATATCGAGAGTATCTGAAGAGGTTATTGTATGGCATGGTAGATAATGAATCATTGCTCATGATGCGTCCTGGTCCGATTCTCCGTTCGATAATGAGTAACAATTCAATCGTATTGAACAATATCAATCTGTTAAATGATCGATTGCTTCCTCGATTATATTCATTGTTGTTTAGTTTGGATTCGCAAGAGTTTAGTCTATTTGAGGATTATTCCCAAATTCAACCAGAGATTCTTGGTGAATCTGTGAATGCGATTGTAACATGCGAAGATCCAGATTATGGAAGAGTTGCAAAGAAAGACCAATTCATTCAAGTGTTTTGTCAACCCTATTCTGAATTAGAAAGGGCGAAATATGAGTTTGAAAGTCGAGATGACTATCCTTTGCACATTCTACGAAAGTCAGATATGCTGAGAAATGAATTTGTGAATGCTGAGAAAGTGATTCCATTCTATCTTCGATTCCTTCTATCTGATTTGGCATCTCGAGAAAATCTGATTCAAATGGGACTGATGAATAAGGATTTGAAGGAAGTGAGTGAATTCCTTCAATCAAGCAATGAAGATGATGCAATGATAGAGAATTTGAAGCAAACTCTATCATTCCTATTTTCAAATGATGTTATTGGTGATATAGAATCCAGCCTTCAATCCAAGCATCCATTACTTTCTACAAAGACCACAATTCAGTTATTGGCATCCATCGTATTGGCAGATCGAAGTCATCTTCCTCTGATTCTAGAAGGAGATCCTGGAGTAGGCAAAACTGTTTCTGCTGAGAATTATTTCGTAAAGGAGGATCTTGTGTATAAGCGAATCAATTTTTCGAATACCATAACGATTGATAGTTTGTTTGGATGTTATACGATTGTGAATGGAGCATTACAATTCAGAGATGGAAGTATTACAGAACTATTGAAAAGAGGAGATCATTCAGATCAACGAATCGCATTGCTATTAGATGAAGTGAATTTGGCTCCATCAGATGTGCTTGAAGTATTACTCACTCTGATTCGTTGTTATGTGAATCACGATCCATTTCAAGTTCCAGGAGGCGATTTGATCGATATTCCATCGGATATGCTGATCATTTGCTGTATGAATCCAGCATCCATGTCAGCAAATCGCAGCACATTGCCTCGTCAATTCTACAAGTATTGTATTTATCATCGTGATTTGAAATTCACACTGAATGAATTGTTCCTCACAGCATTAAATATCTTAAAAAATGTGTTAAAAATCGAAAATCAATCAAAAAGAAGCCAGATTCTTGAGTTATTTGAACACTCTTACAACTCCTATCAAAAGACATCGATTCCATTCTCACTTCGAGATGTATTGAAAGTGGATCAGATTGTGAATAATGGAAATAACCTATCATTGGAAACTGCTTTATGGTTGGTGTTTGCTTGCCGTTATGAAGAATCGGAGAGAAAAGAAACCGAGAAGTTATTGAAGCTGGAAGATACATTGAAAGTTGATATTATCAAACAAGACGACCAATGTGTTGTTCGTGGTTATTGGGACATTGAAACACAACAAATGTATTCGGGATCTTTCAAAGAGTATTGTTTTACTTCAACAGAGAAAGTGACGATATTCAAGTTGAGTCTTGCTTTACAATCCAAACGAGCTATTTTGGTTTATGGTTCTTCTCCCTCTGGCAAATCGTATTGTATTTCGAATCTGGCATTGATGTGGGATAAACAATGCACTTCGGTGTTTTTGAATCACGAAAGCTCTCCAGATGTGTTCATCGGTCGAAGTACTCTTGGAATTGATGAAAATGGGAATGAATGTATCAAATTCCGAGAAGGTCCGCTGTTGAAAGCAATGGAGAGTGGAAATTGGATTGTAATCGAAGATATTCATTTGGCAAACAATGATGTGATGGAATCGCTGAATTCTCTGTGTGAAGAAAACCCAACACTGAAGGTATTAGCAGGAAATGAAGAAATAACGTATTCAATGCGACCGAAAAAGGGAGAGAGAAGGATTCACGAAGCATTCCGAATCTTCTTTACAATATCGGACAATACATTGAAGCACTTTACTGGACCATTCTTGAGTCGTTGTGTGATCGTGTATTGTGATCCAATATCGACTCAAGCAAATGTTCAAGAAATCTGTCAAATCAATGGATCAATACACGATCCTTGTAATTTTGGAATTAAAGAATCGAAAACATTCCGACGATGTATTCGAGTGATAAACAGTAAAGAAAAAGATGTATTCTTGTATGAATTTGGATATACACCAAAGAAGTATGCTCTTGTATCAGAAATTAAAGTTCCCCATTCGATAGATTATGAACTATCAGAATTCTTGGATAGTGTTATCAATGTGTCAGAAAATGGAAAAATGACTCGAATGATTGCCATAATGGAGAAGATTTGTTCCAGTACAAAGAGTGGATTCGTAATAGCAGATACGATAGATTTACTGAGAAGCTGCTTGAAGTATTTCGAGAATCATTTTATCTATTATGTAATGGATTGTGCAATCAAAGTACTCGAAATGGAAAACCTTCAGAATTGTATGATGAAAAGGCAAGAAGGCGAGAATGCAGGTGTCCTTCGTCGTTGGTATTTGATACCAAATATTGATCCAATAAAGGATGCACATTTTTTGACTCAACCATGTAACAAAAACAATTTCATGTATATTTTTACAATCCCTTCAACAAATTCATATATTACTTTAGAATTGATATTTATTTGTGATGTAAAACAGAAACTTAAGGAATTCATGAAGGAAACTGAACTCTATGAATTTGCAGTTGAGGTATTTGCAATGTTGGATACAAGTGATCGAAGTTATTTGATAGATAGAGTTATGAAGAATATGATTGAAATCAAGAAGAAATTCATCTTTATTATTGAATGCAAGAAAAGCGTATTAAATAAGGCGAGATTTGGTAAATGGAAGACTTTTAAGCAAACTGTAACAAAAATACAAAACCTAATAGAAACCTTCCCAACTCAAATAAGGAATTCAGCAGCAGCTAACTCTATACTTAATATAGTTAACAATACAAATGCGGATATTATTAAGCGCGTTATGGCTGAAACCAATATTGAAACTAATGATGATGAGGAAAGTATGCAAAATAGATATGCCATTGCAGAGTGTTGCTGTGGAACTTTGAAGAAATTTAAGAAACAAATAAAAGAAGCATTTAGAGATGGGATGATCGATTATGAGACATTCAGATCAATGAATTTTACTGATGATGTACAATATGAATTAACGAGTTATAAGTCCTTGGTAAACTGTTACATTATGAAGGCTTCTCATTTTATTTATAAATTGAAATCATTCAGAAACTATCCATTCATTTTGAGCGAATATTCTGACGAATTATTAAAAGTAAAATTGAAAGTATCCGATATTTACAGGAATTTTTCACATTGGAACGTTCTTTTTGATTACCTATTGACTATGCTAAATGTGTTGTTGAAAAAAGAAATGGAACGATTACAATGGGATCGTCTTCTTATAGATTATAGCGATTATCCTTTTGTGACTCCAACGAATGTTACTCAAGAAGAATTTGAAACAGCTATTGAAATGCTGTTCGACAAGGATTGGTATGAGTCCTATTGGAATGAGGTGAAAAATAAAGTAGCAAATCGGTCGGAGGCACTCGATCAATTGAAAAATCATTTGATTGATAAATTGTTTACGTCTACAGAAATTCAAGATATTGAATTAATATCTCCAAGAATAATATATGCAATAGATAATGCCAAGGAAGTTGATCGCTTTACATATAGACAAATATCTCAAGTTGATGTTTGGTGGAAATGCGATCTTCCTCCTGTTGTGCTGCCAGGAACGATTATTCCTAGTGATATCTTGCAAATGGAGCGATCACTTCGCTATTCAGAGAATTCTGCTAATTCTATTTTGGAATTGGTGTGGGCTGCTGATTGCCCAATGAGTTTGGAGGAAAAACTGGAAATACTCTGTCCTCGCAAGCGAACTCTTCAAGGAAATGTAGTATTTGATATGATAAAGGTACCAAGTCTAAGCGGAGTGATGCGGCAAGTAATACAAAATGTGAAGAATATTGATGATCTTGTATCACAAGTGATAATGAGAGCTCAAGCAAATTGCGAAGCAGAGAAAAATACTATGCAAATAGAATGTCGAGATATAGAAAGAAAATTGGAGGAGAAAGAGAAGCAATTCTATTCATATAGCAGTAAGTTGGAAAAAGAAAAAAGACGGTTGATTGCGAAGTATGTAATTATAGCAAAAAAGAGAACTGAGCAAAAGGGATATACTGAAGATTTTCAAAAGCGCAACGAGAATACCATAAGAATGTTTAGCTTTATGCATGCTGTGAATAATCTTAGTTCTAATGAAATAAGGAATTGTTTAAATAACGAGCCTTCGCAACAGCATAGTATAAAAAACCCAACTAGCAAGAAGTATAACCCATTTGACTTCCAAATGGTTTTCATTCCACTGAATCACATATTAGTAAAATACCGTGTTGTTGCTACTATTTCATTATTTGCTCCAAAAGGATTACAGAGTTACTTGAAGTCTGATACATTTCAATTGAGCGGTGATACTTTAAGGCAATATTGTGTGTCAGTTAGTGATGGCTATTTACTGGTACTACCATTAGCACCATTCAAATGGACTGTGAAGATTCGAATAAATACAAAGAATACTGCGAATACTGGTGGTCTTTCTCTTGTGTACTGTGCAAAAAAAGTCAATCAACTTAAGGAGTATATCGGAACTAAGAAATCTCTTTTGGGAAAAAATCAATACGTATATGACTGGGATATGTATTTTGTTCTGAACTGCTTACAAGTTATGATTCGTTTGATTAAAAGGTTTTCATTAAAGTATAAAATACCTGTAACTGAAAAAACTCTTTATCGCTATAATAGGTTACATCATTTAAAACAAGTTGATAAATATATGCCTGAGTCTATTTTTTTCTATGATAATATTCCAAATAATTGTGAAATCTTCTTACCACTCCAGAATCATTACTATTACTATGCCATCAAATGTACTGAGATTACTTCCTCCAAGGATATTTTGCCTATTGACAAATTATGTGTAAACAATATCAAATCATCCTGGACTGTGAATGACTTTATACAATATGGAGATAAATTGGAACCGATTGTGAGTATTGATGCAATTGCTGATTGTGATGTTTTTCGGTTTAATCAACAGTACGATTCTTTGAAGATATTAGAACAACAAAAGAATAAACTAAAACAGGAATTAGACGACAAACAGATAATGTTGAATAAAAAAACCTTGGAATATGAATCGATACCACATTACTTCTTTCCACACGAAGTTGAAAATGAACAGAAGGATGTAATCGGCACAACACTCAATGATGTGATTGTGGTATATTACGATGGAGTAAAAGCGTTATTTGGTCTTCCCAAGAACAATACTTACATACTCCCAGATAGTTATGAAGGAATCGATGGCTATCAGATTGCATTGCCTTATTTTACTACAAGTGAAGAAGTTGACTTGGAAATACAAGGACATCATTGCAGTATTAGTAAATCTTCGACTCAATTTGTTATTTTGATGAATGATAACGAGGTTGGAGAAAAGAAACTGGAATTAACTGCAACGGCTTATCTGAAGGGTACACGAGAAGTGCTTGCTACTGTACAGTTTTATTTGAGCTATATGAGGAAACAAATGATCAATTACATGATGACATCAGTTCCTTGCACATATTGCAATTATTCTCGATACAATTATAGCAAAATATATGCAACATCGTTTCCTATTGATATTGATGTCTTTTGTAACGGTGAACATAAACAATTTCATTGTGACAAGGGAAAAGAAACCAGAATAGTTGAATATCCTGAAATAACACTCTTTTCTTTTGTATTACCTATGAAAAACTGTGCAAGTAGTAAGCGATTCACTTGGAATGAAAAAGGATTATCTATACTAAGTAACGAGCACAGCAACAACCCAATCGAGTTCATAACGAAAACTACTGTAAATTATGAGAAATCAATAGTCAGTCTTCAATCGAGGCAACTCACTCAATTTTTGTCCACTTTTGCCAATTTATCTTTAGTAATAGTATCAGCGCCTGAACACAAGCGTAAAGAAATTCTGCATTACTTATACGGATGTATGAATGACGTGATTCTACCCTCCATAAAAAAGGCTGCGCAATCTGTACTGAACATGATTTCCCATCGAGGATCTTTGCTGGCATGGAATGCTGTAATAAATCTAGTAAAAGCTGAAGCAAATGAAGATGAGAATGAAGCGGACAATGCAACAGGTGAAACTGAAAAAGTATACACAATGGATCAGACAGAACCTATTGATACCCATGAATCTAAAGAAGAGGTCCAGATGGTGAATCTATCTGAAGAAATCAAAAATGAAGTACAAAGTCGGGTAGTTACAATATTGAAAAAGAATTCAGTAGATATGAAGGAAGGTGAAACAGATGAAACAGAAGATGATACACCAACCCATCTTACAAATGAAAGCCAAGAGGAATTCAAGTCAGTCAATTACAAGTCTTTTCTAAGAATTATGAACGATATGAAAATGGATGAGATATTTGAAAGTGTATACAAACGTATAGCTACAGAGAAATATGTAAAGCCTCTAAACACATCAAGCACACTCACCATAGTAGAATTCAAAGAGAAAGGAAATGGAATGACTCATCCAATTGTGCAGTCAATTGTAAGTGCAGCAGTCAATATTATTCAGAAGTTAAGCCACATGAACTGTATGAACAAAAAGCCACATACCAAAATCAATATTATTATCGACACAAATTGCAGTTTGAGAAAAAGTAAACTTCGAATGAGAACCATCGTTTCGTGCATTTTCATTACAGTGATGAGAGAGCTCGGAATATCATTCAATTTGTATGTGCTTTGTGGTCGATATAAGGGTGTTCGTATTATGCTCAACAATCGATCTCTTCTTGATATCATTCTGCTATTATTTGATTTGGAGGAGGTGGTAAAAATGCCATCAACTCCTCTCGACTTGTTAACAATCAAGGGTCAATTCCATGAGAAAGATCCAGTATTGATAGTTGGCGACGGATTTAGTGAGCAACTGATGTCATCAAATGAAGAAGTGAAAACAGTGTTTCGGGTTTATTTGAAATTATTCTTGCTATGTATAAAAGGTACAGAGGATGAAGCATTGAGTATTTCCAATCAGATATTATTAGAGAAATCATTGTTGGCCAATTTCCATAATAATTTTATATTGATAGAGAAAGTCAGTGATGTCTCAAGTTTATCAATAGAAACCCTAGCAAGTCTGTTTTATGACAAGCAAGAGTTGGCAATGAATACTACTTTGAATGTTTCTACTTCAGAAGATGGGGAATGTGACATTCATGAAGACCTGAATATGGAATTCAAAGTAGACAAATCACTTACAATAATCGATAAAATAACCAAGGCGAAGCCAGTTAAAATGTTGGAAGTTACGGATAATGAGTTATTGAATTACTCAAATTCTACTTCTACTCGCAGTGTGATATTGAAAACATTGAATGCACAGATTCAAGAGGAGAATCTATTTGAAGCAATGAATACCTCTCTGTTCATACCCAATAAATCTACGGCACACGTCGCATCTACCTCCGGATCATCGATTCTTATAGCACAGTATATCAAGTATATAGTCAATAAGAAAGGAGATGGCAAGTTTTTCAAGAAGCTTGGTAGTGGTAAGATTCGTAGTTACAATGCAAGTGTTGTGATTGATTGCTCTTCGGTTGCATTTAGTGAAACAAACCGAGCGCATTCCTTGATCACAGTCTTTTCAATCCTTCGAAATCTGAGTAATATGCAACTACCTTGTATTGATTTGTGGGTGGCTTCTTCTCAAATCATCCGGATAGCAACAGGCATTCCATCCCTGGATTTGTGGGAAAACAATATTGTGAGTGTACTGTATCACAGTTTGTTATCTCCTTGCCAAAATACTTGCTTGCCCGATTGCATTCGCTATGCTTGTAGTACTTGCAATGCCCGTTCTTTCCAATCCGTAATGATGGTACTAACCAATGGTGTGCTATGCAATGATTCACGACTGGAAATCAACTCAATTGTGAATGAATGTGAAATGACCTATCTGGGAATTGGTCTTGGGTTGTATCTGTGTGGATTCAACAACTTGCTCCCAACAATGATCTGGAATTCTAATCCTACTCGACTCTCCGAAACACTGCTAAATCTGAGCGAAGAATCAATGGCTAGTGATTCGAGTGCAATCCCCGAACAACCTATCGATGCAATGATGCTGAACGAAAATATCGAAAGGTCAAATATCGAAACTATCCGTAAGATTTGTGACATTCCCAGTATTTATGAAACTACCTTGAGTCAAATTCGCTTCGTTGATGAAACAGATGGACAAGATGCAATTAGCAAAATAGATGATATCAACGACAGCAAATATGATCTTGGAGTCGATGGAGCATTCGGCCATTATTCGATATTGTTTATTATTCTCTATTTGTGTCGTGGAGAGAAAACAAAAACTGGAAAAGTGATTGATGAATATATCACAGAGGAAGTGTTGAAAAAGGGAAAAGAAGTAAATGGGAAAAGATTTTCTCCTGTTTATAAACTGGGAGACTATCAGGTTAATGGAAAACCGATTGGAAAAGGATTCAAACTACAATTCGCATATGATTACAAATCGGCTATACGAGAACTTGAGAGTGGGAAATACCGAGTGACATTCATTACGTGCTCTCCTGGAGATGGTAAGATGGCAAAAGCATGCGATGCAGATGTTTTTGATTATGCTGATGCTTTTGTGAGTTGTGTGCATGACTTTTTCTTGAAGGGAGGGGGCGTCTTCTGGTTCCTTGAAAACTATCCATACACATATGAAGCCGATTTGTACTTTAAGAAATTTTATGGATTCAAAGCAGTAGATAGTAACCACGAATATATCGAAGGAGGGGAAATAATGATTCGAGTCAAAGATGAAAAACCGCGGGCAAGCCATTTCATATCAATAGGAGGAAAGGCGACAGACTTTTCAAAGTTATCTCGTTTAGATTACGGAATTCTACGCATATTTGAAGGAAGGACGTTGTGTGCAATGAATGAAAAGAAACTAGAAGAGATCGGATTTTGCACGTTTGCAATGGAAAGCGAGGGGAATGCCGCGATAATGGTGAGAGAAAGGAAAGAGGAAGAAAAAGAAGGAGGGAGAATGATCATCGATACAGCTGCATCCAAACTCTTTTTGGAATTTACAGAAGAAGGTACGGCTCGATGGATTAGCAATGCTGCAGTATGGCTATGTAATTCAGAGCAATTTGAAGAAGAAAGAAGAATTGACCCTTCTTTAACATCTGGTATCAAGATAGAAAAAGGAGTTCACAATGAAAAGAAGCCCATGATAAAACGAAATTTGAAAACAATGAAGCAAATGCTATTTTGTCTGAGTATTGTCATGGACACAACAGGATCAATGCGCTTCTATATAAATGCAACAAGAGACAATATAGAAGGAATATTGAATTCCTTAAAGCAAGTGGAGAGTAGTCTTCATCTGGAAAAAGGAGGAATTGTCGGTCAAGTTGTTCAATACAAAGATTATGCAGACAAAATGACTGGTGAAACCGATGAATATATTACAAATAACTTTTCTCGACTCAAAAAGAAGCTAGCCACATTTGAAGCAAAGGGTGGCCATTCAGGACAATGCTGCGACTTTAAATTGTGTGAGGATATACAAGGAGGGCTAATTCGAGCATTAGAACAAATCACAAAAGAAGAATATAGAGATTATAACCACCTGATCTTGATAGTGGGAGATAATCCTAATCATGGAGAAACTGATTATTGTGAATTGACGCAGACTTTGAGTGGAGAGTATATTGATGATTTGTGGTTTGAAATTTATGAGAAAATCAGGCTTATTCACAAGATCAGAGTTATGTTCATGCCTGTTAATAGTGATGCTATTTTAGCCACTATGCAAAGAATGCAAATTTTCCTGGGTCAACAAATAGTCAGTAGTACTATGGTTACCACTGAAACTAATTTTGCAGACATTGTGACGAGCACTACCCTTACAGAGTATATGGGGTTTCTTGGGATTTCTTAGGCCTTGTAATATGATTATGCTTTATTTCCCAATTGTATTGATTGTTTTACACGTGTTTATATGCCTTTTTATTACAATAATTAGTGGTGTGGACCTTACAAATCAGAGTATTTGAAACAATCATCTTCTATCACCTTTATCTATCTTTCCATAAGAGTCGTGTATTTGTATTGTAATACTTATTATATCGTTGAATAATACTTTCTTCTTTTTCATTTTCCATAACCAGGTATATTCAACTCTTCATGTAGGCTAGTCTATTCCCAATTCTCCTTTTATCAAAACTATTCTTAGGGATTCGGCGATAGACTATTGTAATGCGCTCTTATTATGAAAATCATCGTTCGTTCAAATAACGATTGTAATACTGGTATATAGAGATAGATTAAACAAACAGATACACCAAGTATCAGGCCTTTCACTAAGCGTAATATTCAATATGCGGTTCACACAGATTCTACGTTCTCGGGATCTGGAAAATTTTACAGGATGTAAATGAGGACAAACCTCACGATCTGGCATTTTTCCATGATTACAATCCGTTATGACGTTCGCTTTGAAACAATCCATGATAAATGGAACTGCATTTTCCAAAAACACATAATGTTTATACATCACGGATTCCAATTCCAAAAAGGTAGTGAGATTGGATTTTGGAAAATAGAAAAAGTCACTCCACCCGTGTCGGAGTTGAGATGAGCCAACTTTGCAAAGATTGTGTAGAGTAGGTTTTGATTCTATTTCTGATACAGCATTCAGATAAGCCAAAAACATCACTTTATTATTTTTGTTTTTTACAACATTCCATGGCCATTTATTATAGGGTGTCCATGGAAACCAAACTTCACTCATAGCTTTGTTGTGATCTTCTTTACCCAATAAAGTCGGTTGTAAACAACTATCATCATTTGCTTCGAAGTATCCAGCATATGTATAACCAGCTTCAGGTGGAAACAAATCAATTGCTATTCTCATCGAATGATATGCATAATAACCTTTTGAAAATAACCGATTTCCATAGATCTTTAGTTGTGAGTTTTCCTTTGGTCCGATTAACAACAAATCAAAATCATATGGATATTTATCAGCAAATAATCTATATATTTCATTTCTTATAAACGAGGCAGCTTTATATTTGGTATGATGAAAGTTGATTACAAATAGATAGATTTCTCGGGTTTTATAATCACGCATATCTGCATGACTTACACGTTTGTGATTACGAAATCTAGTAAGAAACGAATCCGAAGTTAAATTCCTTGGCGGAATAGTTGGTAACTTTTGAGGAATTTTCACTTCAAAATTATTATCAGGATTAATTGATCGAGATAATTTTGTGGTTGGAGTCACGATCGATGTACTAGGTATTGAAGTATTTGTCAAGCTTTCATTTGAGATTTCTATAGTGTTAGAATAACTCTTGTTAGAATCATTATCACTTAAATTGTTCATTTCTTTACGAGTTATGACTCGTGTTGTAATTCTTGATGATTCTTTTATAATTAGGTTCTTTGGACATTCTTTACCATAGCACAATATAGTAAATGACGAAATATTCCTATTATTAACAACTTTATAGTTTCTTACTTCCCAGATACTTGATGTTTTGAGTATATTATATCCAATACATAGATAGCTATTATGACCACATTAATGAGTGTAATCATGACATATAATCGTTTTTGAAAATAGTATTGGTTATGATAGAAAACAATACAATATTTTCCACCTTTTGCTATGAATGCAATGGGCTGTGATACTACAGATCGAAGTGAGTCTATTGAAGCAACAAAAGACAAAATAGTCAAGAAAGCAAGAAGAATTCCTATAATCCAAAATGGTATATAAATGGCTATTGGAACATCTGATAATCTTGAAATGAAGCAGAATGAATGATTACAAGTTCATTTGAAGTGAAACAACAAAAGCAACTCCAATTCCTATTCCTATTCCACAAATCAATGAGCTCCATATGTTGACAATTGATTCAATAGTAAATATCTAGTTCGGAAAGGTAGGCTATTTCGTACATTGTACAACAGCTTTTTTGTAGCTCCTAATGATTGAAAAATACCGATTTCGTGTGAAGTATCACATATAATAGATCTATTTGGATTATTAAAACACATAAGTAAGAAAGTCAATACTTGAGGGAAACCGAAGTAGCAAAGAAGAGTAGAATACAACATAATATACTCAATATATAGAAATAGATGTCTAAAGCCAACTGGGCGTCATCAATCGAGTTTACCAAGGATTTTCTTTCTAGAAGACTTGCTCCATCATCTCCTTGAACAATGGACCGCGTATTGTCAACAATATATGCATATTCCCTCTGAGAAAGGGTGGGTTTTAACTTGACGATCATTTTGTCTTTCACTAGAGAAATAGATGGAAGCATTTCCTGAAAGGTGCTTTTCGATACAATGGCGTTTGGTGTTGATTTTTGGTAATTGTATTTACTGAAAGAAAAACCTGGTAGTTTCTCCAGGGTTGCTTCTTGAGAAATTAGGGAAACAGAAGAATAATCTGATGTATTCTATAAGTGATATCGCACATGATTCGTTACGGAAAACACATATTTCTCAACATTCTCTTCCTGTAGATCGGTACTTAATGATTTCGGTAAAAGAGCAGGAAAATAAAGATTGTATTGCCTTTTCAAGTTGACTTCAGGACTAGGATTGGCTCTAACGTCAGCAAATGGGAACGAAAGAGAGGTATTGTATGGAGCGCTGGAGTCGAGAAATGTCTTGAGTTGTTGTTTGGAATGGGATGAGACGATCATATCCTGATCTCTAATAATTTACTATTCATTTCAGTATTGAAAGTACATGAGATCGATGTATGACGGCGCGAGAATCGAAACGATCGTCGTTGTAGAATGAAGATTACTAAATGTGGCGAGTTGGGAATCAGCGGAATAGGATTGGTACTGATACAGTCTTCCAGCAATAAGAGATTGGGTATACGGTTCCTCGTAAAAGGAATCCAGCTGTTGCTCGTTCAATCCCGATGTGGAAGAAGTCAGGACGAGCAAATCAGAAGGAATCGATAGCTTAATGTTGGAATAGAGTGTGTTGGATTGCATTCGAAGGAGACAGGCAGCGAAGAGAATAAAGGTTAAGGATGTGGTACAGAGGATCGAAAGCTGCAGATTGCTTCGTTTGTGGAGATTTGCATTATTGCGAATATATAATGCAGCCGGATGGAGCCATGGTAAATGGGAGAGGAGAAATGATACAAACGTTGTGAGCCAATGAGAAAGATAGGTGGATACTATGTTTCGTTACATTGTTTCGATGACCGTACGAATTGTCACGCCCAATAGAGCCAAAATGAGAATGATATTAAGAATTGTCATGAAGAGTTTAATATCGGAATCAAGAAAGGCATCAACTGCAAATAGAAACACCATTATTCCGATGCTCGTGAGAATGAGTCCGAAAAGAATCATTTCAATTGTGATGGGTGTTTTTCGATTGTCCTTGACAACAACTCTTGTATTGTTTGTATCCTATTTTGAAAGGATCAGGAATCAAAATACCGAGTGTTGAAGATCAAGCGATTCAATCAGCTTTTGTTTCGCTAGTTGGACGATGGGCGGAATAATCGCTATGATGGGAGAAAGCAGGCCTACTAGAATCGAATAGATATAGGAGGAAGTTGGTGGTGCATAAGGAAGCGAAAGATATAGGAGCTTATTGAATGTGTACGCCAGTAGAACATAGCACAGGATGCTTAGTAGTAAACCCAGGATAATTCCGGGAATGGTGAATAATAACACTTGAACAAATACGATGCGTGAAGCAGCAGCTTGTCGTAATCCCACAATACGGAGTAATGCCATTTCAAATCTAGTAGAATAGCGATCGACCACCTTTCATACACTTTTTCTTTCACGCTCGTTGTCACTAATATGTATATCACATAGGCAGCAATAAGTGTGATGATCACATCGATCATGAAGAACACTTGCTCCAACAGGATTGTAACTGAAGATAGTGATTGCAGGGATGTGTACAGTAAATACTGGACGGAGTAGTTTTCGGAATTAGGAATGGATGCTATAACCTTGTTCGCGTAGTCATTGAATTGTCTAGGAATCATTCGTGATTATAGGAAAAAGAATTACTTGGAAGAGTCACTAGAGGTGTATATTTGCTGATGACTTGAAGATAGGATCAAATACTGCATGGTCCAGTCATTAATCCATTGCGTTGGCTTCTCTTCAAGAGGTACCTTGTTCGACTGAACAATCGCTTCAAACATATTATTCAACAGATTTTGTAGGGTTTGCGTTGAAATTACAATCACCGAGCCATACGATGCTGGCCATTTTCCTTCTGGCGAGGAAACCGACTCCACAATTTTGAACGAATGATCAACGTAGAGTAGAGAAGTGCTGTTGTTTATAGTTCCACAGTTAACGTACATATCGCTTTGATTGAACTGCGTAACGTTCAACTTTTCTAGCTGCGGGATAATATACTCACTGAGATTCACTGCAACTCGGATCGAATCGCCGACAGAGAGTGTCAACGAATCAAGGAGTGACGAAGAAACAATCGCTTCGTTGTTCTGTAGAAGGTCATATTTCCACGAGCGGCCGATGCCTATTTGCTGCTCACGCGCACTTTATATCAATTGCATACTCAGCTATACTCGTCAATTACCAATAGATAACAAAGAACAGATCTTTGATTTGCTTTGTTGCTATTGTCGCTTTGATTCATGGGTATACTATTCTTGGTTTGGGAAGATGCTTCATATCCGCTCTTCTCTTGGGTGTTTACTGGGCTGATTCCAGCCATTGATGGAATGATCCAGCGTCCTGTACCTTGACTGTCAGGAGTCGTAGACAAAGCACTATTTAGTTTCGTCTATCTGATAGCATTCTCTCAAAGGAAACCTGATTCAGAAGGATCGTTTCCCCTGGTAATAGTACAACATCTTGCTCTCCCACTTGTTTCTCAGCAATGCGAAGAATCAAATAATTGCTTCCAAGAGCTATACACTAAGACAGAGCTATTTTTATGGTGATGTACTTGCATTAGCGAAACAAAACAAACAACGATGAGGACGGTAAACATGCCAATACAGAAATTTCGTTTGTGTCTTCCAACATCCGCAACAGCATATCTTTTCTCAAATGAACTGCCATGATCTACTTAAACGACAAGGAAGTGCTTGCTATAAAGTCGTCCATTTCTTTAATAATATCCTCTCCGCCCCAGCGAAGTTTTCAAACGCATGTCAAACAAACATTCGAATCGTATTCACTTACTTCTGCTCAACATCCTGTGCACACTCCTTCATCCTACGCCTGACTCTTCGCTTCTTCACCTACACCGCAGAAACCTCCGAGCTCGCAATCATCTTGTCAAGCTTCTCTTTGGCCTCATCTTCCATTCTCCGAATGTCGTCCATCGTCAGACCGTCCCATTCGTCCATTTGGCAGATCAGCTGGCGCATCGTGCGCGTGAACACCTTGATCTCCTGGGATCGAATGATGTTCTCGATGATGGTTTGCAGACCGAAATACTTGAAGCTGCACGTTAAGGGCGTCGAGGATATCGAATTAAGGATATTGAATCGTCACCTTCTTGTAGCAGCACATTACCGGATCTAGGATGGATATGAGAGAGAGCGATCCTACTTGCAGTTTTGTACCATTCGGGAGCAAGGGGACCGACGTTCCGCTTCTGGCTGTGATAAACTGTCACATCCTACCATGAAGAGAACATCAGAAAATGTACTTCGTCAGCGGGGAGCTTCTCGCTTCCCTTCTTGGCAACGTCAACAAAAATGACTTCTCGCTTCTTGAGCTCTTTTTCAGGCATATTCAGAGCGTTCTCTGAAGTACCCACATCATTTAGATAGTGCGACTCAATAGCAAGTTTGAACTTATCCATGGAGAAATATCCGTTTGTCATCACAGTTAAACAGTACGGATGAGCATTCCAGGCTTCTTCCCACAAAAACAGAGAATCTACGTTCAAACCGTTTTGATCGAATACCTGCTGGCATGATAGCCTTCAGAACGCGAGGGCACATCGAACTCAGGAGATACCTTGATTCGTACAGACAGCATTATTCCTACTTCTTCAGAGTGTACTGGCCCTTCACCTTAGGAATCGGTGTTTTACTGATCTCACTGAGACCCATATGACCATCAGTGTTATCAAAACTATGCCTAATACCGACAATTCCAGTCTCACGGCTCGTTCTTAAGAACCACGATACCTTCACCTCCGCCCGTAACCTTCTCCTGCGCTTTGATAACCATTGCCAACTGGGCAACTTGGAAGTCATCAACAGTAAGAGGAAGGGGAATTCGGAATTCAAGAATCATTACAGTTACAAGAAGAAATAGATCTGAACTTTATTACTACCATCGCCATTCCCGCGGGTTCCAAGAGCATTTCCAACAAAAACGACCAATACGTATTCAATTCAACACGCTGACGCTTCACAACTTCGGCACATGCGGCACAATTCTCTTTGCATTCGGCATGTTCGCTGTCGAGCTAAATCGAGTGTTCACCACATCCTTCAAATACCGCGCCTGGAACAACTGTCTTCCGTTTTCTCGTATCATCTACACTCAAAAACCGACGTCGCGCCGACATCCACCATTTCATTCACATTGCTCATCGCGAGCGTCGATGCGAAAATCGAGTGCAGATCCGTGTGCGTCTTCTCCGCAGCGCTCAATTCCAGCAGCCTCGCGTCACCCCTCATCATGATCCCTACATGCGCTGGTTCTGCGATCCAAACACAAACGCATTGCGCAGATCGTCGCTCCGCGCATCTCCCTCTCTCTGCAGCTGCCCGTACGTCTTCGCGACCGTCTCGTGCTGCGTAAAAAGCGATCAATCAAAGCCTGCTTTCTCTTTGAGCTGCTTGTTTTGCGCCTGCAGCGTCGCCGCGGAGCTTCGCAGCGTCTCCAGCACGCCGTTGCAGACTTCGGTTTGCTTCTCGATGGACGACTAAACGTAGAAGGGAAGAAAAGCAGGTACGAGTAATGATTTGGCTTCGGCTGCTTTCTCTGCGGATTAAACAAGGAATAGGGGAAATACGCTTCGCGTCGTCGAATTTGGCGGCAAAACGAGGGTAGAGAACGTCGCTGCATTGCTTGATGAGTCTAGGCGATGGAATCGAGGGAGCGGAGAGTACTGCGGGATGGGATCGTTGCAGATGGGGAAGCAGGTGGCGAAACAGCTGTCGAGGGAAGCGAAAAATTGATTTAGTGTAATCTGGATGGAAGGCAATAGGCAAGGGTACGTTTTTAATGTTACTTACGAGGATATATATAATTCGGCCATCGGCATCGACTACGTTGGGAATGGGAACGATCTTGGATCCTATGATAAAAAAGAACGGGGAATGCTATACCCGCTGGAGGACGAATATAAAGAATAGGATCTACGTAAGGGAAGCTATTGGGGACGAAGAGATCGATTGGAATAAGATATTTTTGATTGTAGTAGGTGCAGTAATGGTTAACCGAGCATTTCAAACAACGTGTGTTCACGCCATTAATATCTATACGATAGCATGCAAATAGAGTCGTTACTGATATCATAAACTTCACATTTTGAATTCGCTGCTTCGGGACTACTCATAACCAAGTTCCTAATATAAGCCGTTGTCTACACCTTAATCTCAGCACTTTTCCCAACGCGACTATTTAGCATCTGCAGCGATTGTTCCAGCTGCGAGCTGACGTAATAATAAGACATAGCTGTGTAAAGAATAGAAGAAAAACTTGGCTCTTTGTCTGTGCAGGTTAACTAGATTCTTGTAGTCTGGTGTAGCTAGTATACTATTTATTGGATTCTGCGTAGGTAATACCAGAAATAGTACATTTCGATCCAACAAACACAAATACTCAAACAACACTTTTACTATATAGCAGAAGAGAGATATCACGATTCCGCAAGTAATAAAGAGAATGATAAATGGTGCTTCATTATAATAGTTATTATAGTACACACGATTCCCATCGATATATGAATCAACACAATAAGCTTCTAAAAATAAGCATGCAAACACGCCTATACCATCTAATAAAATCACCATTAATTGTTTCACCTCGTGTTTCTCACCTTTGGCCGTAATCGTGTACGCGCTCTTCTTCGGCTCGGAATACGACTACAAATCACTCAACTCCCTGCAAACAGACAAAAACACCGCTGAGTTCGCCAGTGAACGAATTCAGCGCAACGCCCTTGGGCAGATCCGGTTCGATGCGAAAACTCACTTTCTCTGCTTTCAATTCCTCTTCGGAAAAGAGCGATCGCATCGAGAACTCGACGTTGTAATACAGAGCTATGTTGTCTGAAAAGAACACGGCGTGAGGGAAGCGGGAGAGCGTGAGGAAGGGGAAAAACTCGGGGAACCAGGTGGTGTGCCATCCGAAGTTTTCTTCGAATGAGCGGAAAGGAGGAACGCGCGTACCGAGAATGGCGACGCGGTAGCGACGGTAGGGGTAGCGAGGGCCCTGCAGCGAGAAGGAGAAGAGAGAAAGCTGCTGGGAGAGTGTGGGGGAGCTGCGATGATCGAGCTGGACCCAAAGAGGCGAAGAAGTGCGCGCGTTGGGTGAGTGAATGGAGTCAGTGGAGTGGTGTGAGTCATTTGATTCATTCAATTGGTGTGAGTCATTCAATTCAATTGAGTCATTTGAGTCATTCAATTGGTGTGAGTCATTCAATTCAATTGAGTCATTTGAGTCATTCAATTGGTGTGAGTCATTTGATTCAATGGATTCAATGGATTCATTTGATTCTTTCGATTCTTTCGATTCATTTGAGTCATTTGAGTCATTCATTTCTTTCATTTCATTCAATTCATTCAATTCATTCATTTCGTTTGATTCATTCATTGCTTTGATCGCATTGCGTTGCCCCCAAATCGACCACGATTTCCACGTATACGCGTAGTGATAATCCAGCACCGCGTACTCCGAGATCTCGAACGCGCTGATCCTCACCATTCCTCCTCCTTCATCCTACTCAAAAAACGCATTCTCGAACTCCACGAACATCTCCGGCTCCGTTTTCAAATAAAAATAGCGACTCGAATAGTCGAACGCGTTCTCCACATCGTGATTCTCCACCACTTCGCTGTGCGAAGCCACCTTACAGAACGGAATGTACATCCGCTTCGCCGGATAGCCGTACAGATACAAATTGTTTTGGTGTTCCTCTTCGTCGATCACCGCGATTATCACGTTGATTCCGCCTCGCAGATACATTCCGCTCACCAGCACGCTACGACTCATTGGAACAGTGTTCCATCCACCGGAAGTAGTTCTTTCCGTTCGATTGGTGGTTTTCTTCGCGGAAAACCGCGATTCCGTTCAAATAAATCGCGACATCGCGGAAATCGTTCGTTATCCCGATCTCCACGGCGCTGAACGACGCGCTGGAGGAAAGATTGAAGCGGTTGTAGTAGATGTTTTCGATGGACGGCTCGCCGGTGAGGTAGTGGTTGTAGCCTGGAGCGTTTTCATCCTCGCGAATCCAATCTTGGTCGAAGGGGTCGAGGAACCAGTTCGCATCCAACAAACCGCTGTAAAACTCGGTGATGGAAGGAACTCGGGATGTAACACCCCATATTTGGTAGGGAGAGATGATGTACGTTACTACACTAAAATGAAGAAAAAACACAATACATCGAATCGTATAGGATTCTTCCGCTCCCGATTGGCACTGCCCTTTGAAAAGCAAAAAGTTTGAACCCGAACGAACTTCGACGTACGCTCCATCATCCCATCCATCTCCCTTTCTACTGTTGAAAGGAGACAAGAATCATACGAATCCAATAAAACAACCTCATAGACTAAATCCGTCGTCTTTGGGACACAGTATTCTGTTGTTCGATTTTCACTAAATGCATAGAGCGGTTTTTCTTGAATAAATGTGTGAAGAGTCGAATCGATCACACCACGAATAGAAACGGACTCTTCTCTCTGGTGAAAATTATTCCCACTATTTTGCTTGAAAATAATGAGCTTCACCTGATTATCTGCACAATCAAGACTCAAAACTATTGCTGAGGCTATTCTGTTCCAATACCTGCTGTTGCAAAAACAAAAAACAAAAGAAACATACGGGAACAAAAACTGACTTTAAAACCTTTGGAAAAACATCATATTTTTCATGAGGGGTATAGTGGCATTAGCGATTCCGGTCATTATAGCCTTGCTGGCAACTCTAAAAATATATTTTGGAACGCCGTAGAAGTTATTGTCGTAAGTGATGGATAGACGGCATGTTTCTTCGATATTCGATTTTCATCGTGATGTCTTTTCTTTATCGGGTGTAAATGTGAGCAGGGTAGTTGCTTTGTTGTGTTTTAACATGTGTAGTATAGTTTGCAGTATAAAAACGCTTCTCGTGTTAAGAATCCGCGTATTAGTGTTTCTCAAAAATCTATCCTAAATCGAAACCGTGTTCCAAATCAAGATGTGTCTGTTGTAAATTCTACTGCCAAAAGCCATATTTTTGAAAACCACAGTACCTCTTCTGCACATTGCTGATTTCCAGAGTCTTCTTCTGTGTTTTATTCTAGTACAGTCAATTCTGCTGATTCTTTGGATGACAGCTACAGCGATCCAGACTCGTCGAACGAAGCTAAATCTGATTTTTCTATCCATGCCTTTTCCACCACTTCCAATGTCGATGCTTCTGACGATTCCGAAATTTATTGGAAATCACAAGAAGACTCCGAAGACACGGAATCCGCGGGCCGCCCGACAGATCCTCACTCCGCCAATCATCATGACGAATCTGCGGACTCGCCCTCTTCCGACGACACCAAGAGCGCTGACAGCGACGAAGATCCCGAAGAAACCGATAATACCCCGGAGCCCGCTGATGACAGCAACGCACCCGACGTTTCCACCCCCTCTGAAGCCCGCAGCTCTGCGTTTTCTCGCAATTCCACGACTCTCCGGAATGGTTTTGGTTCGAGAAAGCCGCGGAGCATCCGAGCGCGGAGCTCGCGCAGAGGGCCGTTCCGGCCCAAAGCGAAGAGCTCTGCGCCGAACAGCGAATCCCAGGGTCCGATCAGCAGCGCGGAAGACATGCTGAATCTGATCGCGAAGCGAAAGAAAGAGAAGGCGCGAGCCCTGGCGCGTCGTGGTTTGTTTTCCTTGTTTTTTGAACCAAAGCCGGAGTGAGCCGAATGAATCTTTTCCCACCCAAGAGTTCGATAGCTCGTTGCAAATGGTGCCGATTGTTTGTCGGTACGAAGGAAGTGCCTTACAAAGCACGCTATCCTTGTTTGTCTTGCTGTCTCCTTGTTCCGTAGTCGTGATTCCAGATGCTCCGAAGTTCAGCTTTTCGATCGTTTCAGCGACCACCATGGATCGATTGGCCTTTCTCCCTTCGCTGCTGGAGCGTTGGGAGGGCGAATTCAGCATTGCAGTGAAGGTGAAAAATCGTGATGAGCGGAAAGCCTCGAATTTGGTGAAGAGTTTGAATCTCCCGGATCGCGTTCGCATTATATTGTACATCGTGTCTTCGCGAAGCTCCGAAGCCACCGACTTCCCTGTGAACAAACTGCGAAACATCGCGATTGTGAACATCGTCACCACGCATTTCCTTGTGTTGGATATGGACATGTGGCCGGCTCGTTCGTTTTGGATTGCTTTTCTGAGCCTCAGCGAATTTGTATCGCGAGCTGAAGAAGATTCCCGTTCCGATTCTGAGCTCGACGACGTCTGTGACGATCGTGCCTGCGTTCTTTTTGAAACGAGACTATATCTTGGCGCACTGCACGACGATCTTATCGTGTGCTCGCGAGAGCGAAAAGCTGTTCCCTGCAAACAAAAAGAAACTCCGCCACTGCCTTGCGAAAGGCAGTTGTTTGTTGCAAAAACCAAAGACAATCACACACGTAGAGAGTTTTCTGAGCGAAACAAAGCGTAGAGATACGTGAATTATCGATGGTTCAGCTTGGATCCTTCGAAGGTAGTAGCACAGTTGGCTTGTTTCCCAAATCGTTTCCAAGAGCCTTATTTGCTTATTAAGTACGATGAAGACACGATGTTTTTTGATGAACGGTTTGTGAATTATGGGTGTAACAAGGTTCAATACGTGGATTTAATTCGACATCGCGGTAGGAAATCGAAGGAGGTGTGAAGCGCAGGGTATAAGTTCTATATTTTGATCAATTCGTTTGCTATGGATTTGGTTCATCATGAGTTTGTATCATGAGTGCGCTTCATTTTTAGTTCGGCTTACAGAAAGACGTATTTGGATAAGCTTCGCGTTGGAACGAGACCAATTATGAAGATTATTTGCGAAAACTTCCAAGCCCGTGTGCAGCAAGTGTTCAAGACGGCCGAGAACCAGACGCAGATTTGCCGAAGGAATAACTTGTACATCGAGCTTTAGTTTTTTGCCTTTTGTTCATTTCTTGTTATGAATAAGCAAGTTGCAACAAGTATATACAGGCAATTGTTTCGACTAGCGCAGGAGATGGACAGAGCACCCATTAGGAAGGTAGTTTTTGTCACGTTGCATTTTAGTTAGTTTGTCCTCTCCGATTTAGCCCACGAATATACGTCATTATCTACGCAGCCATTGCCAAAATGGTTCCCTAACGAGTTATCTGTCTTGGCTTCGGGCTTATTAGGGTATACATCTTGTTTTATTTCTATTTTTTCCATAGACCGTCGCTGGCATACTATCCTGAACGGTCGGTTGTTAGTCTTCTTCGAAAACGGTACCGACGTTCTGCTATTCCGGTAAACTCTGACAAGTTTGATTTTGGGTCACTCCAATGTCGATCAGATTGGTTCAGTCGTATGACAACTGTCTGCAACTCGAATCGGACATTTCCAACGCGATTCTTCATAACTACAAAGTTCCTTTAGCCCAAACTTCCTACCAGACCATCAACGACAGTATTGCCTACGAACGAGGTTTCAATCCTTCTTTCTTTGAATATAGACAAATCCTATTATGAAAATCTTCAAATCAAACCCGTCATCATCGAGCAACTCAGTGATCTCAAAGTGGGAACCTTGCTGTTGAACTACCCAACGATTTTTCTTAAAAAGAAGGCGTTTAAGTCTCTTCCAAATGATGCAGTCTTCCTGATCACCCGGATTACGGAGCTGGGCGTGAAGGGGCTGATTCTCAATCCGTTTGTTTGTTTTTTTATGAATGAAAACTAGTCCGAACACTCGAATGAAAGCCACAATGCGAGGCTCCGATTGCCTTTTCTCGCTGGAGCCTCGCAGTCGCCGTCCTTCGATCAAACAATACGTTTGCGAGCAGATTCCAGGCATGAATACACGCTCGCATCAAGTCGTTTGCCATGCATTCCAAGGCGGTCTGAATCGGCCGTATCTCGTCTCCAACGATCTCGATTTTATTCTGAAACAGACGCATTCGTCCCCTTTGAACATCGCAGCGTTTCCAGAGGAGCATTGCTTCACATATCCTTCATTCCGTTCTTTTTAATTATTATAATTATAATTGTTGTTGTTGTTGATTGTGTAAAAGAGAGAATTGGGGCCTTCATTGAACGATTAAAAACACGATGGAGGGGATTGTCACGGGGAAAACGTTGATTTTGGAGGTGAATGATGTGCAGTCGCTGATTATGAATCGTACTGCAGAGATTTTTTCTCGATTGTAGAGTCGATAAACCGGAGAAGGATGTATTCCAATCTTCTCTATGCGCTGGGAGGCGAATGGGCTGAAATTGCTCGCTATGTAGAGCAGGCTTTGTTTTGCATTGTTTTTTTAACAAACATAGTAGCGATTTAGAATATATTTGTAACCATTTTCGACAGCTTGAAGGAGTTTCGTCCTGAGTTTTTCTTTGGATTTCTACGAATCAAGAGCGATCAATGAACCGACATAGCGAGGAAGTCGAAGCAAATTAACACACGTCATTGAAGTGGGGAGAGAGGATTCGTTACCATCCACAAATTCCACGTGGAGCTTACTCGAATCAGCGTTCATTCTGCGCTGACCCGTAACAAACATCAGAAACTGCTCCTTCTGTGTATTGCTCATTTCCAAAACGATTTCCTTCAACCAATTCACGCTTTCCAACGCCGATTCCGAAGCATTGAACACAAACAGCGAATCAATCGTTTCGTTTGTCCACATGGGAGCATTTCCAAGCAACATTTCACTGATTTCTTGTATCGAAAACATCGCAAGACTATGCACGTCCATCATCCAAGCAATTCCTCCACGAACCAATTCCACCGCTTTTCGAATTCCAGAGCCAACCAATGAATCTGCAACTCTCAGCAACCAATTACAATACGACTCAGACGTCACTTCAGACTCATCTAACAGGGAAATAAAGGGATATCCAGGAAGGGTGGAATCGAATCCATACGAATCCACGTCTTGCAAATGCGAAACAAACGAAAAAAGCGATTGAAGACTGGATCGACCAAAGCGATCAATTCGACTTTTGGCTATTGTTGAGAATGAAAAGAAGCAAAACCATCATTTAGATTTGTGATATCCGAATAGCCTCGTTGAATGTAATCAATGAACAAAGGATGGAGGGGAAGTTCCACAGGAATCGAGTGTTTCAAGCAGAATCCGATTAGAGTCCCAATCGAGAAAAACACGCTTTCATAAGCTTCGATATCTTGAATCGAATCGATCGGAGCGGGAAACAAATCGCCAGTCATGAATTGTGGCTCGAACGGAAACGCGACTTCCCTGGCGAGATGGCAGCTTTCTAATTGCAAAATCGATTGAGTGTTCATTTGAAACGGCCAATGATCGTTTTCTAAGCATCGTTTATAGGAACTCACTTCGAAGGAAAGGCATTTTCCATTCAATGGATCCCATTTCATGGACCCAAAACAGCTTGTTGAATGCGTGTGCAATTTCGCAAAGTCGATCAGCTTGTTCAAATCCTCTTGTGAGAGACAGAGACTAAATCATATTCGTTGCATTATTGTACCGTAATTGAAGGCAAAATTGGAGGCTTTGGCCACAATTTGGGCAGATTGAATCATACGAAGAAACAGAGAAATCTCCCTCGGAACATTTCCACGCTCCAACAGAATCCAGACAAAGAAGAGATCGGTGTGTTGGACAATGCTTCAGTACCCATTCTCCACATCGACAAATCACGAATCCAATATTGCTTGGAAGATTGGGAGGTGGAAAGGAAGAAGAAGAAGAAGAAGAAGAAGAAACGAGAAGACAAGGAGAATCATCGCTATCATTCCAGAAATGGTATTGTCTGTTCTGTAATTCTTTAGAGAAAAGAGAAATGAATTCTCGTGTTGGACCCATTCCAACTCCTAATTCATCGCAGAATTTAATCTGAAAATGAGTTTCACGGGAAGATTTAATAATACCTGATAGTCTAAGAAGGGAGAGAGCAATCGAAATGTATTCAATCCATCCTGCATAATGGATTCTCGATGGACCGTGTGACGAAGAAGCTTTTCATGAGAGGAATAATAACAAAATCAAACGGGAGGTTGGTGGAATTCCAAATCAATAGGAATGTTTTTCTGAATGGAAAGTGATTGGAAAGCAGAAAAGGCATCGAGTCCAAAACATTTTCTAAATGGTAAATCGAAATGGAAGCAAAACAAGCAACGAAGCCGAATTTCAGAATCGAATAACTCAGGAATTGAATAAAGAAGTGCTTTCAACACATTCGGAAATTGAAAACCCAACACACAGTAATCGTTTTGCAGTAATTTTGCCACAAGTTTATTCAAAGGGACGTTCGCAATTCGATAATCAGGAGGAGCCAGAGACAGAATTCGACGAAGAGTTGAAATGATGCTCATAATCGCGGGAGAACACATTTCAGACATTGGAGAAACATCTGGAATCATCGGAGATCCCGATGAAAAAGGACCGAAATGAACGATGACTTTGCAGTTAATGGGGACATTTGGAGCGAACTGTCCCAAAGAGAGTAAAGAAGCAAAGAGAGAAAAATCGATTTGCAAGAGCGAATCGTTTATTCGAAACTCCAGATAGCGAAGTAGCACAAAAGGATCGTCTGCCCACTCGCCAACTTGAGGCAAAAACGAATATTTCGGGAGTTTACGCAATTCAGAACAGACTTTTGAAGCGAATGTGACTTGATTGTCTGCGGGGGAACACTCAATCGACAGAATTGGATCGAAAGCAAACTCGCTGTTTTCTAAACACGGAGAAACTTGCATCGTTATTTTTGTCGATAGAAGAGAGCCATCATGAAGAGTAAAACCCTCAGAGAATAGTTCTGTACAGACTTCTTTTGCCAATTGATAGTTCAGAGAGTCGAATACTTGTTTGGTCTGATCGTTCCAGTGTGTGTATTGAATAGAATCGAATTTCGAAAGCAGATCATTCGTGGTTTCTTCTTGCTGGGGCTTGGTGATCGCTTTCGATTTCAGCTTTGGTTTTGAGTTTGAGGATGATTTTGGATTGCTTCCAGGTCGACGATACTTCGATTTTGTTTTTTCGTCCAGTTTGTCAGAGAGAGAAGAATTGATGATTGCTTCTTGTAAAGGCGATGCGGTTCGAAGAATTCCATCGATCAGAGTTTGGAAGGATGATTGGAGCTGAGAGGAATTGCCTGAAAGAACCATCGAAATTACCATTGACGAGTAGAAGCGTTCAAGAGAAGGAACAAATGAAAAGAAGTATTTTTGAAATAGATCTAAGAGAGATCAACAACACAAGACAAAACAAACTTTGTGAAATAGTGGGAATCACTCGGAATAGCCAGGTTAGCAACTGAATTGTTTGGAGTTGGATCGAAGGATGAAGAATCACCAGAAGCTATGCCATTAAAAGAATACCAAAGAAATCAAAACTTTTAGAATACTGGGCATGTATTGAATAACAAACGATGCGCATTGCATTGAAATCCGCTGTGATTGTCCCTCCACAAATGAATTTAGCAGCAGCAGCCAGTTATTGACACAATCTGCTTCCTTCAGCGGCTCTGACAGATCGTAGTAACACTCTTGATTCAATCGATTACAGATGGAGTGGAAATGCTGTAGTCCAAGAAGAAAAAGAGTGATCGACGATGGAAACAATTGTTTGTTTATGAGTGCAATGTGATTGAGTAGTTCCAATGATAACTCCAACAAATCGCTTGAGTTTTGGGAATCATTTGCTGCTGTTGTGATTGCTTTCTGAATGGAAGGAATCATATTCTCAACGATGCCATTCATTCTGAGTGCAGCCACCACTTGGTCTTTCCGCTCCAGCTGATTCAAAATGTGATTTAAAAAGTAAAGAGAAGGAATCGAATTGATATGACTTGCTATCTCTTTTACACATTCAAATAGGTAATTCGAAACAGGAAAATGATCAATAATCACTTTGGTTCTTTCCAAATCGCAGGTGCCGAAGGATACTAAACATTTCGCCAACAAAACCAAATCCATTTCGTTGAGTACCTTGAATCCAGAAGCCATTATGATCTGCAAGTTAATCATTACATAGCAATTACATACATCACAAAGTGAAGCGTAAATAGCATCATTTGGAGAATAAAACATACAACTCATACCTAACTCTACAAACTTCGATGTCAGTTGTAAATTAGAATCCGGTGTAGTCACGGACAATAGAAAAATACTCAATAATTGTTGACAAGAGACAACATCAAGAGTATTTTTCAAATAGATACTATATTTCAATTACACTATGTCTGTACAAACCTTAGCAATAAGTGAAAGCTGCTATTGATAGACTTTGAAGAAAAATCGATTTTTGTTCCTTGCTTAACTTTCGAATATATTTCACTCACAGTTTCCTATGTAATAAAACAACCAAATTGTGAAAACAGTGATTCTCTCAAAATCGTTCTCATTCCCATCATACTCGTCTAACTCTTGCGTCAGTAGAGAAATGGAAGAATCCATTCGATAAAATACACTTTGACTGCATGCCCAGGGGAACCGCGGTTTTTACCCCTTAATGAATTGGTATACAAATGAACCGCGTCTATTTCGTTCTGTGCATTGTGCTCACGGCACTTGTATGTGCATATGATGTTAACCCTCTGTTGTCTTTCAGTGCTCCTTTCAAGGAATACTACCAAGATGGTAAATACGCCCCGTACACAGTGAGGATTAGGTACTAGAAAAATCCGTAATTGGCAGTGTACTGGAGATGGAATCGTTAACGAGTATTTCGTGAGACTTACTCCAGATCGCCAAAGTAAGAACGGTGTCTTGTGGGCAGACAATACATTTAACAAGGGTGAGTTTGTGACGACCATCAAGTTCCGAATTAGCGGCCAAGTTAGGATTATCGATTTGGCTTATGGGTAGGGCAGTTCCCTGTTTGGTGATGGATTTGCAGTGTTTTTTACGAAGCATCGCAGCCCCATTCCTGTAAGACTGATTGTTTCATGTTACGAGTCAGGGAAAGATGTATTCGCTAACTGACGTCTACTATGGATTCGCCGTGGTGTTCTCCACCTTCCGAAACACTGAAGTACCTTTGATGTCTATTTCCCACCCAGTTCTCTCGCTATCACCGCGATATCGCTATCTACCTCGGTGATGGCTACTCCAACGCCTTCACGCAAGACAAAGACCACACCGGCTGCTACGCCCGCTACCGCTTCCACGAGAAACGCCAAGACTTCTCCGTTTCCCCGTTTCTCCATTTTGATTCTAGGTGGACAACTACGCGGTGGTGAAGATCGGCTACTCGGAATCCACGGGGCTGGTGCGCGTGGCGATCGACGAGAAAAACACGGGGAAGTTCACCACGTGCTTCACCGAAGCGACGCATTTCGAACCGGGCTGGTGGAGAGAAGCGACCATCGGGATCAGCGCCACGACCGGGCAGCTGGCGGACAACCACGACATCCTGTCGGTGGAAACCGTGGAAGGCGAGGGGGACCCGGACAAGGTGGCTGTGAGCGTCCCGCGGGAAATCAAGGAGCTGGAGGAGGAGGAAAGCCACACGTTCCGCGAGATGATGACGCGGTACAGCGTGAATGAAGCGGCGCTGAGCGACTCGGCGAAGAAACTGCTGAAGGCGATGGAGCGCGTGGACCAGCGGCGTCATTTGGGGCTGAATAAGATGAAGCGAGAGCTCGAGCATAAGATCGTGGGTAGGTTTTCCCGCGGGGAATGAGGGGTAGCGGTGGATGAGTCACTGAACAACATGATAAAGAAGCTGCAGAAGTCGAGCGATCTGTCGGAGAGCCGGATTCGCGAGGTGGAAAGCTCGCTGAAGTCGGAAGTGTCCTCGCTGATGAGCAAGAAGCTGGATGAGCGCGTGCGAATCGTGGAGGAGGCGTTTAATAAGTCGCTGAAGGCGGCGGTCAAGCGAAGCAACACGGCGTGGATGATTCCGTTCGCGCTGGTGGTGGTCGTGATCGGAGGAGTGCTGATTGTAGTCTATGGCAAGTACCGAACCGCGCAGAAGACTCATCTTTTGTAAACGTCTGTGGGTAGAGTTTGGGTGTTTGTTGGGAACAAAGAGAGAAGTGGGTGGGATTTGGAGAAGCGAGAAACATGGAAGGAATGGGAGCGAGAATCGAAGATTTTTGTTTGGGATGGTTTGGAAATGGTGATTTTGAGTTCGAGAAATGGAAAAATTGATGAATCATCGATCAGATGATCCTATCTATAGAATGCTATTCACTGGTTAATCTTTAAATCATTTACTGCACTGCAATCTACTCCACTCCACTCCACTCCACTCCACTCCATATCATTCCTTTTTCAAACAAACACTCCACTCTTCTTCCTCTTCCAATTCCTCTCCACCCTTCGCGATCTTCACTTCATAGCTCACGCTGCAGCTTCCCCACGAGCTTTTCGAGTTATCGAACACCAGCCTCATCATTCCATCCGCTCCCGCCTTCCACTTCCCGCTCTCCAGCGAGTTCTGCGTGCTGACGTGCTTCTGCATCACCGTCTCCACTTCCTTTCCCTGCTGCACGAACAGCACTTTGAAATCGATTTCGCGGTCCAGCGTGCTGAAATACCAGCCGATCGTCTCTCCGCTCGCGATCGGCAGCTCCACCTACCCCTAACAACAACGCGGTTTCGGTCCTACATTCTCCGCACTTCCGCCGTGTACAGTTAGAACGTCGGTAAACGCGGAAGTTTTCTATTCGACATGTGGATCATGTCCTACTTCGTTAATCGCTTTTCCGGGTACGCAGCCCCCTTCACACTCGCAGGAACCGCCGTAAATCTTCGGGAGATCCTCTGCTTTGAAGTAAGCGAGAAGCATGGCTGGGCGAGGAATGCGCTTCAGCTTTTGCTTCTGAAGAGTCGTCATCCAGGGCTGAATGACTGAAAAATAAGAATAAAAAAGAACGAAACAAACAGTTCCAGAAGAAATTAAAAATGGGAGGATAATTTACAACATAAATGACGTCACACGTTTCGGGATAATAGTACGTGTGAATTAAAATCATCTCCTTGAAGATTGACATGGCCTTCAGATTCATGTGGCGCGACAGCGAAAGCCCGTCTAAATCGATAATTGTCGCGTTACCGACGTAGTCAACGCCCAAATTCTTGCTTGCTTCGCGCGAGAGCTTGTCCATGTATTCATTGTAGTAAATGTGAGCAGAGATGATTTCCTCTGTGGAATATCGCTATGAAATAAACAGATATCAAAACAAAGGAAAACGCATAAAATATGGCGAAGATTCAAATGACCCACATTGAACATAGTACAAGGCTACGTGAAATACTCTCCACTAACAATACTCTTCCATAGCGATCTGTTTTGTGCGTTTTGTACAGCAGAATTCGGGAAATCGTATCGTGATTCTGCGGAAAAAACACTACCTTACTCGTACCTTCTTGATAACTTCATTTTCCAATATCGAATCGATATTATTGTCCCGTCTCCAAGCGACCAGGCGTTGAATTCGACTCACTACGGAACATGCCACAGACCTTCCTTACGAGCGCTTCGTTTATTGAAATTCGACGTATACAAGTAGCGAAAGAGCAACTGGTCCTCCAAAGTCTCCGTCACTTCTAGAGTTCATTGTTTTCCTATTCTTCTCACCATTCTGTTTGATGTATGTTTTGAACTCCTCCAGCGCTGGTTTCTTCTCTTCAGGGATTTTGAAGTTTTGCATTTTAAAAAATCACTGTCCTAAGAGTGAGAATCTATCTGTATGACAAGAGATTATAAAGAATTGTGATGACTGGTTATGTATTCTAATGCACAGATACAAGGAGTTACCGAAAATCACAGTCTTCTTTCTGTTGATCTCCATTGTTACTGGAGCTCTTGTCACAGGTAAATCTGCTTATTCAAAAGGTAAACTGCAGCACAGAATCGGTGGATAATGTATTTCTCAATTCATCGCCGAATTCTGTTTTCCAAGAGAGGCGTACTTTTTAACTTATTTGAATGTAAGACACTAGCTCTTGTGTTTGATCCCATCCATTTTCTTCACGGGAAAGCTCTCTGTTGGGTTTTTGTTCTCTGCAATCTTCGATATGAAGTGTATGTGGGGTTTAGAGAGCAACACGTTTAAGAACCACAAGGCGGACTTTCTCTGGATGCTCATTTACTGCGCTCTGGGCACATGTGTTCTAAGCCTGTTCGTTCCTGCGTACATTATTATCGGTATCTCGCTGCGCTATTTCATCCTGTATTACTGGGCACGCCGAAATCCCTTTTTCAAAGTGAGCCTGTACTTCATCCCCTTGAAGTCGACGTATCTCCCCTTCGCTCTTCTTCTCCTGAATTTCGTCACAACTGCCGAGTTTTTCTTTCCATTCAGATAATGAGAATAGAATTCCTTGGAGTGGAATCATCGGCGTCCTCTTGAGTCATGCGTATTACTTTGCGCGTGACGTCGTTCCTATTGTGTATATGCGTCAGAAGAAGCCGATTCCGCGAATAACACGTGCTCCAATGTGGCTGTGAGGAAGAATGTGGAGATTGAGGTGTAGGAGAAAATTGTGCGGAGAAGTGTACGAAATCAAAGAACATAGAGAGTAGTTGCAAGGAGTGAAGTTCGCAAAAGGAAGGAGAGAATCAAGATTAATTTGAGTGTTGTAGGGGGAAAACGTTTTATGGATTTTGTGATTCTGTACCTTGTAATTTTTGTTTTAACGATTGTTTTGCTGGTTACACCCCTGAATGTCGTGCTGAGGCGTTTTCACGACTATTTACGTTCGCAAAATGATGGAAACGAAGAGTCATACATATTTAATTCCTTGTTGATTTGTAGAATGAAGAAGAAGGAGGATTGACTGTACTCCGGCGCCTACTATTTCATATCGAGCATTTACTTCATTTGTATATTATGAATACGATCTGTTTGATCTAAACAACTAAACACTTCAACGAAATTATCTACATATCTATTTTTTGTTCAACTTTTCACTTCAGATGGACAAGAAGGAAGAGAGTAAGGTCGAATTCTGAGTAGTGATGTCTTAGAAAAGGTTGAACTAACTCAGGAGGAAGAAGAGTTAAAAGTCACAATTGCACAGAAGGAGCGCATGGAAAGGGACCATGACGCTATAAAAGAATATTATAAAGTACATTCAATGCCATTTTATCAACTCTAGGGTTTACTCAAGGAATGGGCCGACGATTTGGCTGCCCGTCCTCTAGAAGAGAAGAAATCGCCCGAGGGACGAGAAGCAACGAAACAATGTCAACAGGTTGCTGATACTCTCAAGGGATTCTTCAAATTGTGCACAAAGCGAGTGCGTTTTTTATAATTATTGTGAATGGTAGCGAATTCCCTATGATATTCGTCGCAACTTGCTAAAGATACGTGATCAAATGGAGGAAGGAGATTACCGAGAAGTGATGAAATGAGTTGGAGATGAACTGTAGGCATACCGCACCTACCTGTTGATCACAGTCGGAAATGCTGCTTGGCCGATCGGAGTAGCTGCAACCGGAATCTACGAACGGTCAAGTCGCGAGCGCATCACACAATCGAGCGTTGGACGTGATTGCAGAAAGATTAGTTGATGCGTAGATGCGATGCTGAACGATACAGTGCGAATTTACCTGACCATGATCAAGCGTTTGATGAATTATAAAGAATCCAAGTCTCCTGGGGTCGTTCCTTCAGGTTGTATTTTACCCGCAAAGTGTTCTGTTTGTTCACAAACGCTGCTACAAAGCATACGCGCTTCGTAATACGTCGGAATTCTCAAGGGAAAACGAATAGTCGTGCTTTCAGTTCAAAGGAACTATTATCAGTAGTCTCGAGGTAGGTATATTTAAAGTCTTTGTCCTCTTTTGTGCAAGCATATGGGGAGGACATGGTTTGAGCTTTTTTCTTTGACATTTCACTTTTTGCGCACTTCGACTAATTCGGTGTGTAGACTCTATAGAAAATGGATCAGGAGAGTTTTCAAAAATTTGAAAATCTGTGCAACGCTGTTTTCGGCAATGTTGGAAATGGTAGTACTCCCGAAGCTCGATCAATGCTTGAATCAATCTGCTTGAGTCCTGATTTCGTGGAAAAGTCTGAGTTGGGACTTTGGTTCGTTCTGACTAATAGAACCATTTTCGAGAACTCGAAAAACATTTACGCGCTTCATGTAACAGGCACATCGCTGATCAAGGTTATGACTGATTACTGGAATAACTACGACATTGATCAAAAGTTAAGAATCCGTATGATTGCAAGAGCGTGATCGACATAGGCGACTTTGTTCTTGAATATCTAATCAAGAACGGGATTAATCTTCCGAAACACGTCACCACTACCCTTTGTACATTAATCTGCCGTATCACAAGTCTATCCTGGATGATCGACACGCGTCAGCGCGACATTCTCGACAAGATGCAGAAATTCACCGAGTCTCCCGAGAACTGTGTGCTCGCCCTCAAGATTCTCGACGAATTAGTCAACGAAATCAATCCCCAAAGTACCTCTGTTTCCCCTTTTCCACCCAGAAAAAAGCACCGTGCAGCAGAACAAAACGGCTCTCAACTTCCGAGACACCAACCTCTTCAACATCCTCAAGCTGGCGGTGGACATGCTCTCCAAATCGCTCATCACCGACGACGCCACGATGGGATCCCCCGATCTTCGCTACCAGCTCTACGACGCTTCCCTGCAGCTCTTCACGCGGTGCTGCTCGTTCGACAGCAAGGTGAGCGCGGGAGAGGAGCTCTGGGAGATCCACCCGACGCTGAATCTTCCGGAGAAGTGGATGCGCGACGTGCTGCAGAACAAGACGTTCGAGCTGCTGTTTAACGTGTACAATCAATGCGTGGATCCGCTCACGACGACCACGCTGGACGCGCTGCTGTGGCTGCTGTACGCGCCTCGCGCGGATTTGTACGCGGCGGAGACGAGCGAGGACATCTTCGGGACGATCATGAAGGGACTGACGGGGATTCTGAGCAGCAAACACGGCTTGGACAACCCGGACACGATCCACAGCTTCGTGCAGATCGTGGATCGTTTCAAAGTGAGGGTGGAGCTGTGGGTTTATGGATAGATGGTGATGAATCTGCGGCTCTCGCCCGAGCCCGTGCTGCGGACCTACATGGGCCAATTGCAGGAGTTTACGAGCCTGCTGCTGGGGAATCTCGAGGCGTACCACAACTCGCTCACGTACTTGTTCCATTTCTGGTCGGTGCTGGCGCAGGATCTCGCGCGTTCGATGGGCGAGAGCCTGCGCGAGGTGAAGGAGATCATGGAGAAGGTAGTGCTCCAGCTCGCGGAGCAGTACATCCGGCAGCGCCTGGGCTTCGCCGAGGAGTTCATCCAGAGCGTGAAGGACGACGTGCTGTGCGACATGGACTCGGTGTATTGGGAAATGAAGTACATCGGACTCATGCTTCGATTCAAGCTCGATCTCGGGAGCAAGCTCGTCGCGGATCTCTACGACGCGCTGCTCCGCGAATACAACGTTGCTCTATCGCTCCTCTTTCACTGCAGAACCAGGGCCGCATCGCCACCACGCTGCGCATCAGCGGCGGAAACAACACGCAAATGCAGTACCAAACCGTCGTTCTGGAGTGTATCCCTCCTCCCTTTCCCCTCAACCCCAGGCAAACTCGCCTGGATGATCCACTTCATCACTCACATCCTCGCCGGTCAGCGGTTCTCCGTCGCCCAGGTCGATCAGGGCGAGGAAGTCATCGACGCCGATCTCTGCAAGCGCGTTTTCAACCTCAGCCACTCCATCTGGTATCGCATGAACATGGTTCCACGTTTCCACTGTTTGGGAGTGTAGAAAAACTCCGATCGTCCCGATCCGCGTCTCGAAATCGCGATTATCACGTTCTTCTCCACCTTCCGCGAGATGTACCGCCGACTCCCGCGGTTAATCGTAGCTTCTCATCGCTCACGTTGCAATCGGTAACCGAGAGCAACTCGATCGCGTACCAATCCATCTCCACCATGAAGCAAATGGCATGCTCTCTTTGTCCCGCCTCTCACAGCTAGGCGTTCGGGCGTTTCTTCGAGCGAATGGGCCTGGGCGACTTCACCGCGATTATGAACAAGATCGTGGAGAAGGTGTGCAGCAATTTACGCTACTGGGGCGACACGGACTGCGTCATCGAGGTGAGTCTCCGTCTGTTTTTGGAGCTGAGCCGAGGCTACCAAGGCTGCCGCATGCTTCTCGGGCTCGAAAGCGTCGAGTTTCTCCTCCAGAACCACACCGTTCCATTCGAATTCGATCGTCTCACACGCAGGAAGAGACCTTCAAGTTCCTGGGCTCCCCGCGGTTATTGTCGATGCGGAACCAGTACTACGCCTCGCTGACGCGGTTGGTGCTGATGGACAACGTGCCCGGACGCCTGGAGATGTTCCTCGCGCCCTTCCTGTCGATGCTGCAGCTGCTACAGCAGCAGCAGGACTTCGCGCAGGGGAACGTAACAGTATTCCGCGGAGAGCCGGTGCGATGTAGATCCAGCTGGTGAAGCTGTTTAAGGATCTGCGAGGCGTGAGCGACTCCTGCACGGATTCGCGGTCCTATGGAATTCTATTCGAAACTTTGTAGCCAAAATCAGGGGAAATTCTGGAGTAGATCGGAGCTGTTATTCGCGGTAATGCAGAAGACGGTGTCGGCGTTCCACGGGAATGACGAGGTGTGCAACGCGATGCTCCGCTGCCTGGTTTCGTTCGTGTAATACTATTCCTCTCCCTGCACCGCAGCTCGAACGACGATTCCCGCGTGGATTCCGGCAGCACCAGCACCAACGGTATCACGCTCTTCAAGAAAACCGCGGTGATCCTCTGCGAGTACATCCAGCTTCTGATGGCGTCGTACCAGGATTTCGTGGGCGATAACCGCGGGGATGATGGGTAGTCGTTGGCTCCGGACGGAGTGTTCACGTGCGCGCGGCTGGTGCTGCAGGCGCTGAATAAAATGCTGAGTAGGGGAGGGGAAGAGGAGGTCGATGCTAGCGGGGAAGTACGTTCCGTTCGGCGTGTTCGTGCTGTATAACGACAACTGCCTGCAGCAGACGCTGGAGGCGTGCATGACGATCGTGCTGCGCATGCCGTTCTTCCAGATGGAGGTGGAAACGGGGAACCGGAGTGAGGGATAGAAGCGGCAGAAGCTGGAGAAGGCGGCGTTTACGTTTATTGATATTCTGTTTACGAACCATATCGAGACGCTGAGTCGCATGGCTCCGGAAGGGTTCATCAACTTGATGCGGTTTGTGGTGATTGGATTGGACGCGTATGGTAGGGAGAATGGGAAGGAAGGGCTGACGCGTAGATGAGGAGACGATGGGCAAATGTGCGGATTGCATCGATCAGCTGGCAACGTATTATTATCTGAACCGGACGCGAGAGACGCCGACGATGCTGCGGTTGAATCAGATCGTGAGCGAAAACGCGTCGCTTTGGAACGATTTGTTCGAGAAGATTATGAACTCGCTGCTCTTTAATAAGACCTCAAGTGATATTTTGTCGAGGCCGATTCACTCTATTTTGCTAGTGGATATCAATGTCGCCGAGAACTATTATAGAGTGATCGCTTCCAGACAGCCGAATGATGTGATTATGAAGCTCAAGAATTCGATGATAACGCTGACACAGAATATGGACAAAACGTTAGAGCCTATCTTAAGAGATCAGTTCTGTGAAAAATGTAAAGACTTCAAAAATGAGGTGTTAAGTTATCTTGTTCTTTGGCGTGTTTGTGCTAACAAGCAAATAAACAAATAAAAAAATATATGGGTTACGCTGCAAGTCGCTTTCTTCCCTTGCTCCGTCTATTTGCGAGAATTTGGCGACCATCACCTAGAGATCGTTCGAATTTTTGTAATTTCTACTTGTTGCTAAACGATGTAAAAATCCGTGCTTTCTTTGACGACGAATATTGCTCGGTTGGAAAGTTCTCTTAATAAACGAAAAAGGGCTTATCACTGTATATCAACCAATTTTACTAAGAGCAAATACATGAGTCAACTAATGGGAACAGTCTCAACGAGGTTAGACCCAGAGCACTTCCATAAATCGTAACAATGGCAGGCTGAAGGAAGGTAAACCCTATATGTAATGAATCGGCATCAAAATCGAACGAGAAACTAGAGCCATTTTTACGAAATAAAGCAAAAAAGCAATGCGGCGAAAACGGTTATTGTGTGCATTTGCCGATGGCCGAGGTTCTATTGATTTGCAAGTATTAGAATAGAGTTTATTGCGGCCTTTGCCAATATCTCAGCAAGACAGTACTGTTAAGAAATATAGTTTTGAGTTTTCTTTTCGTTCAATATAGAGTTTCTAAAAGACTTTTATATCCTTCGAGAATTGGCAAATCGTATATTGCAGCAGAATGGAAGAAGAAATTCATAATAAAAGGGAAGAAGATGAGAATACAACTGATAAGATAAGTCGTAGGGTTTATTAGGGAGCATATTATTTCAGTCGAATTAGATGAAGAAAATATCCCTCCCACAATGGGGAGTTTATTTAATACAGGAGACAAGGAAGTCCCCATTTTGTGTATAAATGATTTTTCGATTCGAGATCACAATGGTATGGGTGTTAGTATTTGATTCATATCAGGAAACTGCGTTTCATTGTTGGATGTAGCTCTTCCAAGGGAAAAGATCAATCAAACCATCTATTTAAAGGGAACATGCGTGTGTCCTTTCCCTGAAAAACGCAAATACGAGGAAAACCCTCTCTTCTTCGATGAGCCCCTTTCTGAGCCTCCCCTCACAGTTCTTCCCGCGCCTCCTTCCCCGCTGAGTAGTTCTGATGAAAACGAAGTTCCTCGGAAGTACTCCCTGCGTCATCGCTCACCAGCTACTGCATCGACCGCTCCTACAGAGCATGAATCAAATTCTACCAAATCTAGAACTCGATCTGCAACAACAACAGCAGCGGGAGCAGCAGCGGGAGCAGCAGCGGGAGCAGCAGCAGCGGCGGCGGATCAGCCTTTGGTGATTCCATCTAGCGTTCCGTTCGAAGCAGGCGTTGTGACAGTGCTGAGCCTCGGCGAAGTGAAAAACGCGCCCAATTACTTCACGAAGAAAAACCTCTTCCCCGTGGGATTCAAGAGTAGTCGTCTCTACACCAGCATCTACCATCTGGAGTTTTTTTCAATCTGCTTTGTGACTCCTAGCGAGAAAATCAAGTACATCTCCGAGATTCGCGAAGGGCCCACGAGTCCCGTCTTTGCCGTGTATCCCGAAGTCGATCCCAGTCTCGTCTTCGAGGGCACTTCCGCGAGCGGCGCTTGGAAGAAGATCCTCCTCAAGATCAACGATCTGCGCGAGGAGGCGGGCATTCCGCGCACCGTCGCGTCGGTTTCAGGCAGGATCGGAGGTGCGGAGTGACGGGCAGGTCCGGAAATGTTCGGCTTGGCCAATCGCAGCGTGGTGGCGGCGATCGAGCGGCTGCCAGGCGTGGAGCAGTGCAAGGGATACACGCCTACGACGTTTGAGGAGAACGTGGTACTGGGAAATGCCCAGTCGGAGCAGGGTAATGCCGAGTTCAAGGAGGGCAATTCTCCGATGGGCAAGGGAGATTCGATGGGAAATGCCGAGTTGGAGAAGGGAAATGCCGAGTTGAATGAGCATGACTCACTGGGCAATGCCGAGTCGGAGAAGAAGCCGCGCATTCCGCAGGGAGACGGGCAGCAGGACGAAAGCGACTTCGATATGGAGGACGAGTTTGACGAGGACGACGAAGCGGACGCGGTCGGTGATTTGGACGACGACGACGACGACGACGATTTGCCTTCGCTCTCTGAATCGATTCTGGTCGAATCGGACGAGGAGCCCGCCTCCCCGCGGGGAAAGCGCACCAAGCGTCCCGCCAGACCGCGTTCGGCTCCCACGCATAGCACGCATAGCACGCATAGCACGCATAACACGCAAAGCACGCAGCTGCGCGTTCGCTGCCGCATCACCCCCGAAGGCGTCGAAGCCGAGGACACGCTCATGTACCGCCCTCCCCTCCCTCCCATTTAGCGACGAAACGCCCTCCCAGACGCCTCAGACGCCTCAGACGCCTCAGACGCCTCAGACGGACACGAAGCCCCGCGCGACGCGCCGAGCGAGCTCTCGATCGACTTCCCGCGGCAGTTCCCGCGCGCAGACGCGCTCCAATCAGCGCGAAGCGAAGCTGCCCGCGCCCTGGACGCAGCCGAGCCGGCGTGGGCGGCGGTCGGAGCAAATCTCGGAGGAAGCGCTGTTTGCGCTGGATATGAGCGGAACGTACCGCTGCGGATTTGAGGCACTGGTGAAGAAAAATGGGCGGGTGACGGTACGCGCGGTGTCTTCTTCGCTGGTGGTTCGTGATGGAGCCACGAAGGTGATTGGACGCCTAATGTGGAAACGTGGAAACCGAGTCAGGTGTAGGAACGTGATTTCGAACGATCTGCGATTCGGGGAATTCGGACATGCGCTGCAGTTGATGTACACCTTCCGTGTGTTCCCGCTCACCGCCAATCAGATCCGAATCGCGGGACTCGACGAGTTTTTGGCGGACTTAGCGAAGAGCGAATATCCCGCGGTGGCCGGCGAAGCCGATGCGTTGCTGCGCCATTTCAAAGCCAAACCGGCTTCGAAGCGGGAGCGAATCCCCGCGGAAGTCGAAGAGGATCGTCGACAAACCCGCGGGAAACGTGTGAAAGTAGCGGAAGAGACGATCACCGAGATTCCCCTGTTTCCCGATTCGAGTCGATTGGAGCCGGTATTCTCGGCTTCCCCGCGGGAAGTCTCCGTTTCGGTGCGGATCGTGTACTGGGGAATCCACTACAATAACCGCGGTTGCTTTTTATTCGCGAAGAGCGAGCGGTTTTTGTTCGTTCTTCGCAGCCCCTTGCTGCGGTCGGCGCCGTGCGCGGAGTATTTGGGGCATTTCCTGCGGGAGCGACGGCTGTTCGAGAGCTGCAGCGCGGTGTACAGAGTGATGCAGAATCCGTGGGAGAAGGGTCTGGATTTGAACTATGGGTTTGTGCTGAATGAAGTGTGGAATCAGAACCGAAACGACGATGTGCTGATCGTGGAGGAGGATCTGATCATGGAGTATCCGGTGCTTCGAAGAGAGCTCCGCGCGCTGGACCGAATGAAAGGCGACGCGGCGAGCGTGGCGACCTTCGAGATGAACAACTTCGTGCAGACGTTGGAGTTTGAATATGAGTGCTGGAGGAAAAACACGGCCTTGCCGTACAATTCGATGACCACGGCGGAATATCGGAGTAATCAGCTGCGAACTGATGCGCACGTGATCGAAGCCATTCAGAACGGAACGCTGCCGGCGTCAAGCTGTGCGGAGTTCCCCGCGGTTACGGAGTGCGCGAAGGAGGAGCTGACGTGTTCGGATTGGCTGTGAGAGAGAAGCGTGGAAATGAGGCGTAGACAGATGGTGGAAGTGTGGAACTTCATTCACTGTTACCACGATTTGCTGGGCGTGCCGAACGTCTCGCAAGTGCCGTTGAATAAAGTCTCGTTCTTCAATTTGTCGATCCAGTCTTCGAAAGAAACGACTCCTTACTTCGCGAATGCGATTCAGATCCTCACGAAATTTCTGATCAACGAAGAGATCAAAAAGAGAACGTCGATTCGAAAGCAAATGCGAGTCGTGGGCTGGGTGAAAACTCTCTTCCAGTACACGTTGTTCTCCGCTCTCTGCGATAATGATAACTACGTGGAGTACGTTCGAGGCTTTTTCAATCCGTCGGTCCACGAAATTGGTTGTTTTTTCTGAGAGGGAGTGATTTTGTAGATGAAACGGACGATGTGTGGACGCGGATGAAGCTGGTGTTGATTCAGATCATGCGGCATCCGGACTGCGTGTATTTCCTTCATCCGGTCGATGAGGTTCTCTGCGATGTTCCGGACTATCGGAACATCGTGAAGCAGCCGATGGATTTGGAGACGATTTGCCAGCGTGTTGCGAGTGGATGGTACACGGATCCGATCGAAGAAAGCGAAAACAAGGAAGAGGGAGAGGAAGCGAGTGAGGATTCAGAGAGAGAAAGTGAACGAGAGAACATGGAAATCGAAGAAACTGCGAGTCAACCAAACGAAACGAAGCAGGAAAAGAATGAATCCAATGAACCCAATGAATCCAATGAATCCAATGAACCCAATGAACCCAATGAACCCAATGAATCGATCAAACCCACCAAATCGAATGAATCCACTCAAAACCATCCTGACAAAATGGAGATCGAGGAAAGCTCCGAAAGCTCGGAAGTCTCCGACAGCAGTGACAGTTTCATCGAGTCCGACGAAACGTCCGGCAATTCGGACTACGTGGAGGAGCCCGAGCCCAAGAAGAAGCCGCAACGCCCTCCCACCGGCGACGGCACGAGCCATGGCCGCGGGATTTACGGAGTCGTGGAGGATTTGAATCTGATCTACACGAACTGCCGCTTGTACAACGGATCGGACTCTTCGCTCTATCGCTACGCGATGAAGATGATGGATCTCACGGGCACGCTGCTTCGCGACTGGATCCTCCCGCTCGATCCCTCCATCGCCGAGCTCTTGCCGCAGCGACTCACCGAAAAAGCGGAGAACGACAATGAAGCGCCTCGCAAACGCCATCGAAAGCGCGCCTCGCATCGATCGATCCTTTCGAAGTTCCCCGAAGTGAAGTCGATTCTCTCGACCTTAGCGACCTCTTCCATCACGTCCCTCCCCATCCAATCGCAAGTCACGCTCTTGAAAGCACTCTTTACCGCGGTGAATCAGCTCGGAAGCGTTCATGAGGAGCGGGAACACCGCGAAGCCGCGCTGGCGAACACCAAACGCGAGCTGGAATCGATTTCGACGCAGCTGGTCGAGCTGGAAGCGGTCTACGCGCGCCAAGAACTCGCCAATCGCAAACATTTTTACGACGTCGTCGCCAAATCGTCGCTTTCAGCCTCTCTAAAGAAACAAATGCGATCCTATCGATACATCCCTTCCGAAACGGGGAAACTCGCGCAGGAACGCGAATTGGCGCAGTTCCTCGCGAAGAAAAACGCGTCGATTTCGGACATGCGACAGCGAATTGTCGAATGCAATAAGCGAATCGACGAAGCACAGAAACGGCTCTGGATCGTCTATTCGCTCGGAAGAGATCGATACAATCGGGAGTATATTTGGCTTCCCGGAGAAACGCCCGCGCGTCTGTGGGTTTTGAACCATCCTCAGGACTCGATCGGGTTTTTATGGAACGCCGAGCAGCTCGACGAGCTGTTCCGATGGCTGGATAACCGCGGGAAGAGCGAGCAGTTCCTGTATTCGTCGCTGTGTCGCTGCAAGCCTCAGTTCCAGCAGGCGATGCGGACTTCGCTGCAGTCGGCTCCCCAGCTTTTCGGCGATTTGACGCACGTGAGCGCTCGGAAGATGCGCGAAATCGACCAGAACTCGGTGTTCCTCTATTCGGACTCGAACAAGACGGAGCTGGTGCAGAGCCACGGCGACTCCATCGGGATTCGGTGGGTTTCGTTCCCTGGGATTTGGTCGGTGACCGCCGACGACCACATGATCAGTCCGATGCTTCGCTCCATTCTCAGCTCGCTGTTCATCCCTCTTTTCCTCCGCAGTGACGCGGATCGCGAGGCGATCGCCGCGTTTACGCGCTCTCTCGACGTCTCTCCGCTCTCTCTCGAAGCCTACCAATCGATTCTCTTGCGTCTCGACGAGCTCATCTGCTCCTCCGTCACTCGCTCGTACATCCAGCCCGACTGGATCTTCACGCGCGAGTTCTGGAAGCAGCAAGTGCAGCAGGCGCAGACCTTCGCTTCCTTGCATTATCTCCTCGGCGTTCTGAAGACGCTCGCCGTGGATTTCGTCGTCGTCGACGCGTTGACGCGGACGACGACGCGGGAACGCTTCCTCCGCGCGCTGGAGAAGCAGGTGAAGGTGGTTCCGGGGTTCCCGACGGAGGGCGAAACGGTGGTGTATTACGCGAAGGGACATCGCGAATCGATCCTGGACTTCTTCCGGAGCAATCGGTTCAGCGGGATTTTCGACAATCAAGAAAAGGAGCAGGAAGAAGACTGTCTCTGCAAGGTGCAGCGCATTGAGTACTTCGAGGGCGCGGGGAATCCATTCATCCGGCTGACGCTGAAGCCGATTGCGTCGACCTGGCTTCGCATCCTCGTCCAATCCTACTACAATTCGCTCCAGAAGGACCACATCGAGATCACCATCGATTCCCCCGAGAAGGAGGAAACGCTCCGCGATCCGTTCGTCGTCACGTGGTGGCTGGCGAGCAACCAATCCGATTTCCTCGTCCCCATCGAGAAATATCTCACTTCCTTCAGCAACAATCTCCGCGAGAAGGACCGCTTCCGCATGTGGTTCCAGGGCGTGGAGTCCACGCTCTCCACGCAGCGACGCAAGCGAAAAGACGCGCGAGCGGAGGGCTCGTTCCTCTACGGCGCGATCGTGCGGATCGACCCCTACGAAGGCGGGTTCTTCCCGTGGGAGTGCGTCCATGTCGAGTGGGAAGGCTCGGGCGCGGAGGCGGGAACCGAGCGGATTAATCCCTGGGAGTGCGAGTGCGACACGCGGGAAACGAGGGAGAAACGCGAGGGAGCGGCGCGGAGCGGCGGGCGGGCGGAGTCGCACCGCCTGGGCGAAGAAGAGCTGAAAACGGCGAAGCAGAAGGCGGCGGAGGTGGCCGCGACGCACACGAAGCGAGAAGGCGAAGAGTTCTTCCAGTTCCTGACGAAGTTCTGGGAGCAGCGAGGGATGGAGGTGCAGCGTCCCATGCTCTCTTACGAGGAGCTGGACTTGGGTCTGTTCTGGAAGCTGATGCAGTGCTACGGGGGCTACGAGATGGCGGTGAACACGAAGGGGTGCTGGGCGGACATTCACAAATTGCTCCCCAATTTCCGCGCGCAGAACACGTCCGCGCCAACGTCGCTGCACAAGATTTATCTGCGGTATCTGTGGCAGCTGGAGAAGGAGCAGAGAGAGGAGAAGGGACTGCCGCCGATCGTGGAGCCGAGGCTTCCGTTCCCCACAACGCCGGGGAAATCGAACGGATTGAAGGCGAAGGTGGAGGAGAAGGAGGAGAAGAAGACGTCGTCGATCGATCTGGCGTTGGAAGAGGCAGGACCCGGGATTCAGTTTATCGCGAGAGTTCTGAAGGAGCAGGAGAAGTGGAAGGGAGTGTTACAGACAAAGTATAAAGTAATGAACGCATCGTTGGCGTATGAGCCGGGAACGATCCAGACAATCCAGGGAGAGGAGCGGGATCAAGCGTATAGTGCGATTGTGTATGGAAATGGATGTATGATTCGCAGGCAAATCGAAATGATAACGAAGTTCGTTTCACAGCTCAAGTCTATATTAAATCATTATTTCTGTGTTGTTTGATTGTACACATGAGCCAGTCGAAAGAGGGAGGAGAAGGGAAGGGATGTGGAGAGGACCAGAGTGAAGTTTGCGATTCTGTTCGCACCATCGTTGTGAAGAGTGGGATCGAGCTCAATCTATCTACACTCGATACGTATTTCCTCGGAATGTGGAGTTGCCATGGAAATAAATACCGAAATCCGCAGTTTAAGCGATTACAGCGATATGGAACTGTAAAAACAGAGTCTTCGTTTTTTGTAAAGTCCAAGAGTCATTCCACGACTTTTTTATAACAAAAATATCATGAGTTTCGATAGAAAGTGAGATAACAAGGTTGCAGTCTTCGTTTCCGCACAGTAATATATACAGTGCCCCAAATAATATCTTTCCATGATAAATGATCTTCGCAGACGATTGTTTGGTTGTCAGGCAGTGGAATCTATTGCAAAGAGGGTTGTAATGAATACCTTTCCCTGTTTCATCAATGTTTGATTCACAATGAACTCGTTTTTAACAGCGGACAGGCAAAAGCAAGCATTCTTAGAATAGCGCTGATGATTTGTGGAGTATCTCTTTAGTTCAAACCTTGTAGAGTCTGTGTCAAAGTATATGGTTTCGGATCGCAACCGATAACTGGTCCAATTCATAGGATAAACACCGCGATCCAGTATTTGGCAGACATTGTATCTTTTCACTATCTACAGATGGGAGAATGGCCGTATCCCATACTTCAAAAGCGAGGTTGTAGCATGTTTCATATTGCAAATACAAGCAAGAATCCATTCCAGACATCGGCTCATAGGTATTCTTTGGAGATTCCCCCTCTTCGAATTTCTTGTTTTCCCCAGCAGAAACCGCAAAATCAATATTCGAATCAGAGAGTGGTGGTACAATAGGTGATTTCTTTATAGGGGAAACGGATTCGATCGAAAATTGCATAATTGCTTTGAAAATAGGGTGAGAAATAAAAATATATAATTAAAAGGGAAAACAGGAGAAACACGACATTTCGAAAGTGTCCAACGAAATGCAAAAATTGATCGTATGACGAATATGGACTATGTATTCTTTCTTATTTGTGAGGAATTCAATTCAAGGGTTTTTTGTGCATTCTCACTGCCGAAAATATATGTGGAATAATGAGTCTCGCAACAGAATCAAGAAAAACATAACGATTGCATTTTCCTATTTCATCAAATACAAAACCTCCCTTTCTTTTCATAATGGATGTAGCAGGTATTTCTTAATGAGTAGAATAACAATTTCTTATCAATCTTTGTACTCCAATTGAGAAATAGACCACTTATCAAGTATTGTTTCTATTATTGTTTTTGTATATGAATACTTCAAGTATAAAACTGTTTTTAATTGTCACCCTATGCGTATTCGAATTGTCAACTCTTAAGATAAGGTGAACTTATGGATAAGTCTGAAAAACTGTACTACTTCCGCAAATTACCCGTATATTCCTTTTTCTATTAACAACTATAGAGGTTTACATGTCTTAATGGGACTTTTACCTATAAGACAGCAAGTACAGAAAGCTGTATTTCTTGATCGTGGTAATACGAATTTAGGAAAGTGTATCTAGAGAAATAACTGCAGCACCCATTGAAGACGTAACTATGTCCAACAATCAAACTCTCTCCTCTATTGTTGGAAAGAGTGGGTTTTCTCCTAGCGATAGCGTTTCTCATGTATTTTTCTTATGTTTATGTAAACCTAGAGCATTAGCTCTGCATATCCCTCTAGCCAGCCAGTATTCACACGGATCGAATAAAACATAGTCTCCATCGTCTCCAACGGGTGATCCTCTTTTAAGTAGAACATTGGACACCATCAAAGTTCCTCCCCTTTGCAGTGACTATACTTCGTATCTTAAGAATGTTACTTCAAACATCTTGGAGCCCTTTCTTGTGGATATAGATACAACATACAAAGACAGTTCGCTTGTAATCTACATAACCGTGAATACCATGCACATGCGAAATTATGCCAGTCAAAAGACAACGAATTATTCTCTCACATTTGAATCGAAGACATACAAAAACCTCTACACAGTGCTCCACAACATGGTCGGTTATAATCAGCTCAAGTTTATCATTCCCACCACTCGTTCCTACAGGCAAAACGACATTATAACGTTTACTCTTGTGGATCATTTGCACAATCGAATCTATCAGGATATCAAATCGTGCGTCTCTCTTCCTTCACCCACCAAGCTTCCGCTCATCACTTGCTCCTACATCTCCGATTATAATACAATTCCCGAGCTTCGAGCGTTCATCGCGTTTCACCGAGTTCAAAATGTGAGCATGATCGTGTTCTATCAGTCCACTCCAATCAAAGGGTTTAAGGAGGCTTTCGGAAAGCTTATGGAGAGCGGATACTTGACTGTGGTAGATTATACTTGGCCACGTCCGAACACGCAAAGTCCGCTCCAATGTACGAATCAGCAAGCACAAATGAATTCTTGTTTTAATCGATTTCGGTTTGTAGCGGATGCCATTTTGTTCTGTGATGTCGATGAGTACATTTATAGTCGCCAGTTCCCTTTTCATTTGCCTGATGCATCACAGTATTTAATAAAAAAATATTCAGGAAATGATGCATTTACCGTAATTAATGAAAAATTAACAAATTACTAGTAGATAACAACCAATCGTGTAACCAATAAAGAAAACAATCTAGCAAAGCGAGAGACCTTCCTGGATGAAGGAACCATGCTGGATGAGTTGCAGTACTTTTTGAACAGTTATGCATCTGGAGCAATGAAGATGATCATTCCAACGAAAATGGAGGGATATCTTGGAACCCATGTATGTTACAACTGTACATTTAGATACGTGCCCGAAGATATTGCAAAGCTCGCCCATTTCAAGGTTCGTATATATAATGGCACGTTTACCCGTTCGGACTATTTGGGGATGTATTCAGGAGGGTATAAAAGAGAGATTGCCTATTTGAAATCTCTCGCAGAGTGACTGTTTTGTGTTTTCGACTGTCTTGTCTGTTTTGTTGATAGTAAACGAGTGTGGGTGCTTGTCATTTATTCAAATTATTGAAACTAACAGGTGTTTTCAATTTCATTCATATTCTTGTGTTTCATTGCTATAACTATCATTTACTAATCCTAATATATAGAATCAATGAATTAATAGTTTCAAAAATAGAGGTAGACACATCTTCTTTACAAGGTTCTTGTAATAAGGATGTAGAGATAATTCGATGATATTTTTGTATACCAATAATAATAACAATATATATATATCCAAATGAGTATATATATAGATAGATAGATAAGAGAGAACTATCATCTATATTTCTGGAATGACAATAATATGTACTATTATTTCTAACTGGTTCAACCAATGAATTGACAATAACTGGTTCTATGAAAGAAATGAATCTAGAATGATCACAGTTATATATTTGGATTGGAAATATATAGAATAGAGAAGATATACAAAGAAAACACTTAGATAAAACACCTAATAAAGCAAAAGTTAAATGTCTGCATAAGTATCCAAACCAATGAAGAAAATAATAATAATAATAGTGGTAGTAGTAGTAATAGTAATAGTAATAATAATTCCATCTAACAAAGAATGAGCTTCCTAATAGATAGTTATTATTATATACATTTTGAACATTTAGATATGGCTAACGAATGTATAAAGTATATATTGTCCTAGTGAATAACTTATCTGAGTGAGATTCATGGATCCGAGTATTTGCTCGGTGGATACGTTACTCTTGGTTACCCAGAACCTTTCATCAAGAATGGAATGCAATACAGTGTTCAACGCTTCCACTGGAAACAACACTCTTCGATCTATTCATTCCACAATATTCCATTTCCGCTCATCTCCTTCCACTTCACAGTAAAAACAACTCCCTCCCTATTCGAAATCTATTCTTCCACTCATACCCAATTTCAACACTATTTTCACAATTGCACAATTCCTGTGTATTTTTGAAATCATTTGTTTTACAATAAAAGCTATTAGCTTCGTCTTACTGGGTTTGAATGTATTCAAAATTTGGAATTGGACTTGTATGTCCTGTCTTTTGTTTTGTTTTGTTTTCGGACTTCTATGTGTTTTTGTGTGTTGTGTTGTGGGAGTGTAAGTATTGTAGCTGGGATGGGTTCTGTCCTCAAGTTGGTGTGTTTGAAGAAGCTAGTGTAGTGTGCGCTATCGTTACTTTGACTAAACTGTGTGTGTGAGATATGCATCGTGAACGCATTCAATACCATAATGGTGGTGGACCCTGGTTCCATTTTTGCTGTGTGGAGTGTGTTCCGAGTGAGGAATTTCTGTACTTCAAACTGTGCAACGTGGCGAACCCATTCATCCCATGTGTGACCGCGGATACATGGAGATAACTTACAACGTGGGAGGTATCTGGTACAGGCACGACGTTCTTGCCTAGGATATCTGTTCTGTTTCTCGTATTTTCAATTTTCATATTGTGAGGTGGTAGAGTGTGGTAGAGAGAACGGATTTGCGATGAGTGAAAGGGCAAACTATGGGAGCAAGAGCTGTAGGTTTGTAGAAGCGGAGCGTGTGTGGAACTTGGGAGAATGGGACAAGAAGGCGGAGTATGCGAACTGCTGTGGGTACGGTCCTCGCCTCTGATTGATGCGAGCCGAGTGAACTGGAATGGCCAGTGGGAGCAGGCGAGTTCCAAGACGGTGCAGTTCTGCATTTGTGGGTCTGTGGAGCATGGGAAGGTGGAGGTGTGCGTGGTGCGGGCGTGTGGGAAGTGTTGGAATGGAAGAGAGGTGAGGTGCGTGGCGGTGGTGTGCCCCGCGGACGAAGCGGCGGGGTAGCCGGAAGGGCACTTGGGGCAAGTGTTGGATACGAAGTGCGATGTGGACTAGTGGGGCATGATCACGGATGGGTGCAACGCCTATCAGCAGTGGGAATCGATCAATCGATCGATAGGGGACGGGCTCCTGCCAGCCCATCCTGCCGATGCTGCGCTGCGTGGCGGGCGATGGGGCGAGGGACGTGGCGCTGTGGACGATGGGAGATGGGAAGCAATCCACGATGTACTGCACGAGCAATGTGGGCGTGTGCGAGGTGATGAACGACCCATTCGAGCCCATGAACATCCACATCGTGTTTGAATTGGCCGAGGCCACGTTCTCCTATCCCACCACCGCGATCTCCATCTCCGACTACACCATTGCCTTCGCCTTCGCCTTCGCCTTTGATGGCTCCTTCCCGCGGTTCTGCGAAGGCACGCACGCTCTACATCAATGCCAACAGGTTGGTGTCCCGAAACGGCCTCCCCTTCCCCGCGGAAACCCTCATCGCGACCTTCTCGACCCGCGCCGGCGTTCGGTTGGCGTTCGGTTGGCGTTCGGTTGGCGTTCGGTTGTGGCCTGCTCGGATTGTGGAGAGCGCGATTGGTATGAGGGAAGTGGAGTAGGCGCAGCGCAGCGCAGCGTGTCTGTGCAGATGGAGGTTCCCTGAAGCAGTGGCATCTCCGATGAAGCCCCGATGGATGGCCTTGATGGGCAGCAATGTGCAGAGCCAGTTCTTCGAGACGCGCTCCGTGTTGGTGGCGGGCGCCATTGTGAACAGCGTGATGGCCATCAGCTGGCGTGTCCGCAAGGGCGCCTCCTGGTCCGCCTTCGCGTCCTTCTCCGTCTACCGCCCCGTCGTGCTGCTGCCTGCCTGCCTGCCTCCCTCCCTCCCTCCGCGCCCGTCGTGCTGCTGCCGCCTTCGAAGCCACGCAGGTGCGCTGGGTCTGGTGGTGGTGCGAGCTCTTCGTGCAGGCCTTGGTTGGCTCCCACTCCCAGCTCTTCGCCGCCGACGCGCTCCTCCAAGAGGGCGACGTCCAGCAACCCGAGCTCTCTCTCTCTCGATGCGTGCGTGGCCTACTGGGTGCGCGTGGCGCTGTGCTCCACCGCGTGCTCCATCCTCTCCGAGGCCTCCTCTCCCATCACCCTCGCCGCGTGTGTCGTCGCGCCCGGCGCGGTGCAGAACCTCGAGGTGGCCGCGCTCTCCTCGACCTCGCTGCGCGTGCAGTGGGCAGAGCCGGCGGAGCTGGGCGGCGCCAGCATTCGGTACTACGTGGTGCGACGCTCGTGGATGGCGTCGATGGCCGTGATCCAGAGCGAGAGCGAGAGCGAGAGCGAGGTCGCCAGCACGAACTGCTTCCTGGACCTGCAGAGCGTGCAGAGCGTGCAGAGCGTGCAGCACGCGCCCATCTATCTGAGCGTGGCCGCGTTCACCGGGTATCTCTCCCGCCAAGAGAAGATCCCCGCGGTTCTGTATGCGGTGTGTGTGGAATCAGGCGGAGGGCATTGAGTGGGACTGTGCGATGGCGATTACCGGATCCTTCCATGATCTCTGCACCGCCACGTGCGAGCTTCGCGCTCCCGCGACTTCCTCCTTCCTCCTTCCGCCGAACCGTCTGGTTCCCCGCGGGACGCGATGTGTGGGACGTGTTGGAGGGTGGGATCCCCGCGACTTCCTACACGCTGGAGTGCGTCCCGAGCGAAGTGGGCAGTGCCGAGTGGATGGGCAGGCAATTCGGAGTGTCCACGATGGCCACGTCGGAATTCGTTGGGTGTTGGTGGTGGACGGCGAGCCAACCTCCTCGCTCACCGGTTCGCTCTGGGTGTGGGTGTGGGTGTGGGTGTGGGTGTGAGTGAGCAGGAATCTGGTGGGCGATGGGGTGGGGTCCGTGGCTCCCTACGAAGGTGTGCAGAGTCGACCGGGCTCTCTGGATCTCTTCCTGTCCAACTGGGCGCAGAACGCCACCGTGGTCT